TAGTTTGAGGCTCGCTCCGATTGGCAATCCTTCATATCCTGCGTCTTCTCCTCGGTCGAGATGAGAGGTGGTGCTCGGCATATCCTGCTTTCTCGTCGAGGATGCATCTCTCGCCGTGACGGCCAACTCCACTCACTAGTGAAAAATATCTGCGCTCATATGCTCTCTCACCTTCACAGCTGATGGCATTTAATGTACCCAACTGAATAATAATAACAAACATAATAAAAATCAAAATAATGAATAACAACAGGGGTACAAATGGATCGTTTGAGTATTGGATCTCTTTTCTTTTCTTTTGGGAAGGGAACCGTGGTATTGTACAGAGGAATGACATGTACACGGATGGATAACATGATACAACTTCTCTCATGCATCATCCACAACTTGCCGGGATGGACCCGATCACCTGCCAAACCACTCCAATGAGACCTCGCAGCTCGGATTTGATCTTCGACGCCGACGACACTAATGCAGGGGGCGTCCCCACCAGCATAGTGCGATCGTTCTTGCGCGCCAGGTCGGGAGAGAAAGCCGGGGATGGGCGTCCCCACCCTCAACTTTCATATCGTTTTATGTCAATATCTGTGGAATAAATGAGGTATGCATGCAAGTTGAGCAGATTTATCATAGTGCTCACCGGGTCGGGACGGGGGACAGGGAGGAGATGTGGTGAGGGCGAGTGCGAGGGAGGGGTTAGCGAGGGCGAGAGCGGGCGGGGACGGGGAGGGCGGGAGGGACAAGGCAGTGGGGGAAAGGCAGTGGGGGAAAGGCAGTGGGGGAAAGGGGTCGGCGCGAGAGAGGGAAGGGAACGCGAGGCGGGGAGTCTTCTGTCACAAAAATATAAGGACGAGTTGGTCGGTGCTTCGGTGCGAGTGATATGCATGGTGGGGCGTCCCCCTCCGTACAATCCCTTTCTTCAGCACCATCGGGAACGTCAGCAAGGAGGGGGCGTCTCCACCACCCTGCCTTCGTCGCTTCATTCCTGGGCTCTGGGTTGGTGTCGTCGTCTGACGTTGTCGGTCCGTTGTTGTTGGTGCATGTCTGCGGTATAAATGAGAGTACGTTAAGTACTAGCAGGAAAGAGGGGACACTTGCCTTAGATATCGGATCGAGGGACTTAGAGCGGAGAGGAGGGATGGGTAGGGGGAGCGATCATAAACGAGATGAAGAGGGTGGGGACGGGGGACGTGAGGGCGGGGACGCAAGTGAGGGAAGACGAGAGTAAGAAACAGAGAGGAGGGAGGGAAGGCAAGGCAAGGGGGAGCCGGAAGGGGTGGGCGGGGGTGTGGGGTCAGCGAGGGGAGGGGGAAGGGGGAAGGGGGTCAGCGAGGGAAGGGGGGTCAGCGAGGGAAGGGAGGTCAGCGAGGGGAGGGGAAGGGGAGGCGTCGGCCACGAGGGCGCCAACAGAGGAGTCGGCAACGGTGAGGGAGACAGGGAGGGCGACGGTGAGGGCGAGTGCGAGGGAGGGGTTAGCGAGGGCGAGAGCGGGCGGGGATGGCGAGGGCGGGGAGGGCGGGAGGGAGGGAACGCGAGGCGGGGAGTCTCCTGTTACAAAAAGATGGTCGGCGCTCGTTCTCTGCGTATTAGGATACTTCTCTGTGCTATGTTCCTCTTGCTCTTGCCAGTTGATCTTCGGCGCAGACAACACGCGCGAGGAGGGCGTCGCCTCTCCACAATGTTGTCCATTTGAAGCGCTCACCGGTGGACGACAGTCAGAGGGGGGCGTCCCCACCCTGTGACCTCCGTCGCTTCTTGTCGGGTCGAGGGGCGAAGAGTCCCGCAAGGGAGTGCGGCGAGCGAGGGGAGAGCAAGGACCGGAGGTATCTGTGGAATAGATGAGCATATATGAGCGTGCGAGAGATTACTTTGACTAAGTGATGGTCGATTGATAGGAAGGAAGGAGTAGGAGAAAGGGAACGAGGAGGGAGAAGGGGAGGAAGGAGGGTGAGGGGGTGTCAGCCACGGGAGGGGGGAGAGGGTCAGCGAGGGGAGAGCAAGGACCGGAGTATCTGTCGAACAGATGAGCATGTATGAGTGTGCGAGAGCTTACCTTGACTAAGTGATGGTCGATTGATAGGAAGGAAGGATTAGGAGGAGGGAAGGAGGAGGGAGGAGAGAGAAGGGGACGAAGGAGTGTGAGGGAGATACGAGGGAATTGCACGCATCTTTATACACCTCCAAGTGTGATCTCCCAACGAAAGATATTTCGGTCACACCTACTAAACAAACCGCTGAATCCTCACGTGCATATATACAGTCGATGTATATCATGTTCGAGTTGCTGAGGCCGCTTCGAATCAATCTTGGCAGCTCTTTTGACATTCACAAACAGACTGCGATCGTTCGGTGACCGGGACGATGGCCCGGGACAACTTCAAGGAATGCAATGTTTTTGATCGGCGCGCGCTACTTACAGACTTTCAGCGTAACGTGGCTAGGGTAGGTAACCAGATCAAGGTGTAAAACATGCCAACTGCATACATGACATGCCTAGCCGCCGGGCCTCCAACGATCTTCTCCCCTCGTCCCAGTGCCTCCGCCAGGTCTCGTAACGCGGACTCGCGCTGCTTGTCCCTCTCGCCGGCTCAGAGGGTGACAGCGTTTGTCGTTATCGCATGTTCATTCCCGCTTTCATTCATGGTTGTATGCCTGTTGCCTGGCTGGAAGATGGATGACAGGAACGCGACTAAGCACGTGACAGAACAAGGGTCTACACATGCCAGCATTGATACATTGCGTTCAGGTGGACTTTGGGAAGAGCGAATACTAAGAGCAGGTACGTGCTAGACGACAACCATCATGCAGGGCTAAATATTACAAAAGGGTCACACGCATCAACACATTATACCATGGCATTGTGTCCTTACTACTACCAACAGCCCGATTCTTATAGAAGCTAACAAACAACACTAAAAGGCGCTAATACCTCCCTGCTTTCGACGATCCTTCTAGCCAGTCTAGCCACGTTCGCCTCCGCAACCACAACTTCCTGCGCGAACTCGATCCCAAACGCTGCCCGGATGCCCAACGCGATCCGTCTGGCCTGGTCAAGAGAGTGAAATCGGAAGTCTTCTGCTTCTCCGCCTGGCGCATCTATGAGTACCGAGGAGGGGGGAAGGGAGATCTGGGGGAGCAACGCGGGGTCACTGTCAAGCCCGAGACGGACGATCTTCTCCAACACCCTGTGGACGGCGGCATAGCTCATCTCCTCGGGGTTATCAACTGGCCGCATCAGCTCTATCAACCAAGGACAAGAGCAAAACTTACCATATATCTCGAATGACTCTGATGAGCACATGACGTTGTGCATCCCATCATGATGGTACCTCGCCTCCCACATTCCCGTTTTCCAGGGTAATGCTCTCCCACCAAAGGCAACCTCTCCGTCAGTAGCGAGCGTGGCCCCGGGAAGGCCATTGTGCAGCGCCATATCTCCATCCCATTCCTCATCCACGATCGGTTTCCAAAATCCCTGTGAGTTCACTTCCGTCACTTCTCTGCCTCGGTTAGCACCCACAGGGTACAAGCCAACCCAATCCCTCCGACTGTGGTTCTCGGGAGCCCGCCAGCGAAGAACAATAGGCTCGCCGATGTGAAACCGCTTTGTGTCAGTGGGAAGAATGAGCGAGTACTGCGAGAGGTCGTACGAGGCTAGATTGGTAGCGACGCGAGGGATAATGAGGCGGTTCTTGGACAGCTCGATAAGCGAGCGTGTTTCTTGCATCACCTCGACCAGCCTTGGCTGTGCTGCATATACGATCTCAGCTCATCTATTTAGCCTCCAGGAAAGGAGACAGACGCACACTTGGCAAGAAAATCCTCAAAGGCATCCGCCGTGTCCTCGAACGCCCTCTCTAGCGTCTCCCTCACTTCCTCAGCAACTTTCTTGATCTCAGGCGCCTGCCTCGCCAGCCTGTTCTCCAAGATCCTAGCATTCTTCGTCGCCACTTTCCGGATCGTCCGCGTGAACCCTGCTTCCTTGCGAATTGTTTCTCCGTACAGCTTGCGCATGTGCGGGGTCTCCACCGCGCTGAGGAACCACCAGTGACAGAGATGGGACACGACTGCGAGGGCGAAAACGAGCTTGCTTCCACTCAGCAAGGACAGGCCCCATACCGCTGCGCCGCTCATGGACTTTTCAGGGTTGTTAAGATATCGGTATATCCCGGAATAGTCGAGCTGCACCGGGAAATCTTCGATGAAGAAGTCGCCGAAGAACCAGCCGAATAGGCCAAGAACTTTGTATGATTCATGCGCTGTCCAGACGTGGAGGAAGACGAGGAACTGCGAGACGTCAGCAGCGCTTCCTCGCCAGGCTCAAGACGTACGAAACCCAGTGTGTGACGGAGCAGCTCAACGCCCACCGTCCAGTTTTCGGGTATGTGATATGTCTTCAGTGCAAGCACGCCGAAGGAGGCTGCGTACGTCAGCTTTTATCCGGCTCGGAAAGGACAGTACTGACTATACGTCATGCACAGGCTCAAATTGTACACGGTCTTCCAATTATCGAACGCCTCCTCTACCGCACGCGTCGTCCCCTCCTCTCCGGGAAAGTGGTAGTGTTTGATGAAATGCCGTACTATCCACTTACGCTCGCTTTGCGCTTTGAGGAGCAGGCCAAGGCCGAAGGAGTGGAATAGCCGCCAGACGAGTGCGTGTAGGAAGAAGAAGACGAGCGTCCCCCGCGAGGTGAGGTTGGGCAGCACCAGGGGGAGGAACAGCGCGTAAGTGAGCAGGACTACGAGGGTGAAATCGTTCGATCTGAGTACTCATCAGTTCGAGTCCCAGCATGTGGAAGAAGCTCACCTCATCAGATCAAGGTTGAACAGCACTACTGCGTCTTTGTGGAAATACCGGTTGAAAAGGTCATGTTGCGTCACGATTTCTGCCGGCTTCTCGTCCGCACCGCTCTGTCTAGATGACGCAGGCGTCAACCGCGGAGTGGTCAAGAGCTCGGCTTCATATGGCTCATCCTCGCTTTCCGTCGTCTCCCCCTCTGTGGTATCCGGTGTATCGATTGCAGAAACACTGGGTGTCCCGCCGTGTGCAAAGATGTCTGCGCGGCGCTTGACAAGAGGTGTACGCTGCGCGATGACCTTCTTCTCGCCATATGTCCGCGCAATATGCGGGTTCTCAAAGTACATCAGGAACCCAAACTGTGCTGCGTGCGCCGCCAGGCTGACGAACATGACCATGTAGCTCCCGACGATGAGCGAGAGGCCGTAATACCCCGCATAGCCGACACTGTACATCGGGTGCGGTGCCATCTCGAACACACCGTCGAAGACGAGGTTTCCACGCGCGAAGAAGACGTCGCCCCAGTACCAGCCGTAGTCTTTCACCACGTGGTGCGCTTCGGTCTTGACCCACCAGTTGAAGGCAATCAGTGCGATGCCACAGATCCACCTGTTACCAAGTTAACATGTAGCTCATCTGCTGCGAACACGCGTACCGGAGCATATGCATCGTCATAGACAAGTTGTTGGGAATGTGAAAGTGAGAAAACGCGAACATGCAGTAGGCGACAAAGTCACTGCGACGCGTTTAGTCATATCCGCGCGTCATCATAGGATCGGTACTCACTTGAGCAGAATGATGTCTACGAATTGGCGGAAGATGAGCCAGGTGTTGTATTCCATCGGAAGGGTCTATCCCCCTGTCAGTATTGAGGCATGAATCGGGTTGATGATGCTCACATCGAAATCGTAGTCCATTCCCATCTTGCCCTCTAGCTGTTTCTGGATCCAGGCAGCCACCTTCGGTCTCCTCTTCTTATCCATCCAGCCCCGTTTCTTCACTTGCCTGACGACCCATCTTTTCTTGCTCTGCTGGGTGAGCACCCATCCGAGGCCCGCATCATACGCCGTTCTCCAAAAGGCAAAGTAGATGAGGAAGAACGTCTGGGCTGCCCACCGTGGGAGACAGAGGAACAGAACGATCTGGGCGCCCAGAGTGAGGAGGGTGATGGCGTCGAGGTGGGATTTTGGCAGGCGGGGATCAAACAGCGAGGTAAGGACATCGTGTGTCGTAGGTACTTTGAACACTAGGCGAGGGAAACGATGGGTTAGGCAAGGACGGAGAAACGGTTGGTCTGGAATAATTACCGGTTCCGTCTGGCGTCTTTCCCCACACGACTTCCTTTTCCTTCTTTGTATCCTCCACGAGTACGTCAGGCTCTTCAGAGAGGTCGGCATTGTCGATTCGGTTAGTTGACTTGCGGTGAACGAGTCCATCATTCGCAAGTTGCGGGGTGGCCATAAAGGGCAGCGGTTCAACCAAAGACGACGAATTACGGGTCACACGAGCGGGAAGTGCTTTAAAGAACATGAGACCGCGTGGCAGCGCGTGTGAAAATAGGTGGCGGTGCTTTAGCGCCACGTTGCCATGTGCTTCCGTTTTTCACTGTTTTTTGACCAGCTGGCGACCGCTTTGACCTCTTTGCTCTTTTCCTCCTTTACTGCAAATCATCTTTATCTTTCATGGCTTGTTCTCCTTGCTTGTTTTCTCTCGCCATGCAATAAACCAGTAATCTCTCATCTTGTCATTGAACATAATTGTCCTTTCCGTTCTAGTCCAGCCCAACCGAGCGCCATTCTTCAAATTCAGGACGCTCCATACGCTCTCAACAGCATCCCCGTCTATTCACTGTGTACTCGCCAGCTCCCACGAGTATGCAGTTACTAATGCAGGGAAGAAGACGGTATGCGATGGAAAACTATTCGGTCCGCTCGATGTACACCTTCTCGGTCGGACCTTACGAGCCGTCGCACATCTTTTTCTCTGTTATCACTTTTTATTCGTTTGGCTTGTTCTGACAGTGTATTCTCGGTATCACTTCGTATCTTTTGTCCTCCTTGTCTTGTTCCATAACGGATTTGTTCAATAGATGTGATTGCCTCAATATGTCCTGACCGAGCCCAAACACCAGAACAGGAGATAACTTTGTGAACTGTGTGGTAGTTGATTCGTTGGAGAGTGGGGAGATATGGACAAACAAGGTAGTATTAATCATTTTCAGATGTTTAATATCGTTATTTAGAATAAAAGTGAATTGACAATGATATGAATATGTCCTATGGTGACGCGGCTCATCGTTACTCAATAGTCATTGCAGCGCGTCTACTCTCCCTTGCTCATCGTCGTCCACAGCGCATACATCCAACCACAATGACCGCCGCCGACGTCCTCCCTCGCGCTGTCGACCTCCTCTCTTCACACACCGCCCTTCTAGCAAAAGTACGCCAAACTCACCAGCTGAATAACAGTCTCCTCGCCTCTGCCTTCCCTGACCCAACGCGACCACCCGCCATCACCATCCTCCTCCAGGCTTCCCTACCTGATGCATCGCACGCTCAGCTGCCCATCCTTGACCGCCCCAGCAAACCCCCCTCCCCGAAGCGCTCCCTGCCAGAGCGCCCGGACCTTCCACCGGCGAAGAGAGCACGCATGGTCAAATATACCAATTACGTACCCGAGGAGGAGACAATAAGGAACGACTACTCGATGCATTACGTGGATACAGGAGAATGGCCGCAGAACTACGTCCAAGGAGCCGAGCTCGACAGGAGATTCGAAGAGTATGTCCATCCCTCTAACTCTTCTCCGAAATGTTCGCTCAACGGTTCAGGTATCCCAAACAACGCCGCCTCCTCCAGCTGAAGAAAGAAGCCGTCTCCCACAGCGCCCATCCACCGACATATCTCCCCTTCCCACTCGCTCCAAACCCCTCCTCGACTTCCTCCCTCCTCACTTGCCTCACCCCGCTCAAATTCGACGTCATCGTCCTCGACCCCTTCCACTCTTCCCACACGTGGACATGGGACGACCTCATCTCCCTCCCGGTTCCCCAACTAGCTGCAGACCCGAGTTTCGTTTTCATGTGGGTCGGCAATGGGAGCGATGATGGGCTCGAGAAGGGAAGGGAGGTCCTCGCTCGGTGGGGGTACAGGAGGGCAGAAGACATCGTCTGGATAAGGACGAATAAGGAGGGTGTTAAGGGGCCCGGCGTGAGTGTGCACCACTTCCTCAATACATGCCGAAACTCAGCCGGAGAACAGGGCGACGAGCCGACCTCCTCGCTCCTAACACACACCAAGCAACATTGTCTCATGGGCATTCGGGGTACGGTACGCCGCTCGACCGATGCTTGGTTTGTACACTGCAACATCGGTATGTGCTGCACCTTTGAGCTCGAATCTCCCTCATGACTTTGCAAGACACGGACGTGATCATATGGGAGGGTGATCCGGAGGATCCCACTCGCAAGCCGCCGGAGCTCTACAGCCTAATTGAAAACTTCTGCATGGGCATGCGCCGACTCGAGCTATTCGGCAGGATGTCTTCTCTCCGACCAGGCTGGCTCACAGCGGGCGAAGACTTTGAACGTGTCGACCAGGCGTCTCTCCCGGAGAACGCGGTCCACTGGACACTCGAATCATACGAAAGCAACTTTACCGAAGGCGTGCGCAGCGTCGTTCCCAACTCGGGGGAGATCGAATCCCTCCGACCCAAGTCTCCAACAAGGGGGAACGCTTCTGGCCCTACGCTCCTCGCACCCCCGCCGAATGCCCAGCGCGCAGTTCCTCGCCCAGCCCCAGGCCAACCAATGCCTTCTCATTTCCCGCACTCGAATCAATCACAAGGTATTCCGCTGGGTCAACAGCCACGCCCTATGCAACCTATGCAGGCAAGCCCTATGCTTTCTGGTGCGGCTATGGGCCAGCCCATGAGCATCGGGATGATGGCACAGGGAGGGCCCAACTATAGCATGCTTCCTCAGCAGGAAGTGTTCGGGATAGGGATGGGCCCTCCAGGGATGCCTCAACAAGGCATGCAGGGAATGGGAATGCTGAACGGCGGGATGGGAATGGGGATGATCCCCGGGATGCATGGTGCTATGGGTGGGATGCCGCAAGCCATGCAGGGTATGGGGGCGATGCATCAGGGGTTGCCCGTCGTCGGCATGCCTGGGATGGGTGCGCCGGGTATGGGCGGAATGAGCAGCATGGGGAGCATGGGGGGCATGAACAACATGGGCGGGTTGGGGATGCCTCTGGGTATGGGCATGGGTAACATGAACATGGCTGGCATGGCCGGAATGGGCAACATGGGCATACCCAATTTGGGGAACATGGGAAATATGGCTGGTATGGGCATGGGGATGAACATTCCGATGAACATGCCTGGCATGCAATCGGCGCACGGCAGCTGGGCTTCCGGAGGTACGCCTGGTCCTGGTCCAGGTGGTGCAGGATGGCCAGGCGGTCAGATGGGGGCGAACAACTGGCAAAGCGGACAAGGCTGGTGACGTGCTTGGGAAAGAGGACTTGTGGACACTTTAGGACTATTTGCATAAGGCACCTACATCGCTTTCGTTCGACGTAGAAGCTGACTGGAATTCACGGACAATATTCAGCGTGTCCTCGATTGTTTATGGAAGATCGGCGGACGACGACGGTAATGATACATGATCTTCACGAGCATCTTCACCGCCTCTGGTGCGACTTCTTCCACCGATCGTTCGGTCAGTGAAGAGATATTGACCGCCCTTTTATGATTGATAAAGTCTATCAACCGAGGAGAAACAATTAGGATCGGGTGATGCGCCGAAGATCTGAATTGAAACGTTCTCGGTGATGGATAAGCGTGCACCGCAATCAAAGGTCGGCTCATGAAGAACACGCGGCAACAATAGAGGTTGAGTGAGATTCATTTCATTTGATTGAATTGCATGGCCGGGGTATAAGGTAGTACACGGCCATTGCTATCGCAAGAAGCGACATTCGAAAGACACTAGTATAGAATGTGAGTTATAGATTGCGGTGGTAACCAATTCAGACTCGAAATGCAGATACAGTAGGGAGGTGGGAGAGAACAACTGAGATTAATTCCAAGGCCGAAGTTAAGGTAGCCAGACCCATGTTATACACTTCGTTTCAAGTGAGAAGAGCAAGATATCAAAGTTCGAATCAATTGACGTAAGTCGATCAGAGAGCTGTCGATCGCCTGCCCTTCGTGAACTCGCTGAAAGCCTCTGCAACAGACGCAGCTGTGGGGGTAGGAGTAGCAGCGGCAGCATCGAATGAGAAGAGTGCGGAGGTGCCTGTCGGGCTGACGAGGTCTTTGGGATCAGTGAAGAGGTGAAGCGAAGGGAGGGAGCTGCTAGAGCTAGCCGAGTTGAAGGGGGAATCGAAAATGGAGTAGGTCAGTTCGGGCACTCCACTAGAAGCAGAGGCATAGGAGCCATCCGAACGCAACAGACCATTATCCATTTCAGTCGAATTCATCCCGCGCATGTAGTTCTCCTGCGTTGCCGTCTCAGGTTCGGCCACAGGCGAGGAAACCAGAGGAGTGGCCAATGGGCTGGTGTACTTGGTGTGCCATGCCTTGCTAGGGGCGTAGTTATCAGCACTGTTCCCACGGCGGAGGTATGCCTGAGGTACAGGAGCAGGCAGGTTAGGAGTGACACTCCTATGCCGCCGAATGGGGCTAGGGCCGTAGGCACCGAATGCAGATGGTTTTAACTGCTCAAGATTTGGAGTAGCGGGTGCCGTAGGAGGACGATGCATTTCTTGTGCAAAGAGGAAGTTGTTGGTCTGTGGGGGCCATGCTGAGCCATCAGCGGGCATGAATGGAGCAGAGCCAGGAGGCGTTGCCAGACCACCGTATGTGAAGCCCTCCGAAGACAACGAGACGTTGGGGGCTGAAGCAGCAAACTGCGGGACGTTGTACAGACTGTGCTCGCCCGCCATCGCTGTCTGACGAAGCAGTAGACCTTCCTCGCCCTCCGCAGCTGCACCCTCTTCGACGGTGACTTCGATCTCGCGGGGATCAGACATGAGGCTGTCCTCGTCGGACTCAAACTCGGGCTCGCTGATAGACTCCTGGACGGATACACGGAGCTGGGAAGCGAGTATACCGGCGCCTGTACCCTCCTCTCGGCCGTGCGTGCGCACATGCTGAGCAAGATTGTCGCTGCGGCTGAAACGTTTGCAACACTTGGCGCATGCGTAGGGTTTCTCCATCGTGTGGGTCCGTTGATGACGTCGGAGATGTTCCATGCGCTTGAAGACGCGACCGCATGTGTGCAACTGGCATGCGAAAACCTTGGTCTTCATCATGGGGGCTTGCATCTCAAAGAACGAAGAAGCGACAGAGGAGGGAGGCGTCGGCATAGGTTGGTTCATGTAGAATTGCTGCTGGAAGGCAGGAGGCGAAACATACTGCACGTATTGGTTCGGGTTCATCTGCATGTATGTGGCTTCCTGGTACTGGATGTGGGGCATACTGAGATCGACGCTCGTGCTTCGCTGGCTGTCGCTCTCCCAGTCGCTGATGGACTCGGAGCGAGCTTCGCCCATCATAGAAGACGGGCGGGAGAAGCGCGAAGAGCGGGAGGGCTTAAGTGCCCTCTTTCTGCGCTGCTTGTACGTTGGCGAGCCTTCGAAAAGGGAGAACATATTGGAGATGTGGCCCGGGATCGGGGTTGGTTCGGGAGTCATTGTGCCAGCGGGTACATCGTAGTTAGATATGACCCCAGCTTGACGCGCCGCCTGGTCGAGCTCGTCCTCTCCATCGACGCTTTGTCCCTTGAGGAATTGGTCGTACAGGCTCCGCTTGGAATCGTACTTGAATGACCGAGCAGGCTCACCGACAACCACAGTCGTGGCCTCGAGGCCCATGCGTTCACGCTTGAGATCACGCTCGAGCGCATCAAGGAAGAGCCGATCATGAGGAACCGAGAACCAGTAGAACACTTTCTGCTTCTTTTGGGTGCGAATGCACTGATACTTGAAGAGCAGATCAAGGAAAGCCGACTAATGCGAGGATCAGAACACTGCGGGTCACATGTGCGGATCGCGGGACGTACCTTGGGCTCCTCCAGGCACGCATCAGTGCCAGGCTTCAGATTCCGCAGATCAGAAAAGACACCCTCTTCGAATTTCTTCATGTTCCGAACGGGACGTCCAAAGGCCTCGAAACGGAACACGAGTGCACGGACGATATCGGTACCGGTGATGTGATACAAGCCATTCCAGAGCACGCAAGACACATACTCGCTAGAAGGAAGGAGGAAGCGGTTCAAAGCCGGGTGCTGGTGCTCTGGAGGGGAGGTACTTCCCATGTTACCATCTTCCCACTGGGACGGGGCAGTCGCCAAGAAGAATTTTAGACGATCGAGATGGGCCAACAATTGCTGTTCGTGCATGGTGAGCGGGCGAGGAACTGCATCAGCATTCGCGAGCTGTGCTCCAGCGACGCTCATTGGGGGAGAGGGCAAGAATGGTTGCTGACTTGTGTGAGCATATCCATTGAAGAGGGCAATCTGCTGGTTGCGCTGCTCCTCGAGATCAGAGATAGGTGATGGGGTGTTCATTGCTGCTGCCTGTATTCGTAAAGTGAGAATCGGACCGCTGTGAGGGTGAGTGGATGGTCGTCGTTTGAGAATGGCCAAGGGGGAGGAAGTTGGGGGGCTGTTACTGTACGGTTTCGGAAAGCGACTAGGAGGACAATGGAAATGGATGTAGTTGTTGAGCAGTGGGGTGGATATGGGATAATCAGGAGGAAGCGGGTTGGGGGAGGAGCGTGGAGAAGGGAGGGAAGAACAATGGACGAGAGGCCAGCAGGTCAGGGATGTGGTGTTCCGTTATAAAGGCAGGAGGTTTATAGGCGGCAACGCACTTCTTTTTTACACCGCTTCTTTTTCTTCGTTGTCGTCGGGCATACGGCACGGGTGGGTCATGCACATCTTGATGGCTCTGTATTTGAAAATGAGCGAAAAGAGACGGGGGAAAAGGCTGTTCTTGTGGTGAACATTCATCAAGAGCGGCGGTTGGGATGGGCGGAGTCAGGGCCCTTTCCTCTCCTCAGGGGGTGACGCGAATAAAATGGGAGAACCGGCACTGCCCCCCCGCGTGCTTACATTCAGTCTTCTCCTTCTCACCCGTCACCTCATCTCATCGCCTCGGGCTCCTCATCCTCCATTTCATTCAATCCTCACATTCTTAACAATCTAACATTCCAAATCTGGGCCTTAAATTCACTATTTCTCCGGTATTCTCCGTCCTCACCGCCGGTAAACCGTACGTTTTCTCTCCTTCTTTAAGCAACCAAGTTCTCTCCCTGCGAGTCAAGGAATGATGAACTGCTTTCGTTTATCGCCAGAACTGCCCCGATTCCATATATATCTAGACTGAATCTAGATTCCGCGCTACCCGTCATCCGGCCGATCCTCCTCTCGGACTGAATAATCGCCTCTGTTGCAATCAGCACAGCCCGCCCGGTCACCCCCGTTGCTATTCATCGCTTCATCCTCCCTCGCCTTTCTCTCACGGGGCTACAGCCACGTTCCCTCCCCGCACGCCCGCTTCTTTCCGCACCCCATTCCAAACCTCCTCACTCCACAGCTTCTCTCTCGTCGTATCGAGAACTCCAACACGTTCCTGACTTTCCGTCACAACAACCCTGAGCCAACAACATGACGACCAACAGATAATGCCCACTCCTAGAAGTGAATCAACTATGAACCGCTTTACGACATCCCACTATATTAGCAATTTGACCGCTCGGATACCTCTCGGCGCGCTGTCTATTCATTGACCTCGCATATCCTTGATCCCACCCCATACGGAATTCCTCCGGCCGAACGTGCTCACGGAATTGTCTTGCACCATGATCGGGCACCTGCCAAGTTTAATAGACAATACGTTGGTCTCACTTTCCATCACACGATTATCGCTTCTCTTCTTCACCGATCGCCTGACTCAAGTTTGACGCAGGTTACCACCACCAGGCCATCCCAGCCCCAAGCACACATCACTTGAACTAGACCACGTGGGTCAACCAGCTTGCTCGCCATCTGACAGCGATGCAATTGACGACCGAAGCCACAATCCGCGGCGATCCTTTACGCGTCAGAGCGGACGTTGGATTGCCGCCCTCGTGGTCAGAGATCCTTGCACAACATTTCCACCCGTCACTCCTCCGCAATGATCATCCGGAATGTGTCGGCGTTGGCCGTCCGAGCATGGCACCTATCAATCGCAATTAAAGTCATTGATCAGTGGCACAAACGTTCCAACAGAATGTCCTCAAGGTGTGCCGTGATCTCGAACCTCAATTGACTTCAGTCCGACACAACCCCTAATATCACCTAGCGCCCATGAGCACGCCCTCGGGCTTGTATTGCCATCGATTCACCTGTGCCATATTACACAAGGTGAACCGGAAGCCGAATCGAAATGGAGTGGTCAGTATACGTAAATGGTCCCGCAAAGGTGCCGTCGCGATATCAGGAGAATGTTAACAGAACAATCTGATGCATTGTCAGACCTGTGGCGCCAAAAAGCAAAAGCCCGTGATTGTGATTATTACGTAGCTCTGTTCCAATCAATAATCAGCGCACGTGATGTCAAAGCGGTGACTTGAGCGGTGCTATTCGCAACGTTGCAGTATTTCACATGTTTCGTGCGGCAGAGCTCTCGTTTCATTACCCGAAGGCACATGGGTAGGAAATCAGCACACTCAATGCGGGTTTTCGGATTTACGGTGCGAGTCAACTCCTTAAGCTTCCCGATGACTTCTCTGACAATGACGTTGGCGGTATTTGAAATTGACGATCCTCGGCCAGATTTTCTTTCTCGGGCAATTGATACGATGGGACAAGCTCGAGGATCAATTGTAGTTTTAAGGCCCTGCACCTCGCAACAGCTCATTGTAGAATCAGAGGACCACGGAACTTTGCTCCCCCTGTTCAATTACGTGGTCTGGTGAGCATTGACACATCTGACCCACAAAATTGAAAGGATTCGTTTCAGAGAAACATGCGGATGGACCGTGCTTGCCGAGATCCGACGGAACGTTCCTGATGTTCCGTTCCCTGTTCCCCGTGGTCATGTTCCTGTTACTTCCGCATGCAGCTTTCAATGATAAGTGGCTCAAACGAACACTACCAGGTGGTTGTGCTTCAGTTCAACAACGACAGGCAGTGTCCTGCTCTATGACACAGTTCCGGAAGTAGAGTTGTGTGGAAACAGTATGTTCGAATCTAAATTGGCTAAACACTACGTTAGAGGATACATTCACCGACCACATAGAATAGTGGTTATATCAAACCCACACGATGCTAAGCGGATTTGCATTTTTCCGCCGCATCCGTCCAGGCGTACAGCACGACACGCCGTCCGCCGGACAGAAATTAATGCTTTCAGAAAAAAAAATGTGTTCCAGCATTGAAATCTGCCTTGTTTCTGGAACCTGTACCCTCCATACCTCGCGATCGTGCAATCTTAATGTGTCGAGAGATCGGGACAAGCCATTGAATGCCGTTCGTTGGCCGCGATCGATACAGTTCTCCTAGCAACACGCGATCGAAAAGGACACACAAGAGTAGTTGCTTCTGATCAATTGACGTCAAGATGCCTTTTCCTATAGTTCTTGCCTACTCGTTGATTACTATTGAAGGACATTTTGGAAGCATATTGGTACAGGTACGGGGTGCAAAATCGCGGCTCGGCCGGGATGCTGCTTGGAGGGACAGGGACTGCATCGGTAAAGACCGGAGGCTATGCATAGAGTTATCCGGGGTCCTTTCCTTCAGTGATCGATAAATGTGTAATGACTATCTGATCTGCTTTGTTGATTTGTAAAAATCACACTGACCAGGAAGACTCGCCGTTCAACAACCCAAGCGCAACGCAGCGAATTGACGCATTCTGGGTTCATTACCGTCCTGCAGTGCAAGAATATCTTGTTCGATGGCCATCGCCAAGTACCCGTCATCTGGATGACAGGCTTTGGAGCGATTGGCACCGAGGGAGGTGGCTAGGAGCGACACGCCGTCGCCAGCCTCACGATCGCTGTATCGGAAGCGGTACATAGAGGGCTCGTCTTCTCCGCCCGTTTCGTCCTTTTCGATAGAGATCCAACGATGACCTCTCGGCGTCGGGACATCAACCACCCAGATTGAACAGTAACCATCCACGGTCGCATTCACCAGTGAGTAGGGCCGGTGTACTCCGAATGTCAGGTTGATGTTCATCGCAGGACCGGGGCGTCCGTAGAACTCAGCCTTGTACACCACAAGGTGACCAGCGGTGCTGGTCTGTGGTGGCAAACCGTGGACGGCTTGAGGCACCTCAACTGGAGCCTCGCGGATCAAGCCGCCCGCTGCCAGACGAGCTCGAATGTCCTGGTATATCGCTCAGATATTATCATTTTCATGGGGTTAGTACTCACAAGAGCAACCGAGCTGAACTGAATATCAGGATCGGCTTTCGCCAGCAAGGGCCGAGGGATCTCTGCCACTGGGACCGAGAGGCGTTCTCTTGCCGTACACCTCAGGGAGAGCTCTATCCAGAGACTTGACTCCTTTTGTCCCACCAACAAAACACAGCCCGCGGTGTTCTTCGCTGGCAATACATGCAAGGAGTTGCAGTGCCGGAGGAAATCGGACTCCCCAGCCGTTCTTAGGACCTCCCACGACGTGGTTGCTCGTTCATGACGCCGGCGATAAGCAATCGGAAACGACGGCAAGATCACTTGACGGAGGGTGGTCGTGGCCTTAGACTTGGAGTGTTCAAGGATGAGCAGAGACGCCGCCTTCGGTCCCAGCGTCGAACAGAGAACGTATGAGTCGCCGCTGGTCGGGACTTCGGCCCACGCGGTCGGTTGACCCGGGTTTTCGGAGGACGTGTCGGACACTTGTCATATGGAACAAAGTCATGAGCACGCCGGATGTATAATACGGAGCCGACACAATGATCGTACAAGACGGTCCCGCAAGGCGGGATCTCGCCAATGCGATCCTGACTTTCTGGTCGAACCCTGTCGCGGCTGATGGATCCTGCCCTCGACTGTGCAGGGACGGACGCGATTTCCGAGATCTTGTCGATGTCAAAAATACAAACACCGTCCCATTCGTTGTTGCCTAAGAACAACGAGAAAGATGGTACTGCGAAGATGCCAGAAACACGCCCGTGCTGCTGCGTGTTTAAACATGAAACAGAGATGGCTAGGGATGTTATGCTCACGAAAGTGTCCAGAGCCAAATCCGCTTCTCGCCCATCAATAAGGTCTCGGGACATGAATTGCGCTTGCATATCCTTATCTGAGAAGCAGGCCCAGCGTCCCTCAACAGCGACTGGGCCGCTGGATCGCGCGATTTCGATATGAGTCAAACCAGACACAGAGAACTGGACGTAAAACGTGCGACGGCGGGTGGTGGCGGCTGATGGGATGTTGCCCGAAATACTCTGCAGTGTCAACACGGTATCGATGTTCCAGGATACCAGCACTTGAACTGGGTCGGTTAAGTTGCTAGACACCTGTGGCACTCCGCAAAGCCTGAGTCTCTGGTCAGCGGCGAGCGTGAGGGGTGTTCTCCATGCTTGATGATTGGAGAGGCCGTCGTCATGTTGGGCTCTCGTTGTGTGGTCGTTGAGCGCCTCGGGTATGACCATGGTATTTCCAGCAGAGTCGATCGAGACGGTCCAACGTTTCGAGACGCTGGCCCATGGTCAGTGATAGAGCGTGAGCATGGGTCCTCTGACGTCAGACGATGTTATACATATGGGTGCTACATATATAGCCACCATACCGATATATCATTGTAACGTTTTAAGACCTATCCAACTACGTTGTCCAGGGATGACCGGACGGCGCCATCTAGTGGCGCGGTCCGCACTGCACCGAAGTAGCTTGAATTCAAGTGGAAGAGTATAATTAATCCAACTCAGAGGGATGCCGTCGTACTGTGGTATAATGTGCATGCGTGTTACTCAAACACCATTCAGTTACTGGTACATTGTGATATCTACACTACTCCACGTGCGGAAGTGACACCTCATCCGTCTTTCATGTCAACATCGCCTTGGTTGAGACCGTTTCTGTCCGTAACGAAGTCCACCATCCACTGGACCGGCGGGCCATAGAAGCGAGAGCACGGCCGGGTTTCCTCGCATAGTGCCTCTGCCCACGGTTGAAAGCTGTCGAGCAGGGCCACGAAGAGGTCGTCGACGCTCAGTTCCTTCAGAACAGGGTATGTCTCAGCGGTACGGCCGCGCATCTCGAGCGTCCAACGCTGTCTATCGACTGCGCGATTGCTACTCTGTTTACTCGCCGATCTTGTCGGGCGAGTAGAGTGACGGGCAGGCTTTCTCATGCGGACACGTGTATTGGTATCAGAGAAAGGTGCCTCCGTGCCAAAGTCCATCAACAGGACCAGGTACGGCTCCCCTGTGCGCTTCAGCTGGTCGGTCAGGCCAATGGGCCGGATTCTGTCCCGCGCCTGGTAATCCGGATTCACCTTGAACTTGACCTGGCCGTAAACAAACGTTAACTGGGTGGGGTCAAAGGGGGCGTCATCCTCTACGGAACCGGTGTAGCAGACGACCGCGTAGTCGAACGATTCTTGATTATGCGAACATTGCAGTGCGCTGCCTCTCACCCACAAGTTAGCGAGGAAATTGCTGGGAAGAACGCTCAAAGTGGCAACCCACGGAGACATACGTTGCTCGTATCTGGTCACTTCCTCAGGGAGAGCCGCTTTTGTCACCAGCCAATGTGTGAAATTGATGTGATGGTTGGCGAATTTTTCTTTGAATTCCTCGTCCAGACATGGTCCAAGGAGGCACTCCAGCCAGTCGATCAAGCGAACGTACCTGAGCGGCTCCTGCTCGCCTCTATTTCTCTTGAGGGCAAGTACTCGAGGGCAATACAAAAAAATTCTGGCAGCGAGCTCGTCAATATCCTCTTTTGGGACCAGGTTTCCTCTACAGAGGTCTTTAACCAGGGTGCGAAACGCCTTGGAGAACACGTCTTTGCTGATGAAGAGCTTATGCGCGGCGCACAGCGACAGCAACGGTTCTGCGGGTGTGTGAGTCAGGAGCGCCAATGCTGGGTATTGCTGTACGCCGTCGAATAGTCGCATATAACTTGAAACGGCCTTATCTGCCATTGTGCCCGCTTCTGCTGTATGTAGGACAAGGTCCAGGTTGATAATGAGTGAAAATGCGGCGAAGACTGTATCAAGATCCGTCGGGTCGAATACCTAACCGCAAAACAACTTGAAACTGCCTTGTTGGAGAAGGTCGTGCAATTCATCTGCCAAGATATGGGCATACCACCTGTGGTGGGTGTGATGAGAATCAGAAAAGGCATACGGGTCATAGCTCACATGGGACGCCCATAATATGATGCATGCTTCCAAGACCGTAGGTCTTTCATGGTACGACTCTCAATGGCCTTCTCCGCCCAATGATCCCATCCAAGGGAATACCATGGCGGGATTAAAGTCGCTCCCTCAGGACTCAGCCTAGCCGAGTTGACTACATAACCATATCAGAAGAGGAAAGGCACCCAGCTTCGGAAAGACATACTGCGCTCCGGGGTCGGCATGTAGTCGGTGACAGAAACATTAGTCGCCATGAACACCAGCCACAGTGGTACCGTCCTGGGTTGGCGGTTGCTCAGTCTCAGGAGAATCCGATAGAGAAGTTGCAATGTCCCCGTTTCATCGAAGTAGACGATGGCTTGGACGCGCTGGCCGCGGATGTTTTGCAAATATTCCATGAGGTTGTTTAGAGGCGGGGCAATATACCGCTCGTAGCACTGTGACGAAATGCTTAGGATGTTGTTGTCTCCATCTGCGTTCCATGTATCCTCCCACGACTCAGCGGACTTGGGGAAGAGTCAGTAGAATCCGGCGCTCGCACACACAAGGCTCGTACCTGTTTAGCAGCAGCTATCACTGTGCCCCAGAATGTCTCGCGATACGTGCGATCAGTGTCTTCCATATTATTCTAGTTGAACATAGCCAAGTCCGGGCTCTTTCTGCTCTATATTCTTCAAATATGTCAAAGCGGTCGACAGCGCAACTCCTAGAAAGGCAGCGCATTTGACATGTGCAGTTATCGAGTGGTCATTGTCCCTTGGTAACCTTTCGAAGTAATCCCTAGGGATATCATCTGCCGGCGGCCACCCAGGTGCCCCGGCTGCTCGCAGATTGATTGGCAGACAGAAGATGGGTTCCTCCGCGCTGGGAGGCGCATCGGCAGCTATTGGTTCCCCGGCTGAACCAATCCCAAGCTGGACGCTCAGTCAGCAGTCTTTGAACACAGGAAATAGATGGGGAGACGCACCTGCTGGACAGTCCTGGACTTTCCGGTTCCTGATGAATTGATTATGCTGAAAGCCCTAGCGTACAAGGATTGGTCCGAGTCGGTGAAACGGTTGTCAAGAGTGTGGAGGTGCTCTACAAGTGCGTCACGCGCATTGGATTTGAAAGGGGCATTGTAAGCTGATGCGAGGTCTGTGAGGGTCAGGTGAGCATTGCATCGCCAAGAAACCAAGGCAAAACCCCCTACAGGCAGCAAGTTCGGCACTGTGACTCTGGATTAGGATATGGCAAGACGCTCTCATCAACTACAAGACTTGCCGTAGACGGCTCTGAAATGTATCGGGACGTTTCGTAACAGTTAGGTACGCAATCAGTTCGGCTGCATGAGATTAGCATGGTCTGATCGGGAGCAGAGAGGTAAAACAACACGGACGGATGTTCAATATCTTCGCCCAGGTTTCCTCTCCAACCTCCGCAACCTTCTGGCTGGTGGGGGCTGGAGGGATAATCTCTAATATTCTACGTATCAGGGTTTTGCCTCTTGGGGTTTGGGCGAAGTCTTCAACATCTTTCGGGGAGATGTCACGTCGGAGGCTGCTATTTGCGTCGCGCGCTCCAAGAGCGCGGAAGAAATAGCACGGTAAATTGGAAGTAATCTTGTTCGTGACACTGGGGGTCGAAACTGAAGAAGGAAAAGATCGGTAAGTCCCATCTGGTGTCAAGCTGGAAGGAGCTGATTCCATATCGCTATCAAGCACGCAGTGAATGACGGAGTGAGCAGGTGGTAATATTGGTTTGAAATGGAAGCCGGCACGCTTGGGCCATCTAGTGCTGCCTAACATGTTCACATGATATAGCCATATTAGGAAACAAAAAGCAGATGTTTCCTCCCTGAGCGTTTCAGGGTCCTCAAATGCGCCTCCGCGGGATTAAATAATGGGCGTTTGCATCAGCGAGTGTAATGACTGCTTCCTGTAAACTGTACTACACTTAACACATGTTCTTTTTACGTCGTGTTCAAATCTTGAATTCGGCCCCAGTCTCATTCCTATACCAAGGAGAGGAACTTCATGCATCACAGCCTGCAGTTGGTCTATATTCTGGGTTAGCAATAGAGGATGCGTGTGGTTGTCACTCCCGGTTCTGACAGATTACAACAGGAAGGACAAAGCGCCAAATCACCAGAATGGAATCATGCATTTGACTTCTCATCGTCTCCTCTATGTGGATGAGGTGGATCCTATCAAGCAATCTCTAGAGCTTCCTCTGTCGTACATACGAGAAACAGAAGGCTACGCTGGCTTCTTTCGGAGCTCGGCGAAGATAATCTTATATCTGGGCTATCCCGCTGGCGAAGAATCCGACAATCCTGCAGAAGAGGAAGAAGTGGAGGACATTGGCGTTTCCTCGGCGGGATGGATCTGTCCAATCTGTTCCTACGCCAATCCTCCAGCCCTCGGTGATTCGCGACCGAACTGCGTTCTCTGCGGAGTCCAGAAGCCAGAGACAATTTTCACATCGACCATGCGTACTGAGTCGCAAACTCAACAAAGGAGGCCCCAAACGACATGTTCACTCACTATCAACGAAAATAGATCAGAGGAGACAAGCGATGGCCTGATACCGTGCCCTGCATGCACATTTTTAAACCATCCTTACTTGACTGCCTGCGAGATATGTTCGACCTCCTTAAAATCTAGCCGACCCCCCACTCGACCTGCTTCGCCCTTGCCGGACAACTTGGGTGCAAACATGATTAAATTGAGCTTCAGAAAAGGTGGTGAACCGAAGTTCTATGCTGTTCTGAAGAAAGTACTCCTTGCGAAGGGATGGGAACTCCCGATCAAATCTGACGAAGACAGATCTCGCATGGGCATCAGTACTCGCCGCTTCATACGAGAATTCTGATCAGAGCTAATCGTTTATGCAAGATGGATTACTTCAAAATGTTAAACTCGACAGCGATGTGCAGAATGAAGACATGAAGGCATCATTCAGAGATCTCGAGGCGTTCATGTCGAACGCGAAGTCAATGGTATGTGGATAGAGGATGGTCATTATCCACAAAGCTGCTGATGACCGTGCAGGTAGACGCTGCTGAAGCTTTGAACGACAAGCTCACAGTCTATGAACGCTCTCTGCCTTTGGGGCAGTCCATTGATCTCCCTGAAGAGGCGACTTTCATTCGTTCTTCTCTATTCCGTCTAGGACTGGACACAACCGCGCTAACCAAAGATATGGTTAAAGATGATGAGAAGTACTTTGATGGACTCGCCAAGGAGCTTGTCAAGGTCCTTCAAGTCGGGAACAATGGTCGCGGAGTAATGGGCGACAAAGGAATTCTAGGATTGGATGAAGTATGGGCGGCCTGGAATCGTGCACGTGGTGTCGGTAAATGAAGATCATCTCCGTATTGGTCGTAATCTAACCATATACCTTTGTCTGACAGCTTTGGTCCCCCCTGACTCCCTCACAGCTGTCATTCCCCGACTAGTGACATTCGGCAATCCGCCTCTTACCCTCCGCAGACTCAAATCCGGTCTTCTAACATTATGTACGCCGCAATTTGAAGATAGACAGTTTCAAGCTCGCCTATGCGCACGTCTGAATAGCTCTCCTGCCACCACTCTGGAGATTGTTCGAGAGGAATGCGTCAGCATGGGCCTTGCGCTTGAATTAATCGAGAGTGTAGAAGAAGGTGGCGCCATTGTAAGAGATGAATCGCCGAATGGTGAGCTACAGTGGTGGGTGAACGATTTCGAGAGATTCGTTTGGGATGGCACATGTTTGGAGTAGGGAGCGGCGATATGATCAAATATTTCGCTGGAACCGTTCAAAGTCGCTTAACAGATATATGCTACCTGCTATAACCAGCAAGCTGTCTTTTTCCGATGCCCACCTTATCGCCTCTGCGAAATTGCTCGCAGGGAAGACTTCTCCGTTTGGTCCCACAAGCTGCACAGAGGCCTCGACCAAGTCCTCGACTTTGGTAGGTTTCACCCAAGGCATGCCCTCGACAGCAGAAAAGGACAAAACCGCAACGCGATCTCCAGGCCGTAAAAGTGGCTTTAAAGTAGACAATGCCGTTTTAGGCGGAGAATGCGACAGTGAAATGAGAAATGTCCGCAGGTTCTTCCAGACCGTGTCGAGATATATTCGAAGAGCGGCGGCACCAGCGGGGTTATGAGCTGCATCAAGCAGCACTGTCTTCGGCCCATCCGGCGTGCATACTCTGGTCCAGCTTAGCCGCCCCGGCCATTGGGTAGAGCGGACACCGTCGGCTATGTTCTCATCCGTAATGCGCGAAAACGGCGGTCCGCGTCGAATTGTGTCGATGATGGTGAGAGCGGTCGAAAGGTTTTCCAATTGATGTTCCCCATGAAGGTTAAGAATTGTCTTGATCGCATACTCTGAATCGAACAGCACGGGGGTTCCTGGCGGCGGAGTACCTGCCTCAAGTCGGGATCGGTCGCTGACAGGCTTTGGACCGTCGACAACTTCTTCCCATGGACGCACTCTTGCAAGACGAGCTGGTACAAGGTTTGCCCTTCGTTGTTCGGTGACCTGCTCTACTGCGGGTATAACAGATGGACGTTTCTGTGGTCCCAAAACAAAGGGCCGCCCAGGTCTTGCAATATGTGCCTTGTGAGCAGCAATTTCTTCCACTGTGTCGCCTAGGAAAGCTTGGTGATCCAAGTCAACGGACGTCAAAGCCGACACCAAAACTGCCTCATTCGGTATAGCGTTTGTCGCATCGGATTTCCCTCCCATACCGCATTCAAGGATTGCGATATCAACCTTTTCATCCTCAAAAATCATAAGTGCCGTCGCGGTGAGAATCTCGAATTGCGAGGCAGAAACTTTGTTCGATTCGTCGAGGGATTCGATTCGGGAACGAGTAGAGGTGTATTGATCTTGTGTTACAGGAAGCTTGTTGACGGAGATGCAGTCCCAAGGATCAACATAGTGGGGGCTGTTGAAACGGCCGGTACGAAAATTTGCGGCGTGCAGGATGGATTCCACTATAGCAGTGGTACTGCCCTTCCCATTGGTGCCAGCAACGTGCACCGTAGGTCGAGTAAAATTTGGTAAAACAGCGAGAAGACGCCGCATATTTTCCAAGCTGTAGTTTATTGTTGATCCAGCCATACTGCTCCACAAGTACAGCCTCAGCGGCACTGTTGACAGGACTGGTTTTCTAAGCGTCACCATTGCGCACGGATTTGCGGAAGAAGCCGCGGAAGCATTTAGGCAGGGTAGGGGCCTAGGGCTCTCTCTCTCATTCATTCAAAAGCAAGTACAGACGTCGAACGGGAGTTCTACGATATCATCTTTGAGCAACCGCTTGCAGTCAATGGTGCTGCAGAGCATCAGCGGCTGTAGGACGTGCCCCGGGCGAAACACAAAGAAGGGTGCGTAGAAACGCTAGGCATGCTTCGTGATCCTCAAGTGTTGAGGAGATGTTAGGGATTTTTATATCACTAATCGGAGACCCTGAAGACCCCGGGTTATGCCTGGTACATTCAAAGGTGCAATACGGACATCGGTGTCAGCCAGACCTTGACCTCCCATCTTCCTACAACAATGGCATTCGCATTCTTCAGACGACGTCCTAACATTTCCATATTGTCAGCTTGCTTTGAAAATTCATATTCACATGTTCACCCGTCTACGTAGTCACAGCCCTTCGGTCCCAGCTTCGAACGAGGCATTGCAGCTGCTTCAGAAGGCTGTTTCTGAGCCTTACCCTCCCGGGAAGCTGCCTCTCGACTTTGATCTGGAAGTCATCGATTCCCAGCCTCCCACGCCCGACCAAATCTCTACCATCCAGAATTATCTGGGGAGCAACGCAAGCTTCGGGGCATCTCCGAGCTTCTCAGCAGATACCAATTCGCCAGCTGCGATTCACAAGGCCGCGATTGATAGCCTCGATAGCGTCAAGTGGCCAATTGTTGTGAACTGGGACGATGGACAGGCCAGTATTGGCAGCGTTCAGGGCGTTAAAGACATGTTAAAGACGCTCAGCGACAAGAGAGGCGGTGGCAGCAAGAATGGGTCGTCCTAACCAGCATGTTGCAATCAGTCACATTTTGCAGGCTTGTACAACCATAAGATCATGTATCAACAGGAAACCATTCGCTTCTCCACCCATACTGTACAAGAGTCAGCCGACATGGTCATCGAGCCACGCCCCCTTTGTCAAACCATCTATCTCGGGGAACGTTCTTATTGCACCACTCCCTTAATGAGTTAAGCTATATTGGCCACCCTTCTCAGCTCCAACCGGTAATGCAAGAGGGCATGAGTGCTCCCCCTGTCAGTACTCATGCTTATGCCGCAAAGGACAGTTCACGCTGTCTACTCCGTTAGACCTACTCAGATTGCTAGCGCTATTCTTGTCAGCCCATTCGTAGTGATGCTGGCGGCATGTCGCCCCCGGCCTTGGTTGATAGGTGGGTGACACCAACGTGGCGCTTGCTGCAGAGGAACGACAACCTTGCGATCCATTACTAGACCGTTCGCCGAGTCCAACTGCTCTCGGAGCCGGATATAATTGGGATACCTCTGTGCCCAGGCCTCTCGCCAAATCGTGGAACTCCCAAAAAATCAGTGGACAGTCTACGAATCGTGGTATGAGCAAATGTCACTGCCTTCTCACAGCCTAGGTCGGCGATTGTGAATCTTTGGCCCGTGTTCCAGCGCTCCTGCTTCCACGTCTCTTCTGGTAAACTGCCGCAGATCATGTGTATGAGTACCAATGCCGCACACTCTAGATCGGTGGCAGGGCACGGCGCTATGCAGTCAACAGCAACAGCTTCCCACGCGTGACGGTGTCCTCGATGAGCCTAGACACTCACCTAGTCTTTTGTACCGAGAAGTGATCGATCGAGCCCGAAAACGCAGATATACAACAAAGTAGATGACTCAAATGCGGGTTATGAGGGTCGGTATGTCGTGCATGCACGTGCCCTCCATGCCTCCGACGCACCATAAAAAGGGGATATTGTGGCTGTGTTAGGTATGATTTCCGGAGTCCCGGTGACTAAACACAAGACGTGAACACCGCCTTTGCGTCCTTGCATCCGGTTCCTGTGGCTTCTTCCACAAGCGCTCACTTCAGTGGGGACAGCCCGACGCAGGGCCTTGACACCTCTCTCTCTCTCTCACACACCTTCCTTCTCTCATCTCCATCGCACTCAACATCCCCCCCCATCAAATATCGTCTATCCACCATGTCCGGTCGAGATATGCCAGCGTACGACGCGGATCTGTTGGCCCAGGCGCCTGAGCCGACCAAGGAGCAGAAACAGGTCCGTCCACATCGGTTGCCCCTCTAAGACCCAAACGCTGATCAGCGTCTGTTCCTACCGCTCAGAGTGGATATCAAACAAAGGGCTTGCTGGACGAGCCTCGCGTCCCCAGCCCTTCCCGTACCCCCGCTCCCCCTGTGCCTGAGGCCGAAGCCTCTGGTACCAATGGACGTACCGTAGACCTGCTGGAGAAGGGCTCCTTGGACGACCGTTCTGCAGGTGCCGTCGCCGCAGCTGCCCCCGTCAAGCGTCCATGGTATCGTTCCCCGAAGTGGCTGATTATAATCGGTGTGATCGTCGCAGCTATCATCATTGCAGCGGTTGTTGGAGGTGTTGTGGGCTCGAGGAATGCAAACAACAACAACTCGGCGAACATAGACAAAGCTGGAGATGGTTCATCCCCAAATACCCCATCTGGTGCCACGCCAGGACAAGTACTCAACCCGAGTGCGTCGGTCTCTAGCACAAGCGCTGCAGCCACCGACTCTGGCGTCATCAACCTGAACCCTGCCACTGCATCTGCCGCCAGCTCAGATCTATTGGGCAAAGGAGCTGCGCCCACGCCAACTAATTCCTAGCTCCTCGGGTGAGGGTACGTCCGATCCCCGTAATAATTAGATTCGATGATCTAAACGCCGACAGGTGTGACGTCCCACGGCGACGGCTCCAGGGACATTTTTACCACTTGTATTTCAGTCTTTTTATATGACATTGTATATGCATGGGAATTCGAGCGTCGCATCATCACGATTCGTCTGTGAAGAAGTCGGACAACATGCGTCCGTGGTTAGAACATTCCTCGCGAAGGAAGGGACGTCCGGAAGCAGACACTCTGTATGGACGAAAAGAGTGAACAAGTTGGAAACGAACTATACCTTTCTTCTTCGTCCATCTTCAGTCCTGCAACGAGCCTGCAGGAGAACACGCCCTTTCATACCACCATCCTTACCAACTGTTTTTCAGACTCGTGCTTATACACTCCGTTCACTATTCGCCTGGATATATATCACCTCTCACGACCCTCCCACTCAGCCACATGCCCTCCCAGTAGCACCGTATCAACATGTCTTCCTTTATAACCAGAATTCAGCGCTCCTTTCTGAAGAAGAGAGATGGACAAATTGATTCCACGGGCCTGCAGAGCCCAACGGCTCCGGAAAAGCCGGGGAAAGTACCTGTCAAGCCGTTGACCAAGGCTTTCGTTTCACCCTCTCCGGCCAAAAGAGATGCTCCGAATAGCCCTCACTCTCCACGCCGTCCCACAAGTCCTATACTACCTTTTCTGAACAAATCAAGCTCGAAAAAACACCTGAACTCCCCGAGATCTGTCGAACCAATCCCACAACTCTCTTTAACACTTCCCGATCCCAGTCCAGTTAGTCACCAAGCGGACCCGTTCATACCAGACATCGCCCGGACTGTGCTGGACAAACAAGTACTGGACGAGAAGAGATTGAAACTGGAAGAGGCCTTGAAAATGTTGCAGACAGCGGGAGGGGTGGTCATGGAACGTGGTAAGCACAATTGACCACATTGCGGCTAAAATCCCTAACAATCTCTAGGACTTGAGACCCTTGGCATATTCCGTCCCCATTGGCATTCTGAGAATTTCGAAGTGCAGCAAGCGCTCCTGTCTATGTTTATAGCATCCCTATCCTCAGGCCAAGACGGCGCTGGAACAGCTGCTCAGGAAGCTTTCCTTACCGAGCTACGGTATACATCGGACGTCCATGATGTCACATCTGTGCTCAAATGGGCTTTGCGACATCTTCACTTCGAGGATGGTCCATTTGGCCTCACCACAGGGAACGCACTCGAAGGACAACCTGAATGGTCGTGGTATCGCACCTTTGGTCTTAGTGAGCAGCAGGCGAACTATCCCCTGTCTGCCTTCACGCTTCTCCTTCTCCCGAGTCTCCCACCTGGCCATGCCGATCTTCTCAGATCATTGATGGACCTGATATCGTCTGTGGCATCTCACGTGGCTCAAAATGCCATGTCTGGGAACCGACTTAGCAAAGCGCTTGCATTGTGGGTTGTTGCCCCAAATATATCCAACTGTACCAGCTTCGGAGCTTTTTATGAACAATGGCAGAGAGCCAGCAGGGTAATGGAGCATTTGTTCCTCTGTTACGTACGGTGAGCACAATGGAAGCTCCAGAGATGATTAGATACTCACAATCCCTATTGTGTAGAGATGTAGGCCGCGCGCATAAGCTGCCTGCTCGTCTTGCAGAACTCGTTGCACATTACCCCTTCAACAATGTTCCGGCGTCGACAGACATGTTTCTTCCCCAGCCTGATCTTACCACACATCAGTTTAAGGCGTTACTCGTTCGTATCAAACAAACAAGTCCCAGCGGAAGGACGGACATGTCTGAACTACTTCCTTCGGAACTATTACACCACGCGCTCATCGCAAAGAACGATCCAAGTTCATCGCATTCTGCAGAGCTCGAAGACCTATGGTCGCTCCTGAAGGCGAAGGCAACTCCCGCAATGGAGAACATGAATGGGATTGTGTTACCCTTCGACCTTTCGCGGCTTATTGCCGAAGAATCTCTTCGCCTCATGTCTTTACCGACACAGAGCAGTACGACATCCCCGACACCGCTGTCCCAGAGTACTGTTGACCCAGAACGCTCGTCCTCCGGTCGGAGTAAGCGGCGTTCTTTTTCAATGGATCACGGGCGCTCCAAGCCGGCATACAGTTCCCTCACTGTGTTGTATGAGGATTCTTCTCCAATCACTCGTATACGGTCACAGGAAAACCTCAGTGCCCCAGCAAGTGAAAACAAGGTCGACTGGGATAGTTTTTCCTCTTCTGGCTTCGGCGTTCTCAGCTCCACGACGGGTTTAGCAGAGTCTCTTTCTGGCCGGACAGTAAACGGGTCGGCGCGCGCAAACGGCACGACAGAGTCAACGGACAAGAAAAATGTTTTGAGGCAGGAACCACCCGTAGATATTATGCCGCCTTACTTGGCCGCCCTCTCGCTGGTCCCTCTCGACGAAGCTTTTATTGACGTGTGGTGTGATTCTTTACTTGATCCCACAGTCCGACAGCACTGGCCAGGATATGTGCTGTGCCAGCTTTCAGACTCCGCGAAGGCGGCAGGTGCCTGCGTGGGTGCAGAATGGCTCGTCATCGAACGTGAGATCGTCTCTTCTCCAGGTCCTGTGAAGACACAAAGTATACAGCGCTCTCCATCGAATGTGTCTGCAGCCACAACGACGCGCTTCAATCGGTCGTTAGGTCGAGCTGCTGCAGAGGTGACTAGCCGCAAGCGGTTTTCCCTTTTCAGCACGAGCAGTGGCAGGTCTGTACGCGGCAGAAAAGAATCGTCCGCCACCATCGCCAGCAAACACGCACCCATTGATGAGCTCGTAGATGCACCGCCCCTCCCTTCTCAAGCCATATGAGGCAAAATACCCAACCTCCCACCCTGACTTATCGGGTCACCCTCATTTTGTTTCTCGTGCCTCCTTTGGGTTTCTGATTGTCTGAGAATAATAGCAGCTGACTCGGATCGCTTGTGAGGTCTTCCATCTCATTAGAATATCGCCTTGTAATGCATGTTGCTGCTGCCAACCACAAGGTCTCTCTCTAGGTCAAGTGATAATCTGCTTGATTGAACGCATTATGTACAGGCCTTGTCTCGAGCTTCTAGCTGAAACGGCAACAGTGCTGTTTTGGTCAAAATTTGATCGCGAATTGCTCTATATTCCAGAACTACCATTGTTGGTTATTAGTCATTGTCAACCGATCCGAACTGCCGCTTAGCTTACCTCTTCCGCGTAAGTCATGATGGCGCGATCAGAACTGAATTTGCCCATCTACGCGGAAAAAAACGTTAAGATCCCCAAATAGACCGTACAAAATGCATTACCCTGGACACTGTTAGGATAGTTTTCTTCGTCCATTCTTCAGGATCTTTGACATAGGCATCGTCCACCATCTTGTTTGCCTCTACGTACGAATCAAAGTCATCGGTGACAAGGTAATAGTCGCTAAGGCGAATGGTGTCCACGAAAGGTTGATAGATCGTCGGATCGCCAAAACGGCCCTCTTCAATTTCCTTCAAGACAGCTGCCAGTGCCGGAGAGCGTTCCTCTACAGGAATGGGATGATACTTGTGCTGATGGCGCAGATCCTCAACTGCGTCGGTGAGGTGTCCAAAAAAGAACACCTAGAAACGAATGAGCAAAGTTGTGTTTGCCATTTTGCATTGTGACGCACATTATTGGAGTCTACTTCTTCAGCAATTTCGATGTTAGCCCCATCCACAGTCCCAAGAAGCAAACCACCGTTAAGACAGAACTTCATGTTTGACGTGCCGGACTGGTAGAATCTTCTTCAGTCTCAGGATGATCTTACCAACAACACGCCTCCTACCGCTTCAGTGCCAGCCGTTGATATATGCTGACTGATGTCAGAGGCAGGGATGAGAATCTCCGCCAGTGACACAGACTGTGATGCGATCAGTATTAATAAAAACACATGTTGGAATGACGAATACATAGTCTGGCACAAAAACAACGGTGAGAATGTCCTTCATGTCCGCGTCAGCGTTGATGGTTCTAGCCGTGTTGACAATGAGACGAATCAGCTGCGAGAAACATTAGTGAATGACTGGAGCAGTCTGTTCGAGGCTGACAAGTTTGGCCATGAAGTAACCAGGTGCTGCTTTGCCGCCGAAGATTACGACACGAGGGTTAACCTTCTTGCGCTCCGTCGAGGTCATTGCCTTGAGTGTCAAGTATCTCTACGCTTCAGTTAGCGCGTTCATATTAGCGGAACAAGAAGCTGGTTACATGGATCACCCCAAGAAGATTGAGGCTTTGCCGCTACGGAAACTTTTAGCAAAATGTCGGACTGAAAGTATGAGCCCACCTTATACTCATGAATGCGTTTGATCTGGATATCGAAAAGGGATTGAGGGTTTACAGTTATGCCCAGATGTGTCTTGATATAGTCAGCCAGATGCTTCTTGTTGTTATGCTTGATCAGTGCCCATTTTTTGAGGAAAACAGAGTCTTCGGCAAATGGCTCCAAAGCCTTCAGCAAGGTCAGATCCTTCAACCAGACTGCTTTCGGCTTCTGGATGGCATCCGTGATGAGGTTGCTGAGACCCGGGTTGCATTGATCCAACCAGCGGCGAGGTGTGACTGAGACCCTATGAAGGTGGCCCACATAACATGTAGACTAGGGGACTCACCGCCATTTGTGACATTAGCAAACCTGGAAATAGCGCTGTGAGATGGATTTCGATACCACCTAGCATTCACTTACTTGCTCTTGCCAAAGAAGTCGACAAAGTCTCGCAGAATAGTTTCACGAACAAGATGACTGTGGAGCTCCGCGACGCCATTCTACACAGGGATTAGGGGAACCGCCGCGACACGTAATTTGGAGGAACAGACCACTTTAGCAGAACCTAGATATCCAGTCAACGTGCGATCCGTGAAAAGAGGTCAAGTTTCTACCAATCGTGGCTAAGAATGCCATTCTAACATACTTCGGTTCACCCTCTATATTGCGTGACATTAGAACCTAGGAAGACGAAGGTCATGGACCCCAACCTTGAATGAGTGACATGCGAGCTAGACGTTCACGATCATTGGGCCACTACCGTCTTTTCAACCAGAGGACGACATCGCACAGCCTGAAATGTTACCTTACGCTCCACAGCTAAACGAGGCATGAGCGGATGTCGGGAGGCAATCGTTGTAGGACATTACCTTGAAGAAAGGCCCTATAACGAAGGGGCTTACAATGAAGCAAAGTAATGCGAAGTGGCACGGAAGACATACATATTGATATCATAAATAATTTGCAGATGCCTACCCAGAAAGTCAGTTAATACACCCCTCACCAAGGTGATATCGCACCTGGGCAGGACATGTTCCATGAGGGGTACCGGCCATTTCTCGAGGGCCTGGAACAATCAATCACTCAGCTCGGGTGCTCCGTTACCCACCAGTGCTCACCTCAGGCAGGACCGTGTGATTGGTATAGAAGAAAGTCTTCGTCGTGATTGCCCACGCGTCGCCCCACGGAACCTGGTATCCTTGCTTCAACGTCCATTTCAAGTTCACTTAGGAACAGAGACTCACATCTTCCTCATCAACGAGCATGCGCATCAGCTCGGGGATAGCGATGGTAGGGTGTGTCTCCAGAGGTGTCAAAATAAACCCCTTCCCATTCCACATACACACATACATCGTTCAGTTGGATTGACACATCTGGTTTCAACGGCATGGTAAGACATCATGATTAGAATAACAGGCTGTGGCATACACTCAGGGAACTCCGACCAGGGCTTTTCCACCTGCTTGAAGCGCCGAATGATATCGGACAGACTCGCTGCGCACCAAAATGCTTGCTGCTTCAGACGCAGCTCCTTGCCGAGCTATGCATGTACAGTCAGCGATCATGAAGTCTGGTCCGTAGGACACAAGTCGGCTCACCATGTGATTATCATTAGGATATAAGACGCGAGTTAAAGTCTCCGCGCTGCTATTCTCTTGAATAGCACGATCATAGTCACCTGCGGGGCTGTGAGCATCCAGGACAAAGCGTAGGCAAGAACATTACCAGCATTGAAACTGTTGAGGTCGAATCCCCTCTTTGGTTTACTATAAAAGTGAGTCCTCGCCACAGAGCGATAATAAAAAGAACGTACGCGTCCCATAGGCGGAGGTTATTCACAGTGTTTGTGGAATATCCAGGGATAGGTACGTCATACGCTACTGCCAGTACCTCCTGACCGCCAGTCCACACAGCCTTGCCGTTTCCAATGCGCTCGGCGTGCCCATAGAAGCGGACATCGTACGTGACATCTTGGCGGGGGATTTCCCAAGGGTTGTCAGTATCCAGCCAAGGGTCCGGACTGGCTAGACGTCAGATTGAGGTGAAGGGAAAATCATTGCTTACGCCTCCAGCTGGGAACCATCCGGGGCGATATGCTGAGCGACTGTGCGAAGAGAGGTCAATTGGCGACGGCCAACAAAGAATGATATTATCATACAGAGGCCATAGTGATACCTCAGCCCATACCCCCACAACGGCAGCTCCATGGTGGCACCGGAATCGAGATAACACGCGGCCAAGCGGCCTAGGCCGCCATTGCCAAGGGCAGCATCTCTCTCAGCATCAATGAGGTCTTCCAAGTTCTACATATATTAAGTTATCAACGTCATGATCAGCAGCATGAAGCACATACAAAGCCCAGCTTATGAGTAGCAGCCTTATACTGCTGCTTCAAACCCAGATTCAGCAAGGCGTTGTCAAGAGTTCTGCCCACTGGGGTGATCATTCAGTGACTGGTCGTAAGCAAGATCCGGTGACACTGACTGAGAAACTCCAGAGAAAGATAATACGCTCTGCACACCAGTTAGAAGGGTGAAACAAGTGGTAGACAGTCGCTCGCCTCTTAGGTTGTTTCCTGGTGTACTGCATCTGTGTTTCATTCCACTGACGAGCAAGGGGGAAACGAGATTATCGAACCAAAACGACAAGTGCAGTGCTGGGAGAAGCTCACCTTCACGATTAAATCGTCCCTAACAGAAAGGGCGACAGCTTGATACGCCCCCAGCTACCGGATGTCAATCACATCTTCAATGCTTTGAACAGTACTGACATTATCGAGGTTATATGCCTGTCGAGCCAGGGTGGACTGAACATGGTAAACAATGGCGTTGGTGATGTCCGATACGGCTGGGTCCATACATGAGCGGACAATTGAAGGAAGATGAAGTGGTGCATACTATTAGGGATACCCCTCATACCGGCTTTCCAAGTCTTCTCGTCACCCCTTGGCCAGATTTCTTTGCCATCCTTGAGCGTCGCCGGTAAATATCCTTCAACGGCAAAAGATGCAGTTCAGGCCGGCATAAGGGAGAGAAATTTCGCACCTGTGGCACTGCGTTTATGTTGACGCCTAGGTGCTGCTTGACCGATCTTTGCAGGATCAATCGTGGTGATCATAGTGGATAAACCTCAGAGGTTGCTTCACCGAAGTTCAAAGAACGTTGGAGAGAGGAGGATGGCATGGGAACGCGACGCGCGATCCTAATATACCGAGGCAAAGGGGCTGAACGCGGCGGCATTCACCCGCTTGGCTAAGGGCGATGACCACCGCGTTCCACCTGGTTGAGCTCCCATTCGTCCAAAAATTACTAATAAGTTGTGCGCGGTTTAGTAGAGCGCCTGGACGATCGGCGACAGCCTACGGTGGTATTGAATGCCGCCTTCTCTCCTCGACGTACTTTATGTTGCCTCTTCGGCCGCCCGTATTGCTTCAAGGAGCGCGACAATTCAGACTGCCCAATGGGCTCACAGGTCAAGACTTCCGGAGTATCGCAGTCGGCAACAATCTCAGAATCCCACATCCAATTCAAACCCTGCTCTGCAGGTTAACCTCCTCGAACAACAGCGTAAAGCGGCGGCTTCTCTGAACGATATCCAATCCTATGTGCACCCCGATCAACCTGGCGATTTTAGTCAAGTCGCTGAAGCAGCCCTCGAATCAGGTTGTCCTGCCGTGGAGGAAACACCTCTTTTTGACGGAGGGAACGCCGGACACGAAACCTATAATGGATCTGCCAAAGGTGCACCAATGTGTCTGTCTTCCTCTTCTGAAGAAAATGTGGTGCCCGCGCCGGGTAGCCCACCATCCAAACCCGTATTACCGTCGCAAAGAGTGGAAGGATCCACATTGCTTGACGAGGTGCGTTCGTACTACATCCCGTTGCTCTGGATGGATCTCAACCCTGCGGGTACAGCCCACGGTCACCTTGAAACCGTCACGAGTACCCTCTTCTCGGCTAGCACGTTTGCTCCATTATGGCGGTAAGGTCTTCTCTCAACGGCGATGACAGTACTGGCTAACACCAGGGCAAAGGATTGGCTGCGGGCCTTGGTGTAGGCGCAGCGTCCGAATTTCTACGTAGACGAAATCGTCAGGACACCTCGACGCCAATCTTCCTCAGCGAAACTAACGTTGCACGATTGGTCGATAAACTGGGGAAGATGAGAGGTGCAGCCCTCAAGCTCGGCCAATTTCTCAGTATACAAGGTAGTGCTCTCATATCCTGTCCCTCTGAACCATGCTGAGACCAAGCAACGAACGCAGATGCTCACGTGCTTCCTCCTCAATTAGAAGCAATTTTTCAACAACTTCAAAATAAGGCTAATTATATGCCGGATTCTCAAATGCAGGTCAGCCGATTGTCCATGGTTTCGAGCTCTTGTTTACTGATTGGCCTATCAGCAAGTGATGAATGCCGAGTTGGGCACCAATTGGAGGTTAATATTCGAAGACTTCGACGCGATCCCTATTGCCTCGGCTTCTATAGGACAGGTGCACCGTGCGCGTCTTGCAGACACTGGCATGGAAGTTGCGGTCAAAATCCAATTCCCAAATGTTGCCGAGTCAATCGTTTCGGATCTATCAAATTTATCACTGCTCTTGACCACATCCTCTCTGCTTCCTCCCGGCCTCTTTCTGCAGAACACGATCACAGCAATGCAGCAGGAGCTGGCGGATGAGTGCGATTACGAACGTGAAGCTCGTTACATGCAGAATTTCGCCCACAAGCTGCACGGGGACGAGATGTTCAATGTTCCCCGCGTGGTGTCCGAGTACACAACAAAGCGGGTGCTGGTAATGGAATGGATGCACGGCGTGCCCCTCACGAGAGCAATTCATTTCGACCAAAATGTCAAGAACGAGGTAATGCATCCCGTCTAACTGACCAGCCCATCTGATCAAAACGCCTCAGATCGCTAGTGCGGTCCTCCGCCTATGCCTGAGAGAACTTTTCGAGCTCTCGATGATGCAGACGGACCCTAATTGGACCAATTTTCTGTGGAATCCCACAACCCACCAAGTATGTACTCGCTTCTCAAAAGACTTTTGTTAATGTGGATCAAAGATTGAACTCATCGATTTTGGTGCTACTCGCGAATACTCCCAGTTATTCATTAAGCAGTGGCTGCGATTACTCCGTGCAGCAATCAACTCTGAAAAAGAACAATGCCTGCAGGCCTCCAGAGCGGTTGGCTACCTCACTGGAGAAGAGAACGAAGTGAGCTGAAAAGCAGTGTAATTCTTCCTGTCGTTGTAACCAGCCCATGCCAGGAAATGGTCTCGGCGCATCTGGAAGCCATGTTTCTTCTTGCCCAGCCATTCAGGGAATCCTCCGATCAACCATATCAGTTTAAAGACCAGACGATCACCACACAAATCAAAGCACTCATACCAATTATGCTCCGTCATCGACTAACACCGCCGCCACGGGAGACGTATAGCTTGAATAGGATGCTTTCGGGTGCTTTCTTGCTTTGCGCACGACTAGATGCTGAAGTGTATTGCAGCCAAATATGGCACGAGACAACAGATTGTTATGAGGATAATTATAGCAATTGAGTGTAATATGAATCGGACATTGCTATGTCAAAGTAATGCGATATCTGTCACATCACCCACTTTTTATCTTGTCTTGTCTTTTTGACTGTAGATACGATCGGTAAATGGCCTTGACTGCATCAGCAGCAGTCAGAACCAAAGAGGACGGACTACTCTTACCCTTCGAAGCGCAATGCAATCATGTACACGCCCCATACAAACGTGGAAAGCAAGATCCCAGCAGGTCGAGCATACCTATGAATCGGTTCAAAGTCTCAGTCTTGCGATAACCTTGCAATGAACTCTTTCTTACCAGAACGCGCCGCCAAAGAAACACATGGTACTTCCGATGTACATTGGATCACGAACCACATTGAACGGGAAGCATTCCACCCGTTCTTTCATCAAAATTCCGAAGTAATCTCCGAGATAGGTGCCAGTGATGCCAAGTGCATACGTAGACGTCAGCACAAGGGCTTGACCTCCAATGAAAAAGGATATTGCCAGGAACTGGAAAATGGGAGCGGTCAAAATGTCCATTTGCGGCTGATCTCGAAGTGCTTCCGTATAGCTTCAATGGGTTAATACAGATGCCGTAGAAGGAGTTTCAACATACAATGCATCACGTATTATTCCCAGGACAAAAATAACTGTAGCCAATGCATAGCAGCCGTGAAGACGATTTCCCCTGAATAGGTTTGTGATGGTACGGTGGTGGTATTCTGCATAAGAAGCTTGCTCAACAAACCGACCTTAGGGCAAAATGGCGCTTACCATTCCGAGCGACGATGTTCCAAAATGCAGGGTTGAAAGCTATCGCCATTATTGCGATATATAACGAACTCTTGTTAAAATCAATAAGATGCCCAACCTCAGTCAGATCCATGCTTTAGTTAGGTGAACGTAAAAGGTATGCGGTCGCTCAGGGATCAACTCGATATTCACGTTATTATAATAAATGAAGTTTCAGAGGTGCCACCGTTCACACCTCGGCTCTGGGCGTCACAATAGCATGACCAGTCAAGAGAGGAGATTAAATCATCCAATTGGGATGAGACGATCATGGACAATGGGACGTGTTGTTATTTTTCTAGATGGTTTTGTACAGTGCTCTAGATCTCTTTTGATCGATCACCTCAAGTCCGTCTAGATGGCATGTCTGTTGGGCCGCATTGCCATTGCCGTCCTTGTGGTATATTATTGAACGGGGTTGATTTATTCATCAGGCTCCTTAAATGCAGCGTCATAGACCAACAGCTTACGGTCTGCGTATGACGGAATAGGCGACCCATACGGCTCTGTGGTTTTCCTCGATTTGGTGAGCCTCTGGGCTGTTTCGCGGCCACAATCCATATTGAAGACACGGATGTACATTGTGCTCCCAGATACATATGATCTACACGGGCAATTTCCAGGTTGGTGATTGAAGGCCTCAAACCCTCGAACGGACACCGGCAGAGCTCATTCCAGAATTATTGGACAGCCTGGGAGATGCTTCCTGTGTTCCCCTGTCAGCATCGGTTGTAGGGTGGCAAGGGAGCATATCAGTCAAGAGCTGGTTTCAAACTATGAATGAATGCACGGGGATTAAACAAAAGAGTAATTTGGGTCAAGAATAGAGCGTCTGATAGACAGAAATATGACATTATAGACCAGCACTATGAATACAGGCAAGACATCAATCAGCATCGACGGCATGACAGAAAGTACTACTATACAGCAGGAGATGGAGTCGAAGACCGTTCATCCACAGACGAGTAATCAGCTTCCTCCACGGGGTGCTCATCTGGCGTCAGCGATATAGATGGATCTTTAGTACCTCCATTCAGTAGTATAGTAGGATCGTTACCATCCTCTGGTGTTCCGGAAGATTCGTGCAAAGTCAGTCCAGCAGGGGCCGAACGGACACGATGTCGAAGCTTGGCGAGGTAAGCTTTGACGAATTTCCTCATTTTAGCTTGTTTTTCCTCGGAAAGTGTATCTAGCCTGGCGGACTTGTAGTTGCTGGATCGCTTCTCCTTCTCCACAATGCGGTCGGTGAGCTGAAAGTTAAATACAGTGACAGAAGCATAGCAGAAGCAGAAGCGCTTACCTCTCGTGCATACCGCTTGAAATCATCCCGCTCTAGTCTCATCGCATGTTTCGCGAGGTGTTTGGACATGCATTGTACAACAATCTCGCTCACAAGACGGCTCATTCGTTTGTCTCTACCCGCGATATCTGATGACTTGTTCCGAGAAGTGTCAGTCGTCCGACCTGAAGCACGGTGGGTTTTCCTTGGGAGAGGCAACGGACTGAGGCGGTCTGTCGGGGCTGATGTAGAAGCAGCAGCAGCCTGCGCAATAATGGCCGCCAATTCGGCGCGGACTGGATGTGAAGCAGTAACAGGTGAAGCTGCAGCCGTTGCAGTTAATTTAAGGTTTGCTGCAGATGTGCTTCGAGTTATTGACGGGGGGCCGCTGAACTTAAAGCCCATTGGTTGAAATGCTACTACGGAAGCTGGGATGTCCTCATCAAACCTGATCCGTTTGGATGGTCTCGGGGATGCCGGGACCTCCCCAAAACTGCCAGGTCGCGAACCAGTTTGACTAGAGGAGTCCATTTCTTCCTCCTGTAACCATGCATGAGCTTACGGTCCGGTGCGAGGTAACAGCCAGTATCGGTTTCATTACCTTGAGGGCACGTTTCGGTATGCGATACGCGGACTCTAGCTTCGCCCAGCCGGACAAGAGCTGGAGAAGCAGATAAGAAACGATTGATAGGATGCAGACAAAGAATTCCCACGCACTTCGCTCGCAATTTTGCGCAGCGTGTCATTGTCCGATTGAGCGAAACGGCTGACGGGCTCTTCCAAATGCGCATCTTCAACTTTATTCCGCGTTTGCAGCGGCCAATGCAACATGCTCTCTAGTGCCTGACTGGTGTAAGCTCGCGGGGTGGGCCAAACGAAATGTGCGTACAAGGAGAACCACTTCTACATCGTCACCAAACTCATCTAGGATGCCCGCCATCATGCTATACCCATACATGCGCATCATCCTACGCTGAACAGTGTCGTCCTCTGTCATCTGTCACTTTGGTTAATGATCACGCCGCTTGTCGAAAGTAGTACACGAACCCGAATGCGCAGGAGCAGCTTGCAAACAATACGCCGATTTGTAGCCTGCCGAAGGGCAGCAACGACCTTAGCTACTTCGCTTTCATCGACTGGTCTGAGAACAGGCTGTAGCAGACAACCATGAGAACACTTTGAGACGCTCAGATGTGTCTATCGCACCAAGTAATCTTCGTCTAGTTTACGACTTGTCTTCTTTTTGGAGCCTTTCAAATTTAGCTTCTCCACGTCATCCACGATGCCCAGCGCTGCAGAAATTGGTAAAAAGATATTATATCAGGACAAAAAGCAATTTACCGTCCAGATAGAGGTCATCCATGCCCGCCAAATCGGTCTGCGTTTTGCCACCGATAAAACCTACACAATTCGCCTCGCCACAATAACAAGGTTGAGCATCATGCCTGGATAATAGCTCAGCAGCTCAGCAGAACTGGATAAGACGTTCAGCTAACCCATAGCGATCAACATTGTAGTTGAATGTTAACTCCTCGCCTCGTGAAATTTCCCTCTTAGCAAAGATACCCATTCGAACCCGTGGTCCCACAACCCATTTCGCAACATAGCAGTTAGGATTGCAGCTGTGATTCGCAAAGCGTCCAATACCACCCTTCTTTGTGGCATCGATGTACTTCAGACGAGTTGAATTTCAGGGGGGGTAACAGCCGTAACCAGCGCACCTCTTCGCGTTGTAGCATCATAAAATAGAAATGTTTGATACCTTCGTCAGCGTATTCATGCATCCTCTTCAGAAAAGTCGTTTGATTGATGACCTCCCCAATATATTCATATATGAAGGAATCCCTGCGGCGATCAGCATCCTAAAACGTCCACCAGACGATACTCACGGCTGAAGATCAGTAGCGGCCCTTAGCCCATAACCTTTCTTGTCCGTCGATACTATCTCAATATCGGCATATTGTTTGCGCTGGAATCTACACTTGTGAATACGACGCATGTTCCAGGCAAAAAGCAGCTTACCGCTGATTTTGGCAGTGGGAACGACAACGGCATTCGTCCGCCAGACATTCCACCTGAGTTAGCCGGTTGATACAGTCTGATCCATAGCCACAAGCGGCTTCTGGGGGATCGGTAGCTAACCGAACACTGTTGGAGCAATATTTTTGGATCAAAGTTGAACGTACCGTAATCAAATTGGCAATCGCACTCCATACAATCATCCTTCTGCCTTGAGCGACCCAAGCTGTTATACTGATACGCATTGTCACTCAGCTCAATGAAGGCTTTCAAAGCTTCATCTTCCGCCCGAGCCAAGTGTGTTATGAGTTGACGGCCATTAGCCGCCGTGTGAACGACGTCTAAGCGATCCTGGAGAGCCATCGGTCAACAGTCCGCGAAGAGGTTGAGCCAGTTCGTCAGTTCAGAGCGTGTGACACATTAGAGTCTGTAAGTATCAATGTCACGTTCTCCTCACCAGAACTAAGGCAAAAGGAGCGATGGTGACGAGTACCTTTCCCGATGTCAGGCACACTGAGAAAGAGCGGAGACGCGTCTGACGTTACGGCATCGGCGTTTAGCCATTCCGACTTGCCTTAGCGCCGCAATTCGATTTTCCTGTGTACCGTTGAACGACAACACAGAGATGGTGTCCGTGGTGAATGCTAATAGTTCAACGCATTCGCGGGGGGCTATAGTCGGTCTGTTGGCTCATATAGCTCGACATGCTCATTATTGATCTCCATCTTCTTCCAGGGAGCTTCCCCGCGCTGGTGCCGGCATCATCCACCACTTTCAAATGTTATCACGAACCCGCATCTCATGAATCTCGGGCTGTGGCTGCATCGAGTGAGAAAAGTATCCTCTTTGGAAGGAGCACCGAAATCGACTTTCTCAGCGTAAATCAAGATGCAGCTGCGATTAACTCAGGCTCCTTCTCTGAGTATATGGTGGCAGTCTACGACCAGCCGGCCAACAAACTCGTTATACAACCAGCACCTCTCTACATAATGTCTCGCGAGGTAAAGCAGAAGCAGGTGTCGACTATTGATCGTAGCATCGGACGAAGAGTACAAGCCAGAAATGCGCTCGGGCAGACCTTTGGCTCCAAGAGGTCAAAGGCTGCAATTCAGGCGGCAGAACGAAATCGGGTCGACGTCGCAGCTATGAAGGGCATTGCTCACCACTTGCAGGAGGATATCAGGATGAATACTAGAGCCCTGCCGAACATCAGTTCGCAGATTTCTCTCTTTATCTCCCGTATTGACTTCATTTTCGCAGGTGAACAAGAAGCGATTTACCACAATCGACCTGGACCATCCCCAAACATGGAGGCGAATGACCCTGCTGGGGTAGGGGCAAAATCTCCTGCACCCGTGAAGGACACTCACGACCGCATGCCAGGTCTATTCTATAAATAGTGTTGTCCCCGATTCTGAGTTGAAGGCGTGTCCCACGCGAGAACTGGTAGCTGCTCAGAGCAATGACGAAAGGACCAATATTCTTCCTTACAACCGTTCAACATGGATTAATCAACGCCTTATCCTTGCTGGTCAAGAAAGTAAGATCAGCAAGTTGCATTTGTATGAAGATTGTCGTGTTTATGACGTATGGTTCCCTAACGCTGTGTTTTAGACGACTCCTGTTCCATATATCCTGTATGCTCTGCTTCAGGCAGGCAACGATGAATGGTGGTGACATGGACAAGATGAATGGAAGGATGTCTCGTATTCCTTCTTTAGTTCAGGAAGGCCTGCGCGCCAGATATTCGGAACCATCGCGCCTCTCTAAAACGTCAGTTTATTTTATGCCGTGCATTCGTGTAGGTTGAAACTGTGTCTACAGGAGTCGAGTTACATCCGAGATGGACGTCAAACTTCTGGCGCACATGTTCGTGTTATGCCTAATTGTGGACAATTTTGCCGCTGACGTCGGCACGCTTGCAAGCGACTTGCACCTGCCACCAGCTAGGTAAGTCAATTGTTCTATCATGTTAGTTGATTTGTCAAAGAAAAAAACAGGGTGATGAAGATTTTCCGTGCAATCGGTATGTCTCCCTTACGGCATCATTTCCAATCTTACCTGTCATATAATGTATAGGATGCAAAGTGGAAATTCCGAATGTGGACGACAGAACTCGCCTGGGTCTCCCCAAGGAAGCCCACTTAGCCCGAAGGGCATTCCTGAGGGTTCCACTTGATTTCCCGAAGCCCCGACGAGGCCGGACTCAGCGAGCGTAAACACCTGGAACCATCCCCCACCTTCGTTCGCCTTTCCTGCGTATTGATCCATATGCTCAATTACATACCCGATGTTCACATTTTCTCCATCCCATCGAGAAGCGGCATGCGGCGCTAGATTAGTCCTAGCAATTTGTATGTCTCACACTCACTGGGGAGAACCACGACATGGGTAAAACATCAGGTTTCCAAAATTACGCCGTATGTGTGTCGTGTGCGGCAGCGGTCAGGCAGCTTTGATGTTAGGCGTGAGAAGCGTACTCGTGTGATACACAATGCTGGGTATGCTAGTTCATAAATTTTATTGATCAAATTGCTAATACAAAAGCATTTCATAAAGTTGAGGCCTGCTCAAGAGTATCAGGCAGGGTATCAAATAAAGCATACTGGAGTACATAGTGTAACAGACATTATCGTCCCTCAAAATCGTCCCTCAAAATCCCTGTGAGAACCCCATTGGGTTGGACCACATCATTGGCACATATATGTGCTCAGTATTTGGCAAAAGCTGATATGATGTTGTGATCTTTGCAACAAGAAGAGAGGGGATTGCTTGAGAACACAGCACAGAGCAAGGAGGGGAGGAAGGGAAGGGTGGTGGTGGTAGAGGTGAGGGAGGAGACAAGGCAGAGACAGTGGTGGTGGTGGTGGTGAAAGATGGAGGATCTGGGCTTGATTCATCATTGTCAAGAACTTACGGGCAGTGTAGTGCTTCTGTTTGCCATAATACATTGTTTGGGGAGCTAGAGAGGGATCATAGCACTGTAGTTTACTGAAAGAAAGAGGTGGATACCACCATTGATAGCCCAGAACATGTATGCTTCCAACATGGTCCCCAATGAGTGAGCCTTACTTCAAGCAGAGCAAAGTAAGGCCCTACACACTCCAAAAGGTAGGGGGAACAAATTAGCTCTGTACCATGTTGCTGTTAAGTGGTTTCAATGCAAAGTTATCCCCAGATGCCAAGATAAGTGCTGGACACTATAGAGAGCTCTGTCCTTGACAAGGAAACAGGATAATGGCCACAATACAGGTTATCAATACTATGCCCCAAAGAAAACATGGAAAAACCATCACCCCTGCCCTCTCCCTCTCCCTCTCCCTCCTCCTCACATATTTAAAAAAAGCAGTTCCCTTAAAGAGTGGTGCAGTCTTCTGAAAGAAGGTTTTTGTACACCCACATGGCTGAACAATGCAATCATTCAATTGAGCCATATCCAGTTGATGGCCTTGAGGAGCCTGACTAGTCACCTGCCAAAGGTACACATGTTAATAAGACCAAACTCATTCATAACAGAGCCTTGCACTTATTGACACAAGTATCATGATAGCAGGAGCAGGATTAATGGTCAATATGACTCTCTCTTGAAAGTTACATACCAAAAGCAGAGGACCTGCACTGCATTTGCTACTGTAAGCAAGATCTCCTTAATTCATGGGCAAGAGAAGACAAATGCAATTCCATGAAATGTTTCCAGTACCCCTCTTTAGATATTGCTTCCACAATGCCTGTCTGGAGGCAATGCAGAAGCCTTTTCACTTTGGTACATTGTTACTGTTCTCATTGTTGTTGTTCTCATGGCCACCAATGTTGTTGTAAGACTCAAACAAACTTTCTCCATATGAGTTGTGTAAGGATCCCCCTTACCCATCTATTCTCTTCCTAAACCTCCTCCCTTGTCTGCATTGCACATCTCCATCTGTTTGCTTCCATTGTTAGGCCCTACTTGTTTGTGGGCCTAGCCTACCTTTTTTCCATGTCCTTTCCTCCCTCCTCGCCATCATCATTAGAAACTGTATCTAGATGTTTTCTCTAATACAGAACAGTCTTAACAGTACTTCTGAGTGATACTTCATTGCACTGAACCATCAGTGAGGGCCTATACTGGGCCCTTTCAAGTTGCACATGTGAAGGAGAGGGCCATTTAGGGCAATTGTCTGCAGAGGTGCATTTTAGCAAGGGTATGTGCAGAGGAAGTACCAGAAAAAATTCCTAAGAGAATTCCTCCAGTGCCCCCTCCCTGGAGATATTGCTCCCACAATGCCCCTCCAGAGGCAAATGCTCAGAATGCCCTCTCCTTCACGTGTTCACAGAGTGCACAGCTTTCCTTGCATGTCAAAAGAGCAAGAAGGGTAAGCTCAGGCTCCTGTCTTCCTGGAGGGGCCAAACATATCTTGAAGACAGCAGATTCCTGGCCTGCCAGGTGAAAATGCTGCGTGCTATGTGAGCACATGAAGGAGAGGGCATTCTGAGCATTTGCCTCCAGAGGGGCATTGTAGGAGCAATATCTCCAAGGATGGGGCACTGGAGGAATTCCATCAGAATTCCTCTGATCCCCCCATCTTCAGAAAGAAAGTACCTGACATGCCCATCCAGATAGTTTCCCAACATGTTGTGACTGAAGACCAGATCTGGTAAGGCTCTTTCACATGATACAGAAGTAATGTAACTTTAGGTCAGGGTTAGTGTGAGCAGATTCTGACAGAATCGAAAATACATCTGTATCATGTGAAAGAGGACCCACAGGATCTTGACATGCCAGTGTGGGAGTGGCTGGAGATGCTGCTTCCCTTTCTCTGTTCAGCCAGGGGAATCAGAATAAGCCTGAACTTGAATGTCACATTTTATGATGACACTTGGGTGTGAAACTTGATCTCTATGTCACAGAGCTATTGTGCCATTTGGGAGTCAGCTGCATGAGCTCTGCTCATTGAGCGCTGATTTTGAGTACAACTGGCCCATTGTCTTGCGACAAAACCTTCCCCATAGAGGTGGCTGCTTACCAGTTCATCATTATCAAAGCTGATTTGAGAGCCATCCTTGCCACCTCATATATTCCTTTATCTCAAATGAGTGCAGAAGCACTATCAGTGATGGTGTATTATTATTGCATTGTCCCCATCCCTCCCTACCATGGGAACAGTCAAGGAAGGTGATTACTGCTGCAACTAGGCAACCAGGGATTGATGTTCCATAAGACATGGCACATCCTCAGTGCACATGGGAGAAGGGAAGTTTGAAGGAAGTCAGATGTCCTGAGGTTGAATGGGATCACAAAGAGTCATTATACAAAGTTTTTGTGCAATTATGTTAGTATAATTTTGTTCCATCACATTGTGCAATTATTTTAGTTTTCATCACTGTTATATTCATGCGAAGATCAATACTACTAATATATACAATTTAAAGTAAAATAAAACATGCAGTGATAATGCTTGAAATAAATACTTCATTGGGGCACAATGGTCCAAAGAAGGACATTTGAGAAGTCAAATTTTCACTTGTATGGTTGGTTGGGTAAGCAACACTGCGCTGGCTAGGAGGTAAATTTTGGGAGCCCATTTTCAGAAACAAAATAGCTGTTATGCCCCTTCAGACCAGTGCTTTGCCAATATTACGACTGGGAATGACTGTTTTTCAAGTTCGCTACTATTTAAGGTGAAGGAAGCAGAGAAGAGCGGTGTCGTTCCCTCCCTGTTTTGTCGGACTCTCACCTTCGGAACCACACAAGATGTGTATACTGCGCCGATTGACGAGGGCGCTGTATGCTACCAACGACAGGTTACTTGTCCTCAGAAAGGCGGTGATGCCGTCAAACCGAGCACCATAGCTGCAAATGGTACACGTGGAAGGGCAGAATTCCCCTTGCTGGGGCATGCCTTGTTGGCGTTTCACCGTGTAGCTGATTGCGATTCACCGACAAGAGCTTTCCTTCGCTATTTGCCAAGGGAAAAACATAAAATGAAGGGAGAAACGCATGTTTTGTTGTGGATCATGGTCTACTATGCCTGGGTGAGTCATATCCCAACCCACAATGCAGCCATGATCACATGAACGTGAGGTCACTGATATGTTGCCATTGGACGTGCATGGCACTTTCCGTTCAGTATCAAAACATGCAATCAGTATACCGTGCGAGGCTACCGCATATCGAACTTCTATGAATAAAAACGCAACGCCGTGGCCCAAGTGAAAACTGGCGGATTTCAGCGTGTGGGAGGAAAAACAGGGAGTATTATGTAACGACTTGGTTGCGGGACACACATGCCTCAGGTTGTCACATTTGGTAAATCCACAGTTCTGGCTGCAAACAGAGTTTCTATATGTATGGAGGACCTAACATTTGTCGGAATGCGTTCAGCGTGAATTCCACAACTGTAGACATTGCTAAGTTGATATTGTAGAGTACTGTCCCCGTTACGCTTACCGAGTAGAAGTACACCTCCACCTGGGGCTAATCGCAGAACCTTGGGCACAAAGCCTTTGTATAAAGCAGACAAGCCTTCCTCTCTGGCGACGACGAAAAGACTTGGAATGGTCCAGTTGTACTTTGGGACAATACCCGGAACCTTAGTGGCACCTTGGATGCGGCTCTTCACCACCTGTGAATACATCAAATCAGTGGGAAATACAATGAGGGAATCTGGAACTCCAACATCGAAAGGAGTATTTAGTGCAGTCCCGATGAAACCTCCTGCACCATTATCATTAGGTGGCAAATGTGGCACCCCGGCAAGACACACCAATTGTGCCGGCAATTAGATTGTTCATCAGTTTGCCTTGACCTGTCTGTCGGGACGTTTCATTCATATTCTACTCAATTTTGGGAAATCCGCACCTCTGCCTTTGGTAACATGGCCCGCACCTGGAAAATGGAACTATATGACGGTTGTTTCAGCCAAGCAGTATCGGTAGGGTGCCTTCCTCACCCAAAATAACCTGCGTTCCAGGTGAGATGTCTGAACAACAGAAATTAGAACATTGGCGCTAAAAGGATGACCCGTCTACGAACCGCCAGAAAGTAGATTCCATGCCAGTATAGATCCCTAGGATGCCTTCTTTCTTTATGATCTGAACAAGGACATCCGCTGGCCCTTTAAACGTGCTTGACTTGTCTTGGAGCCTGGGAAACTAAGATCTAGTCATTTAGGACGAGATCTGATCACTCACTTGATCTTGATAAGTTCAAACGGAACCACCTGATTTGTAGTCGGGCCATTTAGTTAGTAGCAGGGAACTCGAACGTGAACGTACCACAATAGATTCTGTGGCCCCAGCAGCGGCGCCTGTGATGACAGATAATGGCTGTGTCATCTGGCTGGAGCCGGAGATAGATAAGAATGTCTGTTTGCTCTCGTGAATTTGCGCAACCTTGACGAGCAGTAAATCTATACCTTGCCCCAGAAATCGTTTGCACCGACTATATACACCTCTGATCAGCTGGTTTACCATGTGGTTTCGATGGTAACTCACATTTGACTGCACGTTTTGGAGCCTCCATCAGTAATGGGGGCAGTAAACCTCTGTACAACCGCCAGAAACTACCAAGCCATGAGCAATTACATAGGCCGAGAAAAGCACCAATAACAAAGTACCCCTCCCGAACGACAATATTGCGCAAGGTGCCGACAACTCCGGCCTCAGCCTTGCCGGATTGTAGCTGAAGGCGCGTCTTCACCTAGGCCCAAGGAAAAACATTCATCCCATGGGAGGAGCACGTAAATTCGAGATTCACCCACCACATCTGCGTAAGAATGCAGATGAGTGTAAGTTGACGAACAAGGCGTCAGCATACATGCCTAGGGGATAGAAGGTCAGGATTTCACTGACACCTGCATAGCCTGATGAGATGGCCCTGTAGAGACATTTTTTTCACTCTTACCAGCAATTGCGCCGGCAATAAATTGGTATTGGAAGGGAAGAGCTGAATCGAGCGGTGAGAAAAGGTTCGAAGGAACAGATTTACCGTATTATGTTACGTTTTGGGGAGTTCTGAGGCATGGTTGCAATCAGATTCGTGTAGAGGGTTCTCACCCGGCATATTCGTCGAGCTTCCAGTTTTGGAACACCCGTACCCTGGAATTCATAGCCACCCAAGTACTAAGCAAGAGGGACGAGTCCCCTCCACGGAGGCTGACGAACTGTACAGCTGAGCAGCGATAATATGATACGATTGATATGTGAAGCAATAAGGGTAACCTAAGCCTACAGGGAGAGTGTGATGAATGAGAAAACAGTATGGTAATGCAATGTGCAGAAAAAAAATGCGTTATGACACAGTGTGTGAGCGGAGCACATGCGAGATAATTCAGATGTGCAGTTCCTTAAAGGAGAGGTCGCCGGACGCGCTTTCGCTATGGTCTATTTGGGTTCTGTCCATTGGCTTAGGTTTCTGCCTCACCAACACACGACTGCCACCGACTCGACCAACAGCCTGACGTTCTTTTCGGGTCAATTTCCTCTTGAGGACGGCTTCCACTTCCGCCGCGGCGCAGGGCGAAGGTCGTTCAGATCTGGGCGTCTTTCGTGCGCGTGGGTTGTGATCAATATCGATATCATCATCGTCTGACATATCGCTTGCACTACGCTTGGGTGAATTCGAGGTCGGTGGAGTAGACGCCTCGGTTGCTGAACCAGTGGAAGGTGCGGATGTCGAAGCGGAATTCGAGGGCGACGGATCACGGTAAGATTGCAACGGAGGTGGAGATGGCGGTAAAGGTATGCGATGAGGTGGGAGGGGATGCTTTCGTGGTCGACCGCGAGGACGTGGGAGGGAGCTCATCTGGTGAGTGGGAATCATAGGCACCGGATGATCTCGTATCTTTGCGGGGGCCGGAGGTCCATTAATGATCCGCAAAGACGAGTAGTGTTCCCAGTCGTGATAGGCAACGTAGACCGTGGACGACACAGCTGGCTGAGGTGTCAATGAAGCGGCTTCTGCTGCCTCTCGCACGGCTTCTCTGTGCAATCTCCTCGCCTCCCTCTCGTTGGGTTCCCCAGGCCTCGGAAGAGAGGGTGGTGATTTGCTCGGAGACGGGATATCCGCACATGAAATTACGTAGACAAGACCAGGCTGAACGACCTTGATATCACGCCGAAAACGATGTGCGAAGGCAGAAAGTTCCAAATGGCCGCCATAGGTCCCTAATTGGCGCATAACAGAGATATGATCTTCGAGAGAACGGTCGTCGTCAACAAAACCTCTGTAGCGTTCGGGATGGCCAGCCAACCAGTCACAAATATCTTTGCGTAGACTGGAGTGGTGCCGATCAGTCCCATACATCTGGATAATGTTGGGTAAGTGCTTCAGTCTCACGAAGTCCGCAAGAGAGCCTCACTTGGTCGGAGAGGGCGCGGAATAAGCAATTGCCGTCGCCTTCCGTAGGTACCACCCTGAGCCCCATTGATCTCAGTTGATCGTCGAGGTCGCGAGCTGTCTGGCCGACATCGGACACAAGACGCGGTTTGCGGCCCCTCGCTATGCAAGATGCGTGAGATGTTTGTCAGCCGAACGGGACAACACCAACGTACTGTTTGGTGGGTGTTTGACAACACGCCGCTTGTCCGACTTTGCCATGGGAGAAGAGGGGGACGATGGGGGAGGAAGAGAAAATCGAGTGGGCCAGAAAAGGGTGTTGGGAATGGTGGGGGGTCGTGTGTGCTGCTGCTCTGTGCCGTTGCAGAGCGGCGGGGGCGGAGTTGTTTTTCTACTTTTACTTCCGTGTCACACATCATTTTGCTTCCATACATCGTCGCGTTGTAGGCCACGTTGTGAAAAAAAGTTCGAGTCAAGCAAGGAGAGAACGTTAACAGTCAGGTCCCCTCATCCCCTCATCCCCTCATCCAATCATCCCACTCTTCCACTGCATCAAATGTCTGTCGGCACTCTCTATACATTCCCCGGGCAGGGGTATGGCAAGCGTGTGCGTGCTGCTGCCGCTGTTGCGGGCGTCCAGCTCGACATTCCTCTCTGCACGTTCGGGGAGACTAACAAGAGTCCGGAATATCTTGCAAAGTTTCCCCACGGCAAGTTTCCTGGGTTCGAAGGCAAGGACGGCTTAAAGCTCTTTGAGAGTGCTGCAGTCGCTCGCTATGGTGCGTTTTCGATATTCTTGCCCGCTTCCAGGATGAGTTCTTGTCCATTCGGTTATCCCTGACTTAATCATCTATGTCGAGATAATTTTGTAATTCTGCTTCGCTGACACCATTTTGCATTCCCAACATCTTCCTTGGTCATAGTTGCTAATTTGAACTACAGTGGCTTCGCTGTCTCACAACTCTACTGTTCTCGGCGCGTCCCCACACGATGCAGCTCTGGTGGACCAGTGGATCTCCTTCGCCGACAACGAAGTCCGTGTCCCCATGAGCAACACACTTGCCCTTGTTCGAGGCAATGCTGGTGCTTACGTCAAGCCTGTGAGTCATTGAAGTGGCGGTTAAAACTGTCTGATTCATTGAACGCGTTGCAGGTCGATTCATACTGGCGTCAGCGTATTATACCTGCTCTTGAGGTTGTTGAGAAACATCTGCATACGTGTACATTCCTGGTTACCGAGCGCATTACTCTCGCCGACATAACCCTCGCGACCATCGTCCAATCTGCATTTTCGACCCTGGTTGATGCCACCGCGCGCGAGAAGCTGCCCAATTTGGTACGGTGGTTCGAAACCATCACCAACCAGCCTCTCCTCAAAGAGATCTTCGGCGAGACTAGCTACATCGAGACCGCTCTTCAGTATCAGCCCCCGAAGAAGGACGCAAAAGAAACAAACCCCGCCAAGCCATCCGGTGTTGCAGGTGCTGTTGCGGCTGCTGCTGGGGCCGTCCAGTCTGCAGCTGCAGCTGCAGTCACTGCAGCGAAGCCTAAAAAGAAGCAGGCTGAGGAGGACGAAGAGGACGAGCCTTTAGTCCCCGCAGAGCCCAAGGTTAAAAACCCCTTGGACGATTTGCCCAAGTCTACATTTAACTTGGAAGACTGGAAGCGTTCATACTCCAACATGGACACAAAGGGTTCTGGTGGGTCTATCGAGTGGTTCTACCAGCACTTTGACAAGGAAGGCTTTTCTATCTGGCGCGTCGACTTTAAGTACAATGAGGAGCTCACCCAGGTCTTTATGTCCAGCAACCAAATCGGAGGCTTCTTTAGTATGTAATTCCGTGGTTCGCTATCTGTCATGACTGAAGAATTATTGTGCAGACCGTCTGGAGGCGTCACGCAAGTACCTGTTTGGTTCTGTCGGTGTGTTAGGCACTGCGAACAACTCGATCATCACTGGCGTCCTCGTGTGTCGTGGACAAGATTTCCAGCCAGTTGTTGATGTTGCTGCCGATTGGGAGTCGTACGCATACAAGCGTTTGGAGCCTGAGACGAATCCTGCAGACAAGCAGTTCTTTGAGGACGCGCTTGCCTGGGACCTTCAGATCGGAGATAAGAAATGGGCGGACGGGAAGAACGTAAGTTTTTTTTTTTTTGGTTTGTCTGTTTTCACACTGATCGATGACCTCGCAGTTCAAATAAACGTCGTGCTTTCCATACTTCTACTGTTGTGTCGACTGGATTTTACCCGTGTTGAGAGACGAGTCGGTACAGTTATTGTCTCTGTTTGCATTCAATAATAGCAGAATGACATTGTGCATTACATGAGCGGTCATATATACACAGACTCAGGGGTCAATCCAATTGAGGAAGCTGTGAAGAAGTACAGAACCGGCGGTGCGCGTCACCGCTGATCAGGGCACGGCCCCAAGTCCGCGCAGTTCTGGCTGGTGCTCATACATAATCCGGGGCCTGTCGCCGTCTCTGTCATCACTCTCCTTCTGCACTCAAGTCGAACTGTTCATTTCACTAGCGTTCATCGAATCCTTCAGCTAGTTTGCACCCCCCCTCGAGTGCCTGTGGCATGTCAGATCCTACGTCTATTGTGCCTCCCAAGGGAGCTGTCGCTCCCACAGAGGTCGCTCTGGAGACCATTCAAGCCGATGCGCCTGGCCCGTCTACTGAGCCTGAGCTGGTACGATGCCTTTAATATGCCCTGCCGCAACATCGCTGATTGTGTACCGAACGTTAGCCGGAAATATTTGTGGCCGCACAAAGGGGTGACATGTCCACCCTCACCAAACTCCTGGCCGATGACTCATCGTTAGCCAATGGCAAGGATCTCCAGGGTATTACACCACTGCACTGGGCAGCGATTAACGCCCACATGGCAGCTTGTCGACTTCTTCTTGACAATGGTGCCGAAGTGGACGCAAAGGGAGGTGATCTGGTTGCAACACCAATGCAGTGGGCTGCTCGTAACGGACATCTCTACGTTATCCAGTTGCTCATCTCTCATGGCGCTGATCCCTCGCTTGAAGATGCTCAAGGTTACAACACCCTACACTTGGTCACTCATTCAAGCGCCGTCATGCCTCTGTTGTACATATTACATCAGCCTGTCGCAGTAGACCATCCGGACACTCAGGGGCATACCGCGCTGATGTGGGCAGCATATCAAGGCGACGCCCTTTCAGTCCAACTCTTGCTGTCGCATGGCGCATCCGTCCATGCTCGAGATCATTCGCAGTTAACCGCGTTGCATTGGGCTGTTGTGAGAGGAAATCATTTGTGCATCAAACGGCTCTTGGACGCCGGGGCCGATGTCAATTCCCGGGACGGCCAGGGCAAGACCCCACGGGAAATGGCCACCGAACTCAAAAGTGAAGGCCCGTGGAGACGAGCATGTAGAGAGGCAAAACGTACAGAAGATGGGAGGAAGCGGAAAAGTGTTTTGAATGAGGTGGGCGACTCGTTCTCCCAATGACGCCGAGCCTCACCTTCTTCCAGAGGAACACCAAAATTGCCGTATTTCTGGTCCCTACCTTATTCTTTTACCTCATTTTTTCCACAATTTCCCTCCTCACGTGGTACACTGGTCTCTGCCTGGCTGCGGCAGAGTTCTTCGGAATGCACCATGTCGTCACGAAGGTGTTATTAGATGCACCTCCGTCAAGCACAGCCGTGACTGGGTCGCCATACTTCTCGGGAATCATTTTTGGGTCGCTGTTCTTCGTTGGCTGGGAGTGGGTTACGACAGTGGTGAGGTGTAAGGATATCTCTCCCAACTACGTTCATGATCCTAAATCATATTCCCAGCAACTTCAGGCTATGCAGTGACGAACCTCTTGTTTGCCTTGTGCTTTCTGCTCTGTTGCTACAACTTCTTCCGTTCCGTGACTTTGGATCCCGGCGCATGCCCCAAACCTGCTGACGAGGCAGAATTGAAATCGGTTAGCTCAGTTGTTGGCCATCAACATTCACTAGCTCAAACACTTCGTAGATTATTGAAGAGCTGGCCAGCGAAGGACGATTGAATGGACAAACCTTTTGTGTTGTGTGCATGGCTAGAAAGCCACTTCGGTCGAAGCATTGCCGGGTTTGTGACCGGTGCACAGCAAGATTCGACCAGTGAGTAGGCTTGATCCGTCTCTCTCATGAAGCTGAAGACTTTTAAGCCATTGTCCCTGGGTTTGGAACTGTGGTAAGTTCTAAAGAATCGCTTTGTTTTGCCGTTAATACGCTGCAGTCGGTATATCTAATCATCGACAATTTATCATCTTCCTCATCTCTTTGGTGCTCGGAGTTCTATGCTTTGATTACCTTGTCTATGCTTGTGCGCTTTTGTTCCTTCTCATCTGGTCCCTAAGCTAATGCAGAGTAGATTTCTTGCAGAACGTACCCGCAGACACCGTACCCGCAGCGTCCTGCATCCTTCCCACGACGCTCTGCAGCTGGACGTCACAGAAGCCATTTATTACGTCGGTTTCAATCTGGGCAACTCTCCAGCTCGTGTGGACTTCCGTGCTACTTGTTGCGCAATTATGGCAAGTAACAAAGCAGGTCACCACGTTTGAAGTCTCGAATTTGTCACGATTTGGCTTTATGGGTGGCCGAGGAACATCTGCAATTGGGCAAGAAGGTTTGACACACCCCAGACAGGGTCAGCATATGATGGGGGACGATGAACCCAATCCAGATGGAATCGGCGGTCATCCGGCAGCAGGGGGGCCGGGGCAGCGGGCCCAGCACAAGAATACTGCTGCATTCCTCTTGCAGCTTCTCGGTCTCGATCGCTTTACTGCCAAATCTAACAGGCGTGCACTTGCACGGTCATCGCCCAATTCAAATCCTTTCGATCAAGGTGTCTGGCGAAATTGTTTGGACTTCTGGACCACTGGCCGCGAGCTTGGTGTAGAGTACGGTTCTCTATATGATGTTCCGTCTGGAGGATTTGCAAAGAAGGGAGGCGATGATGGCAATAGGCGGAAAGGGAAGGGCCGTAAGGGTGGATATGAGCAGGTTCAGTCTGAGGAAGTGTGATATGTAGGGATATCGAGTCGTGTGGGCAATGCCTGATCTGTACATTATGGGGCAGAAAAACGGTGGTGCACGGTTTGATCACGTGCTCAACCTTACCAAGGCTGCTCCCGTGATATGTGTGGCTGTGCAGTTGTGCCGCCGGGGTGGCTTCCCCACGGAGGCAAAAGAGTTTCCCAAACTCTACCGCGGTTATCCACCTCGCCGGACGACATCATAACATTACAAGCATTCCCAGCCATCCTGTTCGCCTCTTTCTCTTAGCTCATATTCTAACCTCTGTATACTACACGCTGCCTCATGGTATGTCCTACCTTATACGCGTTCGTATTGGCCGGCACAACCTGGTATTCATGATTATTCGTAGGTAAACAGCCAAGCAATTCGTCGGGTCATACGAGAGGTAGCTGCTCTTCGAAGCAGTCCACCGGAGGGAATACGACTTGTTACCTCGGAGGAGAATATGTTGGATATAACAGGAATCATTGCTGGGCCGACAGGCACGCCATATGAAGGTACGCTCTTATTTGTCGTCCTTCGTGTGTCAACGTGAACGCTAATCACCAGCGCTAGGGGGTTATTTCCGTGTTGAATTCCAATTGTATGCCTCTTGCATTCACATTATGCCCACGCATTCATTTTATTCGTCCAGTGGCGATGAATTCCCTGCTGTTCCACCCAAATGTGCGCACCTCGTTCCCTCGACCCGTCCACATTGTTTATGCTCCTGACAGGTCAATTTGCTACCCGAATATTTCACCCCAACGTCTCGAAAACAGGAGAAATTTGCGTGAATACTCTTAAGAAAGATTGGAAATCATCGTTTGGCATTGAGCACATTTTGGTTGTACGTATCGACTCTTTGAAGATCCACGCGCCGTCCTTGCGAACTGATGTCCTAGACCGTAAAGTGCCTCCTGATATACCCGAATGGCGAATCAGCCCTCAACGAAGAGGCCGGAAAGCTCATATTAGAACGTTATGAAGATTTCGCGCGACAAGCGAAGCTGATGACATCGATACACGCCACGCCGAAGGTGAGGGAGTGTGTAAGCCTTCGGACACATTAATAGACTTTCACCAGCGACCGCCTTCGGAGTTCATGGATACTACAAAACAAGAAAGTGAAAAGACAGTGGAAATCGAACCTCTTATACCACTAGCACCCAGTGCACAAGTGCCTGTAAACGCGCCACAGCTGGACTACGTTCCCCCTCCTTCCCCGGCCCCGTCCCAGGGATTTTCACCCGTACCACAAGCTGCATTTTCGCCCGCGCCCGAAGTCTATCGTATACCCACGCCCAGAGGTTCACCGGAAAGGTTTTCTGTTGTACAGCATCCGCCACCGTTTATGAGATCGCAATTGGATCGCCCACGAAGCAGCAGCCCCATTGGACTGGTTGAGCAGAAACGCCTCGCGAGGATAGCGTTGGCCGAGAAGATAGAGCGAGACAAAAGATGGGGTGGTCCAAAACGGAGGGGCCTACGACGGTTATAATATAGCTGTTCCATGTTGTATTCTATCTTTTCACGCGGGTGTGGATGATGACCCACCGTGACCTTCACGCACGAACTGCTGTATTTGGATTGGATCCATTTATTGTACCATTTGCGCAATGTATCATCCACACTTGAGATACTCATAATGCAAATACAACCGGTGGATGTCCGGTCGTATTCGGGGAACTGCGGATTACGAGCGGTTTGAACTTCCCGGAGAGGCAATCAAGGCAATTGCACCCCTTCATATATGCCATCTGCCAGCGAATCGTTTTGCACTCCCTTGTGTTGTTCCCCTATTCTCCAGCTGTGAGTACGTTCCTCAAGTTATCGAACACTCATGAACACGCTCACTTTAGAAGCTTGCATGGCCACCTCCTCTGGAAAGGTTACCTTCCGCGACTCCTACGAGACGTGGTATCAGGTGTATGGTCATCTGTCAACTGCCGACGTCCCTCCCTTGGTATTTCTCCATGGAGGCCCCGGCGTTCCTGGGCGCTATCTGTTGACGATCGGCGATCTGTGGACAACCCACGGCATTCCGGTCATTTTCTATGATCAACTTGGTTGCGGCAATTCAACTCATCTGCCTGACAAGGGTGCGGATTTCTGGACGGTCGAGCTGTTCTTAGAGGAGCTCGATAACCTGCTCTCTAAGCTGGGGATCAAGGACAGCTATTTCCTTGGAGGTAACTCCTGGGGGGGCATGCTGGCCGCTGAACATGGTGTCCTCAAACCGAGTGGCTTGAAGAAGCTCGTTATCGCCGACAGTCCGGCATCCATGGAGCTGTGGTTGCAAGCGGCTGACAAGTTACTTTCCGAGCTTCCGCCCGACATCAGGCGTGCCATCGAAGAAAACGAAACAAACGGTACCACGGATAGCCAAGAATACAAGGATGCTTGCAACATCTTCTATGCACAGCATGTCTGCCGGGTGCAGCCTTTTCCTCCAGATGTTCAGAAAAGCTTCGAATTATTGGAACAGGACCCAACCGTCTATCATACCATGTAGGACCGTTTTTTCTCGCGGCCGCTACCAGCCTGAACTTCCATTGCAGGAACGGACCATCTGAGTTCAGTGTTGTGGGGACATTGAAGACCTGGACCATTGTCGACCGTGTCAAAGCCATTGACGTACCCACCCTTCTGATCAACGGGAAGTTTGACGAGGCCATGGACCTGGTAGTGCAACCCTTCGCCGATGGAATTCGGGGCGCGAGGTGGATCACATTTCCGAACTCCAGCCATATGCCTCACCAGGAAGAGCGGGAAGAGTATATGAAGGTAGTAGGGCAATTCTTGACAGAGTAGTGGATCAGTGCCGTGCATCTGAGACCCCCAAGGTGAATCAAACGTATTGAAGTGCCAGTGATCGACAGCAGGGCGATCATATTGTGGCATGTTTTGAGAATGACCCGGGGAATGTAATGCAAAACATCGCCGTCCGTGTGCACAGGCGACAGTTGAAAGAGGGCCGGTACAACAGGAGGCGGGCGGAGATGCATATGTATCGCCGAGTCAGCGCCTCACGTACACTCTTCTTTGCCGCAACCATTACTGTAATCGGCGATCCCCCGCTAATGGCATATTGCATGTCATGTCGCGCCTATTCTTACAGCAAGGTTCTCGTTCGGGTCCACACCGCGAGTTTATCTTTGGGTCGCCAATCGATACTGGGTGTGCCATGCGTGACCTCCTGATTTGACCTACCAACAACACTGACAATAAAGCCACCTCTTCAGGGCGGCAAGGACTGAAGACGCTACAGGATGTCAACTTCAGCGGATACTGTCTACGTTGTCCCAAATGACAGGGCACTCAACGCCATGGATACCGTGAAAGCCTTGCATTCTGACGAGCTCGCGTCGCTTTCTACGGGCGAGCAGATAGTCAGAGGCCCCCGGATACATTCCAGCACTTGCTGATAAAAACGTTACATGGCTATCGTATTTTTTTTACCACAACTTGGTGGCACTCACTCTTGGCCCTACGCGCACCTAAAATGAGTACGGAAGTGGGCCCGCTGTTTTATCCTGACCTGAGTTGCCTTAATTTGCAGCTTTACTGGATCGGATCACTCTCCTCTTGTTCGCTTTTGTTGCCTCGATGATTATGTACGTGTCCATGTGAAAAGTATGTGTACGCTTTCGAGCTGACGTCATCTTCTCTCTAGCTCTGCTCTCATGGTATTCTGTATCGTGGCACGTATGCCTACATGTGTCTGGCTCTTCGAGAAATGGACACAAATGGAGGCCAATGATCTCTGCCTTGTCAGCGCTTGTCAATTCCTTCATCTGCATGTGTAGACGAAATCTAATGACTCGCAGCATATCCTGCACTATTCCAATCCATGACTCAGCCTCAAATGGATGCAGCCCGTCAATCCATGGCAGAACACGTGGGGAGATCATCCGTTACCATCGATCATCGCTTCTTTGATTTGGACGTGGCACGATTTTTGCTTCAGTGCGCCGCTATAACATACGAGCGAACTTCAGGGCCGGTACAGCAAGCTGTTCAGACGGTAAAGAATGCATTTCCAAGCAAGAAATGCCTACAATCGCACGGGCATCATCCGAAGCCAGCGGGCGAACAGGCCCTGGGCATTTTAGGGGAGAGGGGCACTCAAGAAATGATGTCCAGTCTGCACGAAAGCAGAGGAGAGACCCAGTTACCTCCTTGGGCCAACAGTATGGTGCCTTCTATCAAATATTCCACAGTGTCGGAGCTGAATGGCACCGACTCGGCCTTTTGTGGAATATTTTTCGAGTGAGCACGATAAATATGCTTATTGTTCTTCCCTCGATTGAGCTCATACAACAGTCCTGCATCTACGTGGATCGTTCTTGCGTTCAAAGGCACAGATCCAACAGAATTCTCCGAATGGGCATCCGATTTTGAGTATAGCCCGCGGGAGGCTGGGAATCGTATTACCGGGTTCGGTCAAGGTCTGCCCCCTTGGCGTTTGTACTGCATAGCTATCTGATCGTCACGATCCAGTTCATGGCGGATTCTACGATAGGCTTTTTACAGCAGCCGCTGCGGAGCGAGCGCCTTTTGGTATGTAGTCACTTGCACATGACTTAATTCCTGGAGATACTCATTGTCCATAGACACTATCGCTAGTGCTGTACGGGCAGTAGCTGACGAGCTGTCAGCCGCACATAGCACCTCTAAGATAAACCTGTTCATTACCGGGCATAGCTTGGGATGCGCTATGGCTTCGCTCGCCTACGGTATGCATATTGAGGAATTTGTGTTGAAGGGGCTGACAACGTTCTAGCCTGTTTGATTAGTGAACCTTTTGTGCTGGGAAGCAACACCATCATCCGCGATGCGTATCTCTTTGCTGCGCCAATCGTTTGTGACGCAAAATCTGTTGCTGCCTTCAACGAGTGTTTGGATTCGTCCACGACATATGAGGACAATCCCTACGTCCGATCTCTCTGGCGTGTTGTTGAATCGCGGGGATGTTGTCGCCACAGCGCTCCCCTCATTTGGTGACGACAGACACACTGGAACACTCCGAGATTTGTTTGCATTCGCTCATTTAGGCGCGGAGTTTCGCATGGGTTCACAATCACAACCAAGCTATGTTAAAGGCGGGAGCCTCAAGCCAGATACCTGGGTGACTGTCCGCAGCAAATTGGATCGCGGGACTGTCAATATCATGAATGCACAAGGGATGGCACCAGTGATTCGCTGGACTCAAGAAATACCACTCATAGGAAGGCTGGTGGCCCATGCAACTAGTGTGTATACATGCATAAACTTTGATTGTTCTAATCGTCCTATATCAGCAATGTATTGGGATGCTATAACTCAGCTTCAAGTAGGCAGAGCACACTGGGCCGGAAGCCATTGGGACATCAAGCGCGTCAATAGGTAGCTTATCGTGGTTCCCGAATATAAGAGGAACTTTCTATGGCATTGGAAATATATTTTACCGGAGTTATTGCATTTTTGAAGCCGTTTGTTTGAGCTGATAATCCGATCATAATCACAAATATAACATGATGCAACAAAGGAGGGTTCAGCAATGTGAGATCACGTACACAAAAGGGAGTCTCACAGAAGGGACTAAATGGGTATTGTTGGTCACTATGGTCTTCAGTTCGACGGAATGCAGCGTTGGGCAAAGACGAATCGCCTGAAGAATCAATGACCTTCTCCCGCTCGAGCCAGCCAAAACATGTCGAAGGAGGAAAGGATGAGAGCCCATATTTGAAGTCCTGCGTTAGTCGTACAGATCGATTTCCCCACGATTAGGAACTGAAACGTGGAATCCGGTCGACATGGAAATGCATCAGTGGCACCTCCAAACAAGTATGGAGAATAAACGTATAGGCCAAAGGGTGCTGACAGGAGACTGTGTCGATGCACCAGCCAACCGGAAAGTGAAATCCAGTTCCTTGATCGCTGTGGACTGAAAACAGTAATGAGAGAGGCTTAACATCGTGATGATTTGGGCGTCAACGAACGTGAGACTGAGTGGGCGAACAGCCACAACTCCTGCAACGACGAGCCGCTGCGGTGATGAAGGCGGAGCTAGTGGAATCTCGGAAGGACTTCCAATTCCACCTCTTCGCTAAGCGAGGCGGTCAATATCAATTACGTACGCTGCGGGGTATCTTTCTCGATATGAGAGGTAGAATGTCTGACGGCGGAGGGAATGTGTTTAATTAATCTGGTGGAGCCCCGATTCCTATCACGTAACATCAGTGTCAGCTGGACTTGGCTGGAGCATCGTGAGAACATGCCTGTAATATCGGGGCGAGTACCTGAAATATTGATATAATTGGAGTCCATTGAAAAGGCGCAGAACACACGGTTGCCTGAGACAAGGAACAACCCCGCCGACACAGGGTAGGGACGGCGACCCTAGTTTCGGCGTCGGAAGTGACAGATGTTCGGCGTTTCTTGCCGAAATGCCGAATAAGAGGACAAATTCCGTTACATCTCTCTCTCAACAGAAGTCTGCGTGTTCTGTGCTAACTACTCGATTTTATTACTCCTTCCAGAGTCACATACACTAAGAGTACCTATTCGTAATCGCTTTGACTAGTGACGAAAACCCAAACGTGTGGGGCACGGCTATGTATGACCTGTGCTTACTATGGTTCGCTGACTTGCCTGATCACCTCTACAGCATCGTTGTTCTTCAGGCTTCCTTGGTCATCTTTTCCGATGGAATATTCCGCTGCTCCTTCGGCAGTACGACGCATTTCATCTTGGGAGATGGATCCTCGCTGGTTGACGTAGGCGATTAGCTTACTGAAAAGCGAGGAGAGCGCTTTTCTGCCTTCAACGAGTGGGAGACAGATGATGACGATTGCCGCGAACCAGGCCCATAAGAATGCAACAACAATCCAACCCGTGAAAAACTCTCGGGAAAAGACACTGTAAAGTTTTAGTACAAAGGCATTCCTTGGTGTAAGGAGGCTCACTAGTTCGTTCCATAGAGGGGAAGGGGGAACAGCACTAGATAAAACAAAACAAAGACAAGGCTGACTGCAGCCGCAATGTTTCGTGATCTCCACAACTGGCCATCGCTAAGGTGCGTGGTCAATGCCAGTTCTGCCTTCTCCGCTTCGGCATGAGACAGGCCATGGGTTTCGTCGTACGACGAGTCGTCGACTTTTTGGATCTGCTTGAATGTGGCAAAGTCGAAATTATCTGGCTTCAGGAAGGTGATGATGGGGACCAGCAGAAGTGGTATGCCGATGGCCGAGATATTACCGGCGGCCAAAGCTTCGTTCGTCCCCAAAGTGGTCAAGTTGACCACTCCGGACTGCACGTGCGTGTAGCCTATCCAAATAGCCAGTGCCGCGCACGTACTAAGTGTTGTTCCAAAAATGAATGCCCATTTGCTTTGTTTCTTCCAAAACAGTGTCCCCGCCATGGGAACAATGCACCTGAGAAACAGCGTAAGGAGCGGATTGCAGCGTACTCAGGTCTGCGGACTTACACATCGACAACTACTCCGGATACGGTCGTGATGAAACCGACGTCGAATCCAGCGTGAGCAAGACCGATGGCCAACGCGATGGTTATAACACCAAAGCCCACCACGGAGGCGTGGCCAACTCTGACGAGGGTTTTGCCATTGGCTGACGGGTTTATGTAGGCTTGATAGATATCGTACGTGTACAGTGCGGAGACGGCCACACTATTTGTTGATCAGATATTGGCATTCAGTCTCGCGTGACAGACATACGTTTCTGAGGAGAACGCGGCAGTGACGGCCATGAATATCATGGTAAGAACAGCCCCTCCGCCGGTCTTGCCAAGGAGAGTGATGGCGGCGTACGGCATTACAAGTCCCGCGCCCACTGAATCCTGATCAGCCCTGCCGTTGAGAATACTGGAGCGTTCTCACCCTCGGCAGCTGACATTCGGTTGGGATAAGTTGGGAAAACGGGAAGATGCTCCATGGCGGCACAGGCCAGCCCGAGTGTGGTGGCCAGACAGAAGGGTATCGTAAACCTGACAATAAATTTATTCAATTGGACATATATCCTTCTGAAGTGCATACCAGCAGATGCCACCCAGAACATACCCACCCAATGCGGAAGCGGGGTTGCTCGCGATGGCCTTTTGGAATAACTGGGAGTCTGAACGCAGTTCAGACATTATGATCACATGGATGGAGAGCATCACTGACCGACACTAGCTGCCCAACCAGCGCCAAACAGAACGAGGCCAAAAAGGCCGCCTTGCCGAGAGGACATTGTCGTAAACGATCCTTCATAATTGCCCGCTATAGGATTAAGGCGGCCCGCCTCCTGGAGGAGGTCCCACATTCTACCAGGGCTCCCGATGATGTCACTCGTCGCATAGGTGGTGAAGAGAAACATCAACATCAGTACTGCAGTTGTTCTTAGTCATCACGGGGAGAAACGTGAGGAACACGAACCATAGATGATCAAGGTATGGGTCCAGTCAGTAAGGATGGTCGCCTTTATACCTCCGATCAAGGTATAACAAATGACTCCAATAGGGAAGAGAACGATGGCGGCATCTCGATTCATTCCAGTCAGGGTAGAGAACACAGAGCTTCCGTTGATGAGCAAATTGGCCGAGTACGTGATCTGCTGAATGAAACTGTACGTGCACATTAGCAAGTGCGTCGTCTTCCCATAGCGCACCCGCACGAGTTCTTGAAAGGTGTGCGCATTTGGTGCAATTCGCTTGAGCTCGATAGCCGCTGTGGCGAAAAGAATGATCTGGACACAAGCGCCGCCTCCGTACCACCAGGGCCCACTCACGCCCCAGCTATAAGCCGAAGTAGAGGACAGAAGCAGAGTCGAACCTATCGTCCAAGAGCTGACAACGGCAGATGCGACCAAGCCAGTCTTGATGGAACGCTTCGCAGTCATCATCATCTCAGAGTCTTGCACCTGATCCAGCTTTCAGAGAGAATTCTTAATGAGGTCATGATTAACAAACCTCGAGCATAAACTTGGATAGTACCCAAGATACACCACCCATGAGAACGGCGAATGCTGCTCCAACTCCGATGACCATGCCATAGCCAACGCTTTGACTGAACAGCGGCATAGTCACCGCAGCGCTCTGGGAAGACGACATTGGGTGGAGAAAAAATATATGGTCAGTGCAGGCGCGCGGGTAAGCAGAAGCAAACATGTGGGGCTTCTTATAAGCCTGGGAACCAAGACCACGAGTGATAAGGACATGATAGATAGTACTGCATGAGCAGAGATCATCGGTTCGTGCCTCTAAACAGGCTAGATTCACTTCCACCATTTCCAAACCTGTCTTGTTGTATTCGAGCTCGCTTAGCAAAATCATGCGCTCGGGACGGAGGTATGATCAGGGAAGGTATACATATCGTGTTGCAGGGCCGTATCCACGTAATTGAAACAGGCATTTCAACGGAACGGGACTTCTCGGGGAGTTCCCATATCTTCACCGACATTGAACAGTTGGCAATCGTGAGAAGACGGCGATGCAGAAGCCCGGGAGGACGACTGGGAGCCTTATCGATGTAGCCGATTGGCTGATGGGTTAAAAGGGGGGGTGTTTGAGAAAACGTACACACTTTTTCCCCCGTAACCCCGTTGTGTGGCAGTGCTGTTTAAACACCCTCTCCGTGCTAAGCGAGGTCTGACGAAATATTTAATATTAATATTGTTAATCGATCCTCCGCCGAGCTGATAGCACACCTACCCGAGATTTAGGTTTGTATCCCAGGCACTGGAACACCCAAATGGTCCCGCGCTGATGATACGCCGTTTCCTTGGTGGCAGACTGTATTGTCTTCGGGGCAGGAGGCCAGTTTACAAGGACCTCATTCGTCACCGGTCTTCGGTTTATCGGTCCTCCGCTCCCGCAGAGTGTCCCCTGACTGAAGCTACCGCACTTGTAAAACATCGATATTCTTGCCCTCCATTCTCAATCCAGATGACGGAGCCACGAGGGAAGGCTGATGTAAGCAAGGAGGGTTTCCTGCTGGACTCTTCGGCAAATAAGGCTTTACACATACACTATCACTGGGCACCATGCCGGACACCATGCAAGAGGACTGACTTGTTACTGGCGGACTGTGACACGGAGAGATCGATACATGGTACATGTAGGTGAAAGAGTCATCGCGGAGTGGAAGGGGCGCGGGGCGGGAGCAATTACTTGGTCAATCAACAAACGACGCAACTCTCAGGGACAATACGGTGTGACAAGGCACTCTCAACACCACGCAGTCACCACGTTACTCAACAATATTCCCTCTTCAGCGACGTGTATTCCGGCTTATCTGACGTTCTTCGACGTACATCTCTACCTCCTTCAACACGGTTTCCTCAGATGTCCTCTGCCCCTTGCCCTGACATCATCGAAATCTCGAGTTCTCCAGAGCCACATCATAGTACCATCAGGTTCAACAAGCTCTCGGGTAGAAGGTCTCGATCAAAGATTGCTGGGGCAAGAGCGGGAACGAGCAGAACCGGTAACAAGGCCCGAACCACGTTTAACCCACTTTCCGTGATAGATCGTTCTAACGAGGCCGATGATTCGCCTTTCCAACCTCCATTTCAAGCAACCAACACTTTCCCTAGGGTCCACGGTCATGATACGGCTTTTCTCGATCCGACTTCCGTAGAACATATGACAGGTTTCAACTTTTGGGGAGCGTCCGAACGCCCAAATGATGTCTTTGAGGACAACTCCCAAAGCCAGCCTGCGCCAGCTCAGGCTGAGACACCTCAGGTGGATGATGTTGACCTGATGCTTGTATCCGTTCTAGAGATATTGCCGGACGTTTTGCCGGCCCATGCACTCATGCTGCTCCGACAGCTTCACCCAACCTACCAGGAAAACACCACGCACGCTGTCGTTCAATATCTATTTGATCACAAGCATCCTACGGTAGAACGGGACAGAGGGAAGAGGAAGAGGAGTGATGACGATGATGAGCGAGGAGAAGGATTGGCCCGGAAGCGAGCCAGATTCGACTATGAGAACACGGCACGACCATACCCATCGGGAGCCAGCTACAGTGTGTTGGCTGAAGAACAGCTGTTTGAGGATTTCCCATTAGTCCCGAGGGCTCAGTGCGTGCTCCATTTCCTCGGAATACCTTGCATGCTCATCAATTCTTTAGCGTTCGCAAGGTCATGGAACAATGTAACTTTTTCTATGCGCCTACGCACCTGCGTCTATTACGCGAATCCCAGTCAGAGGCTCTGCCATACACTCCGAAGGGTCGTCCAACCCCAAGCAAGATCAAAGGCAAGGGGAAGGCGACGTTTGATCCTGATTTTGAATCTGAGAGGGAGTGGCTCCTACTCAAGATTGGTAAGTGGCCTTCGTGGATACTCGAACGATCTTCTGAGTAGCATAAATAGGAGCAGATAAGCTGAAAGCGGATGAAGAACTTGCAGAGAAGCTCAATGAGGAAGAATACGTGGCCAATGGAGAAGGATTGGAATGCGGTTGTTGTTTTGGCGAGTATGCCTTCGTGAGATCCCCCAATCTGTGCCACTGGCATATATATCTGATAGCAAATCCAGGACAAGATGGTTCAGTGTGCGGAAGGCCATCTCTTCTGCCGGGATTGCGCTAGACGCCAGGCGGAAGAGCGTCTTGGCCTCCGTCAGACAGATCTACTGTGCATGGACCAGTCTGATTGCAATGCACCCTTTCCGGAGACTGAAATTGCCCGGTTTCTTACTGAAAAGTCGCTCAACTTATATCATCGCATCAAGCAAGGAAAGGAGATCGAAAAAGCTGGACTCGTAGGACTTGAGAGTTGCCCATTCTGCGATTATGCCTGTGTCATCGAGAACGACGAGGAGAAGCTGTTCCGGTGCGAAAATGAGGAGTGCCTCGTCATAAGCTGCAGGAAATGCAAGAAGACGGATCACTTACCGAAGACCTGCAAGGGTGCGGATGCTCTCACATTCATGTACAAGCAAAACACTGATGTGTTCAATAGAGGCAGAAGACGATCTGCGTTTAAATGCACGACACATGGTCGAGGAAGCCATGAGTGAGTGCTGATGGATGATGTCCTTTGGACCAAGATCGGTTTCCTAACGTCTCGCTCTGTCCAGGCAATGCTCTCATGCGGAAATGTCCCAAATGTCATCATCCCTTTGTCAAAGAAGGCGGTGTAAGTTCAACCATTTCCCTGGTAAACAGGATATTCATGCCAGCTTTGCTCCATGTCTGTAGTGCAACAAGATGACGGTGCGGTTTTCCATATTTCTACTTTCCCAGTGCTTATAGTCCCAGTGCAATCAATGTCGCACGCTTTCATGTTATAGATGCCGGCGGGTGATACAGGGATATGATCATTTTAGCGAGGTGTGTCGCTTATCCTGTTGCAATCCTCCATCTGACAGCGGCAAAGCGTCCTGGTCAGCCGCGATATGGGGAAGCTGGCGCGGTTCGCGATCCGAGCAAGTGCCCGCTGTGGGATATCGACCTAGAGAAGCTTCATGCTGATGAGGTATGTTCTGCAAGCAAGATATTGATATTACTCGTAACTGGTCATTTCAGGTTACAGCAGCTGCACGAAAGGCTCAAGAAGAAATCCTCTCTACAGATGACAATATTCAGATTGTCAAGCAGGATCTGGAAGTTGATCTGCCAAAACCACCCCCACCACCCCCAGGTCCTGGTCCTGGTCAACCTGGATACAATGGCGGCGTGTTGCCTGCAGAGTTTATGGAGCATGTGCTTCCCATGCCCATTCCACAAGCCCTTCCGATTGTGGTCCCTCCACCCATCCATCATGCCCCATTCCCGGCGCAGCACCAGTATCACTACCATGCGATCGTGCAGTATGCGCCCATGCACGCTGTGGCCGTCATCCATCAAGGCATCCAGCCTATAATTCACCCCGCAGATAGGCGAAACGAAAATGTGCTGCACCCGGAAGATGGGGTCAAGAGCCACCGCATGCCTCAGCTTGCTGGTGAAAGGCGAGCACGGAGAAGGCGATGACCTCACCCTGATTGATCTATGTAGCAGAAGAAACTTTTGATTATGCCCATCCACGTGCAAGGCATTTGTACAATGTCAGATTCCATGCACTTGTACAGCATAAAATATGCAACCTATGATGTGCGATCATTTGCCACACAGTGCCACCAGCTGTGGATTTCCCGTGGATATTTATTGCCACCCGATGGTGAACTCAGAAGCAAGTGGTGAAGGGGCGGAGGGTTCCTTGTCCTGCAGACCTCTTCTCTTCTCGGACGTGAGCCTTGGAAACTGACCACTGCCAGCCAGTCTACGGCGTCCAGAGCCGCGGCGGAGCAAAGTAGCTTGCAAAGGATGTCCAATAGAAACGGATCCCTCCATCCTACATAGGTGCGATACTGGAGCCGAATGCACTGACAACTTGAGGGAGAAGTTGTCAGCGAGGCCATATCCTCGGTAGTGACGTCGTGCATTTGTTTCACGAGAATTGTCGACTGAAAGCAAGCAGTAAGCTGTCAGAGTAGCCTACGCCGTCATACCCAACGGTCTCGCCCTGCTCTGAACCACCCGATAATAGGGGGTATGCAACGTTACGGTGCCGAACGGCTGCGCGATTGTCAGTCACAACAATGTCATCTTGCGCACTACTGCGTACCGCTGCCGTTAATATACGATCTAAATGCAGGGTTATTGATCCAGTAACACCCAGTGAGGTCATGTCGATCGGCCGGAATGATCCGAAGCGTTGTCCCACGGGGCTTCTTTAGGTTGGTTTCAAAGCTATGTACCATCCTGAACCAGTCCTTCGTCACCGTATGGCGAAATCGACAGGCAAACACCTCACGGAACGGCACTTATCCTCTTGCACAATTCAATTGAGCTTGACTCTGATGAGGAACTTGAAGGAAGTCGAGTGATGCGTTGCTCGAAGAGGGAAACAGTATCTTGGGCAGTACGACAGTGTATATGGGCGATTTCGCCACAGGCAGTTTTCATAACAGACTTCGAATGAATGGTTTCGAGGCCACCCGCACTGCAAGCATATCAGTCACAAGATCCCGGGGAGAAGTAATCGCTTACCCTGGTCGCTCGAGATCGTCACTAAATACGCACACAATCGTTTCAAAATGGAAGGGAAGACAAAGGGCACCCGTTCTAGGTGATATGTGGTTTAAGCTAAGGATGCATCTGTCTGTGCTTGTTGGGGGTATGACGGTCTTCAATTAAAGAGAGGACTTTCCCAATCGAGGCAGCATTTCGCACCGAGATGATTCCGGATGTGAATGCGCAGAAGTAGACATCCATTTCCCCCTGTGTTGGCCAGCAATGATAAAGGGCAGCAGTGATGGACGGAGAACGTGTGACCGTTAAAGTCCTTGCCCAACCTCGATGGGATGCCTTGGCTTCATTCATTCTGGCGATCTATCTTTGGACATATGTGCTAAGCAACGGGTCGTGTAGGCTCAAATTAGGTGGAAACGTTTTCAGCAAAGCGAGAGATGCAGGAGTATGAAAAAGATGGTTGGCTGGATGGTTGGTTGGGAGCATCACGTGTGTGCGCACCAACAACCAGCGCGGGTTCAATTGCTCCCAGGGGTCCTTTGCACATTCGCAAGTATTCTTTGGCCCCCGTGCTTACTGGACCTCCCCTTGCTTCACTTTCCTTTACACCACCATCACAGTCCATCCGTACAATGGACATGTCCAAGCTGCGTGATAATCTTCCAGCTGGAGGAAGACTGGATGCTGAGCGCGATCTGACGAACGATTTCAAAGGTGCGTCCTGTCTTCTTACATTGTTTATGGAGTCTTACGTACTGATTGCAATGCATACAACAGCCGCCGCTCTGAGCATAACCAAACTCTACAAATCCTCACTTGCAGCAAGTGCATCGGCATGGTCTGCTGGATACCAAGCCGCCCTCAGCGAACTCTGGGAGAAGTTTTCTCCCCCAGGCGACCTAGATCCACCCTTGATGCTCGAAGATATCCGTGAATGGGCACGGGCAAGGATGGATGCAATCGGTGCCGGGGGATCGAATGGGGAGTTGAGTGACGAAGATCGGGAAAAGGAGCGAGAGCGAGAGCGCGATGAACGAGGCCTTCCACCCATTCCCCCATCAAAGCCTTCGCCCAAACCTGAAGATGTTCCCGATAAGACGGCCGCCACCAGCGAGCCTGGACGAGTGCAAATCTACACAGATTCCCCCCAGGCTAATATCGATGATGAGCGACCATCACTTATTCGCTCGCCGACTACCTTCGCGCCCACGCGTACTCCGTTCTCGTCCCCATCCCCTGTCTCTGCTCTCAACCCTCCGACCTCGACGAAAACTAGGTCCCGGCGATCCCACGCCCTTCGGGATACAACTGCAAGTAACCCCTTTCCCGCTGCCCCCACATTCGCACCGGCTTTACCTGGAATTCCCGAGTTTCCCTTCTTCCCTCCCGCCATCTTCGAATCCACCCAGCCTATTCAGTACGGCACCGGGATGAAGAGGAGACATGACAGTGCGGACGAGACCGGAGCAGGTGTGGCTGGAAGAAAGGCTCGAATGAGAGAGCGTGGTAGCGGAGACTCGATGGATATCGACGGCGAGCGAGACAAGAAGAGGAGACGTTGACGTACAGCATCGGGGATTGTTGTTGAGGACTCGTTCGTTGCAACATGATTGTCCTTGACTGGCTGTGTTTCTATTTTTTTTTTCTCTTCGCATTCTCTCTTTCACGTTCAACACCTCCCGCATTGTGATATCTCAATCATCGGTTTTTTCTCATGCATGACACGCATTTTTTTCATGTCTTGTCTTCGTCTGGTCTTTTCCCCATGAACCAATTACCCGCAATTGTACAATTGAGGTTGGAAGCACATGCACTACGGTGTACTGAATTGAATGACTACGGAGGATATTATCGTAACGCTTGGTCATTTATTGTCTGGAAGAAGATATGTTGCAAAGGTTCCGCCGCGAAATGATTGGAGACTACGCTGGTAGTAACACACCGCGGAATATGGCGAGTGAGGAGTGCCCGGATTTTGTCCCTCGTCATCGCCTTGCATCATGCCTCTGACTCCTGTATATAATAAGCGTAGCACCTCTACCTGCTGACCCGCATCCTACAAGCCTGCCAGTCTGTGATATTTCACCGCTCCCTCGCATAAGGATGGACAACTCCACCAACTTAAACTGTGGATCCGTCAACACGGATGTGAGCGGTGAGTGCCGGCGCTGTTGCGTATGTGTACTTATGCTTAAGCGCTCACTTCAGGTGTTGGGGTATGCTTCACTATTTAGTCGTGGGGTGTTATTGATAGCGTCCAGGTCCGAGTGTCACTCTATGCGTCGGTCACCATCGGTTTGATCATGATGCGATGTTGAGTAAGCCTTTAGTTGTCTTGCCAATGTCTCATCGTGTTGCAGGGTTTACACATGATATGGACGCCTTTCAAGATGCCGCTCGGACGTCATTCATTACCTCGATAGCGCTGGTGATCTCTTCCCTCGTATCGCTCTACGGAGGTGCTGGCTTAGCGCTCGTGGACGCGCTCGTTGTCACTACCGTAACATCCCTCGTCATGGCATACGCTTTCATAGTCGGCTCTCAAGGCACAGCCTATGCACGACATATCGGTGCGAACAAGTTCGAAATGACATATACCCTCGCACTTGCTGCAGTCCTACACACTATACTGTGGATGGCATTTGGCATCGTGGTTTGGCGCGATCCGAGCAATTTTGGCAACGGTGCGATCGAAGGATGTTTTCCCAATCCGAACCTGAATGTTGTCTTTTGGGTCGTTGGACTTACCCTAAGTCCAACCAATGCATCACTTAGAGCATTTGCAATATCTGAATTTGCAATTGGAGGTGGTCTGGGTATTCTCTCGACCATCGCAAGCTTCATCTTCACCAAGCTTTCCAAAACCCAATTTGAAGCGGTCGAGTATGACGTGGGAAGGATGCGTCAAACTGGGCCAATGACGCATCATGGTCCTTTGCCACACTTGCGGCCGAACGGGTCTCAGGAGAACCCGCCCATCATCGCTGATCAGCTCGAGGGAGGTCCTCAGGCGGTGCTCGCTGACGGAGTAGCAGGGCCGAGGGTTGATCAAGAGAGGCGGGCCGCGAGACCAGCGAACAGACTGATAGTTTGGCTCAACAGTAAAGATATCCGCAATTTTTCATATCTATCGAACTCTGACGAGCTCGTTTGCAGCTCCTACTGTGAAGAAGATTGGCCTCTGGTGGAAACCTATCGCCGGAATTGGAGGCATCATCGGCTATCTCTACTTAATCGTAACTACCGAAAGCCTGATCACGGTGAACAATCAACGGGCTACCACAAACAGCTTGACATTCGGCCAAATCCTCTCTCTGGTCCTTCTCCTCGACCAGATTATCTTTCAGCCCATGACACAAATTTTCAATCATCTCCTAGAGCGAGCGGTGCAGAAACAGAAAGAAATAAGAAGGCAAAGTAACGCAAACCGTGGAACAGGTCCTTACGAGTTGTCACCGATAACAGCTACGCCGTCCCCAGCCGGAGAGGACGCCCTCGCGAAGTAAATGTAAGTGAGCAGTCAGGCAAGACTATTCCGCAGTGTATTAAATGTCCATTGTTTATCTATTGTTTTCTGTCTTCTTAATCGACAAATTTGGTTGTCAAAAATATCATAGGCCTCGAAGTTCATATTGGTGGGAGCGACACGATACTGAGCGTGGCATATAAGCGGCTCGTGGCTTGAGCTGGGTTCCACAGACTCACAGTCTTGCTGCATGATGTACTCCCCCTTCCCTCCCGTCATGATCCATTTCTCTTTCGGCCCAACGTGGCTTTTCCCTTTGATGCTACTCCCTCCGACTTGGTCCTTCATGCCAATTCCCGCTGAAGGATCCTTTTTGTGCTCCTCCCCACTCGACATTCCACCCCTCGAATGTGTGGCACTGTCCAGTCCTACCGGAGAACCTTTCTCGGCGGCTTCTTTTCCAGCAGCCTGTGCGTCACCCTGCCGAGTGATCCCAGGCTTCTCGTTCTTGCTTGAGTATCTGAGAGCATGTAGCATCAAGGAAAAGAGCCGTGTGTGGCCGACATTGCGGGGAATGACATGGAAGACTGTACTGAACATGGTGGGCGATGTAAATCGGGTTTGGTGGGGAGGGTGGTTGAGAGAGAGATAGTTTGTTGACGAGATATATACAAGAACCAAGGCCTCGGAATGATGTCATATTACGTCACGTGAGGATGAACATCCTCCAGCACCTTGAGACGACCAGAAAGGCTCAGCAATGGATTCTATTCAACCTGAAACGTATTCGTGATCGACATCTGAACGAGGCAAGGTTATAGCATTTCGGTTTTGTTGCTCGGAAGCTGGTCGCACACCTGTATCAAGCGCGTCTCCGAATAACACTTGCGACATGCTCTAGAAGACGACCTGATCCAGAACATTACCATAGTGAGGACCTGACCGAAGGAGAACGGTGCTCAGAGTAGGTCCAGTCAGAAGGCTTGGCATCGCGGATTCGAACAAACTTACAACCATTGTCTGGCTATTCTCCTGGTTGGGCGTGATGATCACTTCGGTTGTGACGATGAGATATATCCAAGCGCCGAGTCCAATTGCTGGTAGAAAGCCGAATGTGTCCAGCCACTACAACCAAGTACATACACAATAAGTGCTAGTTATCAGAACATATCTATGACACGCACCTTCTGTATCCCGTTCATTCCTCCCTTCCACAATAGGAACCAGCTGTGCCCTCGGCCGTGTTTGTCCAACCGTCATGTAATTCTGCTAGGTCGTTCGCGAGTGCATGTGGCTGCCCCTGCAGTGATCTCCGGGATCCTTCCGGCCATATTCCCAAAATGGCCTCCAAATGGCCCAAGGTGCCAGTGAATGACTGACAGTTCCCCCAAATGCCAAGGCAAAAATGGCAAATCCGCAGAGTTGCCCATCATTGACTGGCGGCCGGCGTTGCTAAAAAAAAAAGCAAAAAAAAAGACAAAAAACTTGAGGTCCTGACGCCCAGCAGGCAGGCAGCCGAAAGATTAGTCCAGACTGGCACTCCAAAGGCCACCCAAAAGGTCGTATGGATCATCGCAGTGCCGAGGACGATGCAGTCTGACATGCCGCTTTCTTGCGGCTTTTCCTCCTTCAACTTGGGACGGGACGCCTCCGGTACTTTCTTAAAACGACCCGGGTGGGGCCTGGAAGCCAACGACGAGGGCATAGACGACACTTTGTGTCGTCATGCTTGTAACCACTTAAGCATGGAAGAGTCCCAATGAGTCTTCTCCTTTTTGTGTCTTCCAGGCCAGGTGCGTAGACACAATGAGGTTATGAAAGCCGTTCGGGCCGCCTCGTGAAAGTGGTCGACGCTGTGTGTAACAGCTGTGCCCGTATTGTAAGGCGGTGCACTGGCACAGGAAATCGGAAATACATACAGAACATCAACGGAAGACCAGCGCTCGTTCACGCCTAGAGTGATATATGGACCTACAGCAGTCCCAAATCAGACAGCCCATTTAGACACTCTATGTGTTACTCACTCCAGGTCTCGCTAAAAAAACAGTGGTCATGCATGAGCATTGTACTGGGCACAAGAAGCCCGATGAGACACGCACCGCTGATCTCACCATTGGAGAAGATACATCGCACATCGGAGGAACTATCGGTCGTGGTACTCCAGCCACATTGAAAGGTATGTTGAATGATTTCGTGACGGGCAAATCGTGCAGAGAGCCGCATATATCGCTGGCGCTGTGAAGAACAATAATCGACCAAGGTCTGCTTGGGTATATCTTGATTCGTTTGCTGAAGGATCCCAGTGCAGCTTGCCATTGATGTCCTTGCCATGGGAACGCTTATCTGACGCATGGGCAACACGTGAGTACAGGTGAGATCATGTTATGAAGCTGTTTGATTGTGCTCGCCGTCCATCGGGACAACCCCAGCCAGGGAGAAAGGTTGGCACGGAAAGACTTGAGAAAGGTTGGCCGCTGTCAAGACCGGAAGTGGTTCTTAGTCACTGAAAGTGGGCAGGACTAGTGCAGGATGAAGGTGTCTTTAAGAGGATGCACAGAATGCACTTTTGCACCTCAACGTCGCCAGTGCGACTGCTCAACAGACACTCACCAGATACTGTGGCTCGGTGAGAAGTCGACTCCAATGAACAACCCAAAGCAAGCGGTCGCTAATTCACTCTGCTTGGTAAACGAACCTCGAGATTGAGTACGTCCAGCGAAGGGGAATTGCATTTTAGCAGCCAACACTGACAATTACAGCATCGTCGAGGGTGATTTCACCAGTTTCGATGACCAGTCTCGTTCTCAAGTCATCACGGTGCCTATACAGCCGGTTTTGCCCTCCCATCGTCCTGGGGCTTGTCAACCCAGATCTGTGAGGCTTGTCAGCCAAGTGTGAAGATGAGCTTTGAGGGAGAGGTAGACGTACCTGTTCCCCACCCTTGCCATTCTCCCACTCCTGGTACCTCAGCGCGGTGAATCCACGCTTCTCAGCTTGTACGCGTGCGTCTTCTTTTAAGCCAGCACGAAGGGCACGGGCGGCTATTTGGGAGTAGCGGTTGTAACTGTTGAGCAGTATGAGCACCTTTGTCGATGGGTTGGGCAGGCGTGCTGCCCCAAACGAGAGCGAACGGAATGATGGGGATGGCATACTCACGTCATAAACTGACGCCATAGGGAAGACATGCTGCCGTTCTAGTAAGTGGCAGAAGTGTTGACAGAGTCGAGGAGGGCGATGGGCACGACGATGAAATATGTGCTGCCCAGGACGGAATTGACGACGAACAGATCAAGAGTGCACAGAGTGGCGCCCGGAACCTTCCGGGTTGGGACGCATGGTCAGCGTAAGCATGCGTTGGATAACAATTATGATATTTACACACCACAGGCTGCGTTGAATTATTTCAAGAGACATCGTGCAGAATTAATTTACATACTGTAATATAACCAATTATAGAACAAAACAAAACTTGCTTTATAAAACGACCAGACCCGAGCTACAACCATCACCTTCCCTAATTGGAAGGTCCGTGTTTTTTGGGCAGGCCTTGGGGTTTATCTTTGACTAACCGATTTGCACGCCGGGCAACATGCAGCTGTTTTTTCAGTCATATTACCTTGCGAGTTCCAAGTGGTTCGCTCCTCACGGACCCCGCAGACTAGTTGCCCAGGGGTGCACGGAGCGGTTATCTATCTTTGTACCCGACTCAGAAACCATCCCAGCACATAGTACGTGTTCATCCGCGCGTGGCAGAGTGGCTGATGGCCTATCAGTGATTCTAATGGATGGGGTACAAAGAGTAAGGTTTTCGTCGCGGCGCCATTAACGAAGCACCTCTTGCTCAGTCGGTCCTCGTACGCTTCTTACTACAACCATCAACGACAACGCCTGGGCAACGCATTGGCAGCGAATCCCCCATATGGATGTTAAGCACGGACCGTTCCATAAAAAAAAACACTGCGGAAACCACAGAGTCTTCGCTGACCGTCTGCGGGCACCAAACCAAAAGGAACAGCATCTATTCATCCCGTGACGAGCTATTGTGTCCCACTCGCACCTCCCCCATCAATTCGGAACTGTCGTCAGATGGAAGGCAAGGCCAGCAGTTCTCAAAAGGAATTGTGCCCGTTGATACGAGCACAACACCTCCCCAAGCGCATACTGATAATTCGGCGCAGGGGGAGGGCGAGGACATTACCTCATCCCCTTCTATTGCTATCTGTTCCACTCCCGTCGGAACTGCCCAGTCTGAATCAGATTGTCCCCCACTTTACTGGCTATCTGTTGTGGGCGAAACGTTTCGACCATTGGTTGTTGGTTGCGACCTCTCAAGGCTGGATCCAATTGTCAAGCTTCCCAACGGGCTCCAACGACCTGGCAGCATCCACTATGCTATGGAGGCCTACCGTTGCATCCTCAGCTTCTGTTGCCTGCAGCGGAGCCATATGCCGATTGGACGATGGCAGAATATCAGCTGTAGTGTCCTTCGAGAAGAGATTATCCTGCCCAGTGATTCTCAGTTCGGCGAGAGCGGATGACCATGCGGTCATTCAAAGCATCCAATCTTTTTGTATATCCTGGGAACACGATGGCCTGGTGCCTCAGCAATCTAGAAGTCACTCTTCGGATACATTGGCATATGATGGCGAGTGGTCTCTGCATGGTTTATATAATGGTCTAGTGGATGTTCATGCCATACACTGGCCCACGATGACATTCACGAATCTTGCATTTCTGCCTATGTCTGTATGTTGTGTATTTATCCTTCCGTGCTTCGCGAGCTCACTTTCCAAATGTAGGTACAGCGTTTCCTATGCACCGAATTCGTACACGACCATCTGCTGATCTCCACATCGTCTGCACTGCTTGTGTATCGGTTGTCCTCCCTTTTGAAAGCGGCTGTCGAGTTCGGGCGTGATGGAAGCCCAATAGAGCCTGATTCGACCTTGCACTTTGGACCAGAAAGCCCTCATTCTCGACTACATGCTTATTCGGTTGCCGTACGACCAGCGTCAGCAACATCAAACGTTCTCGCCATCCTCGCTGTACGCCTACCAGATGCCCTCGTGGCATACCACTTCATTCAGACTAAGGAATCACGATATGAGCTCAAGGTTCACTGGCGAACTTCCATTTCTGCCAAGCTGTATCTCGGACCTCTCATCTTCGATCAGGATGGGACGGTTCTGACTTGGATAGAGCATAACAGGTCCGCTTTGCCGTCCGGATGTGACGCCGTTCAAACAACGGTGAAGTCCAGAGCAATCTCTCTCGCACCATTAGATGACGCGCAAGAAAATGGACCTGTCGATGTTCTGTACACTGCCGAACAAGGAAGTTCACTCTTGCACGTGGATTGGGGTTTTCGTGCCGACAACGGTTCCATTCTTCTGGGACTTAGTTATTCACGACTTCTCTTACGCCTTGAAACGCCCTTGGAAACGAAAGTAGCAGCCCTCCTGGCAGGCCGTCCCACACCAGAATGGTCCACCTCAGCCGCACGTTCCCCGGTAGTCACTGGATGTTTTGTCGGAGCAGAAGACAGGATATCTGGTGGTGTCCCCCTCAACTCATCGATTTCGACCATTCCCAGACACGGAAGGGAAGAAGCTTGCCAGCAACCTGAAGACGATTCGGCAACGATGCACAGCCTGCGTGGGATAAACCCCGCTAAAGGTGATGGGATGCAGTCTGAAAAAGACACGTTCTACCTCCCAAAGTCTGGTTTGGGAGTTTCACTGCCCATTGAAGGCAGGAGCGGTGAGAGTTCTGTGCGTAGCGGTGGGACTGGAGATGCCACGAGCGACATAGGGACGTCTGGTCGATCAGAACTTGACCGAGATTTATTGGAACTTGACGTGAACTCCTTGCGGCTTGATGAGCGTATTGCAATTGCCGTATGTTCTTCAGTGGCTACTCTTCAATCTTCGTGGTTGACTATTTTCCTCCTACAGGAATGGGGTGCCTATATGCGACAATTTCCATCGCCTTCTATCTTGCAGGGGAAGGTTACTCCAACAGACATCAAGTCATACAAGGTCCCGACTGGTTTCGCCACCGACGTGTCCGATGTCCGTCAAGCATTCCAAGCTCTAGACGGCGGTCTCAGCGTTGTCACCCGAGGGGCAGGGTTGTGGGGCCCTCTACAGGTCGCTGCTTATGATCCTGATGGGGACCAAGTTCTTATCCGGCTACCTGGTGACGGTTACGATGTTTTTTATCGGTTCCAGGATGCAGCTGCCATTGCCCACAGGGAAGAGGACCGCTGGCACCTGCTCTGTTTCACCTGTTCGGCAACGATCAGATAGACCTGCCTGACGAGGAGGATGATCTCCAGACCACTGCAATCAGGGTGGATCAAGTTATCGCAGACCGGGCGCTTCGTTACGACATAGATGCTCTGGACGCAATCAACGCAGTGACAAGGCAAAAGGCGCAAGAGCGTCTCGGCATTCGAGGAAGTCTATGATACCCCTGTCCGCCACGAGTGGAGGGAATGCGACCTCAGGCCGACGCCTGCTGACAATCGACTCTCTAGCAGCTCTGGAACGACGCGGATTCATTCCGCGAGGGTGGCGAGGGTGGATGAGGACAAATGGCTGGAGACCTACAGTTGTCTGAAGGAGTGCCGACCCGCAGGCCTGTCCCATTCTCTCCAGCAGACGCGTGCAAGAGCTTTACCTAGTTTCAATCGAGCTATAATACTAGCACACGGTAACAAGGATACGTTGGAATAAATATATTCACCACGTGATCAGGACATGAGTAAGGTGGGAGTGGAACAGCTTGGCATGTAAGGAGGCCTATCCCCTGCTCGTTCTGCGACGTGTACAACTGGTCCATATCCCACACTCTGAGTGCGCATCGGCTCTTCGGCCACCTAGTAAAGTACACACAAAACACATTCATTGCAAACAATTGTTTTCTTTATTTTCTACATTCCACTCTCCAGTCCTACAATACCGCACAGTTGAGGAAAGAACGTGATGTCGAGACAAGGCGTCTACTGGGGAGGCGTCCAATTCTGCTCGACAGCCTGGTCAACGTGGTGCTTGGCTACACCAACAGCACATCAGAGAATTGTTCGCAGAAGGAAAATAAGCAGCGCACCGTGGTACTTGGCCTTCTCCTTGTCGACAAAGTCAAGCCCCTTGCTCTCGACGATGTGGTCGATGAAGGCGCCAGCGAAGCCAGCGAGGAGCTCCTTGGCCATCTGGTGGTTCTGGGGCTTGCCGTTCTTGGCCTCGTGGTCCTCGTACGCCTTCGCGGCCTGAAAAAACTGTATCAACACCAGTGGACGTAAAAGAAGAAGCAAACGCACCTCGTAGGAGGCAGCGGCGGCGATGAGCTCGTGGGAGAGAGGGGCCTTGTGTGGTGCGCCAACAACCTGGTCGTAGGCCTGCTTCTGCTCGGAGTTGTCACCGAAGGAGTCGAGGAATCCCATGTTTGATAGTGTGGATGAGTGGTGGACGAGGTGGTGAGAACGTGAGGTGGATGGGAAGTGCCCTGCCGAGTGAATGGAGGTTTATATAGGCGTGCTGGCAATACCTCCCAGACATTACGGATACCAGTGTGGTTGATCACGAATCGAGCCCCTCAATAGATGACGGTACCATCTCATGCCAGTACAAGGGTCTCGCCTCCGCCAAGACATTCCATCGACTTCCACACGGGGTCTCTCCGCTATAGAGATGCCGGTCACCATATGCCGTTCCTTCCGCTTCAACAAAGGCGCTGCACGTGTGAGGCAGGGGCTATGCTGTTTGGGTCTCGCTCATTCTTGGCGACTTGCTTTTCCGGATTTCGCCACTACATGCAGTCATTAGAGTCGTGTGGTTCGCAGCTGAAAAGTACTCAGTAGTGCAACACGGCGACAATATCGTTCGCAATTGTATGATTTTCTCGTTACCATGATGATCAGCCATAGAGGTACAGAGCTTCCCAACCGACCAATTTTGAGACAAAGATCCAGGTATCATCTTGGCAACGATCACCGATCACCCCCTCTCTCAAGCTGGATCGCCCCGACATACCCTATCCGCTGCTTTGTATGACACCCCTTCCTGATATCTAGAAGTATAGCATGATCATTGGGGCATCATATTGGGGATATACAGAACACAGACAGCTAGAAAGAATGCCTGAACTCTTCATGTTACCTAAATATTACGTCTTCCGCTGCTCAGCTCCTCCGATCGTTTGGCTCAAGCCTGGTCTTGAGCAGTCCTGATAATTACGTCGACTCTTTCGCATTCCATGCCTTCGAAAAGTTGACTCATCTTTTTCAACTCAGCCACAAAAAGTTTATGGACCGACACAAATTCCGTGTTTCGTGTCTTTCCGCGTTCGCTCTGGTTCAGAACGCGTTCGAAATCGTTGTAGGTGTCTTTCAGCTTGTCCTGCATTTTTTGTACCTGTTCCAGCGCAGTTCGCACAACAGGGGTGTCGAGATCTTCCCACATTATGTCACAGAGAGCAGTGTTTGCCCAAAAGTAGCTCCGTCGTTGTTCTCCAAAGAAACTAGTCTGGTGCATTCGCTGCTCCGTAGCCTTTCTCAATCGATCGTGATCAGGAATCCGTGTTGTGCCGTCAAATGTGACGAGGGAATTATACAAGAGGAACATGACGATCCATAATATTGACTCGAGATCGTGACCAGCATTACGGCGCAATGCAATGGTTCTTCCAGCGTTACGTGGTAAGTAGAAATAACGGTCTTCGAGCACCTCCACGGCCATGAAGTCAGGGGTTCCCTAGTAGGTGCGTAAATCAGAATGATGCAAAGAGGCAGCATCAAGCACAACTTAAGGTGCGCACGTTGCCCCCGGCTTCGTCGACCATGTGACGCTTTGCAAACTCCAAGTCGCCCAGTCGGCCTCGTCTCTCCATTTCATTGACTATGATGTTGCCAGGAGATAGATCGTGATGCTTGAATCCGGCAAGACACATCATCTTGCAGGCTGAATGGCCTGTCAGCACCGCACACCAAGAAATGAACTGAAAGCGAACTGACCCTGGACAACGTCAGCTAGGGCAGCGAATGCAATATCCAGGGCCACAACGTGGTGCAACGGTTCTCCAACGTTCCCCATCACCGTTCGATAATGACTGCGATGGTGGAGTCTGGGCTTATCGTCTTGCGGCCCCAACGCGGGTCCGCGACCGTTCAGCGCCTCAGTGTTCCTCAAGCTCAACAAGTGGTATCCAACCCTGTCGTCCCTCCCATTGGACAGCTCGTTCCCCGTGTCGATCCACACGGCTTTTTCTGGAAGCGTTTCGAACCGCATGATGTTTTCCGTATCGTTACGGTGGTCTGCAGCTGCGCCGACCATCACATGTTGATCGCCGACAATGTTAACGAAATAATCCTCTGCCTGTTTGTCCTGGTCCAGTCCGAGGTGCTCATTGGGGATGCCTTTGATCGCCTTCATGATGGCATCGTATGTGTCGCGCTCGGTGCCTCGGTTCTTATCGCGCCAGACTTCTTTGATCGCCACCTTCTTGATATCCTGGTCGGTTTCGCTCGGATTCCTCGCGTCTTCATTCACAAGGCATGCTTCATATACACGGCACGCGCTTCCATGGAGCGCTCGCGCTCGATGATCCGCGAGCGGCCTCTTCTTGACCCTGTACCTCTTGTTGTCAATGACAAGCCGGAAGGAGTCACTCCCCTTGTCGGTCACCATAGTAGGGTCCCGACCCAGAGCCTCCTCATCTGCGAACGCAAAGAAGGCAAACGCCCGGAACAGGCTTTTCCGGTCCTACGCGGTGAGTCAGCACGTAATCACACATCTTGTCGTGCCAACGAGCCGTGTCAATGTCAAATCCCTCACTGACGAGCACAGCCGCACGAGTGGCCACCCACAATCGTGCCTCTGCACCTTCGATCGAGATTCCAAGGGAGAAACGGCGATCGATATTCTCCCACAGGAGATGCTGCAGGCCAAATATCATTTTGCCGGGATTCTTCAGGACAGCTCAGGAATGACCAAACACTGTGCAGAGAAAAGGCCAACTCACGTCTCTGCCCATCACCCCTTGCAGATCCTTCTCATTCTTTTTCTTGAACTCATACACCGAAAATAGGTTGGCCCACGTGTAGTGACCAGGTTCCATCCCTTCCTCAAGGATCTTCATGTCCCTTGGATTTGTTCCATCGGGTTTGCTCGTGTTCTCTTTCTCGCTGGAGCGTGGAGTGTGGGTTGGGCGAAGTAGAAGAGGTCGAAGGGCTTTGCGGCCGCAACGCTTCTGGCACATTTCGCTGACGAAACTGTGTATCTTTGCCAAGGGCCGACTCAAGCATGACTTTTCGCTTTCCGTCGAGGTTGTATCGGTTGAACGCGTGAGTCGACGTCCTCTTTTCTTTGCTTGGCGTCGTATCAGGCGCCCGCAGAGGAGCGCTTGTTCGAGGAGGTGTTTGAGGGGGGGCACCGTACTTCGCAACTTGTATACGCCTCGATGTGTTCGCAACGGCCTCGAGTCAGATCAGCCCCAGACCTCGAAAAGGATGCCGCTGGACAGGAGTTGTCCTGAAAATCACGCGTAATCAGAGGCAACCGGTTGCCGCTGTTCCTGACTTCCACTTTTGTTCACGGTCTTCGCAATAGCAGCAGGCTCGAAGGCGGCCTTTGTAACTCTCAAAAGCCCAACAACGCGGTTTAGACGCGTGTCGGAGCCCTCGAGGGCGCGTGATGTGCATGGCCAGCACGCGGCCCCAAGGACCCTGTGAATAAATCGGTGCCGAAGAAGACCTCTCATGTTTCTTAGTAAGTACTAGTCTCATGTTACTTTGTCCATCACGTTCCTGTAGAGTATGCTAACATGTATCTCGGCACATTATCAGAGTTGGAAAAACTGATGCTGGAGGGTGTCATGGGCAAGTCCCCCACTGACGCTAACAATAGTCGCGTTTCGGCAGTGTCGCGATATGTAAGATGCTTCTCACGCATGCGATTCACTGCTCTGGACCCGGCTGGTGCTTACTACATACATAGCCCTCTTTCATGAGCCTCCCTTGTTCGATCTACATACCAGGGTCGCTTAGTCAGCGCTCTACTCAAGAGGACGCACAAATCCGGGCACACCTTGCCATAATCCATGGCCAACATCCCCGATAAGACCTTCGCTTCTCCTTGCATTCTCCGCAGCAAGCTTGGCTTCCGTTTCCTTGGGGATGTGGAAGAGCTTGATGAGTTTGGTGTGCTCCCAGAAGTACGAGCACACTTGTCGCCATCGCCTGGTAGAAGCTGTGAGCGACCTGTTATTGCAAAGGTCCGACGAGCCGTACCTTCGTCATCCGGAACACCTGCTGTCCTCCAATCTGTACCATATGCGGCTAGGGAACTTGGCCTGACGTGATCACCGGTTCTCTGTGCATTCGACGCAGGTGGCGACATTCCGTGGGCTGATGTGACAAGCGAATCCTGTGTTTCGCTGGGCAGATTGGACTGTGCCGAGTCGGTCGTGGGTACTTGGTTGGTTGTTGACGCAAGTTCATTTCGATGGCCCAATTCGCCTCCTGTGTGCCTGCTTTCTGTCGCAAGTAAACCACCGTCTTCCACACTTCTACGTTTTTTGTGAAGTTTCCTGTGGCGGCGTTCTTTCTCGTCTACGCTTCCTCGACGCCGTTTCTCTGGGATATTGCTCGCGGCCGCCGTCTCGGCGGGCAGGGAACGACGACGTTGTTTCTCATCTTCTTGCAATTTCTTGGATGGCCTTTTGCGGAGGAGGCTCGATTGACGGTGATGCCCATCATTTACAGCTGCAGTACAGTATCAGTCATGTAAAGTCGTCACCTGCGCACTGGACTCACTCAGCTTGTTTTGATCTGGTTTCGGTAGATCGGCTACGACATCTTGAGGGGATATTTTTTGCGGTTGGCGCGCCGTTTGTTGTCCGCCTGTGTCATCAGGCCCGTCGGTAGCGCCGGATCCGGTGAATGTCGTGGTCATATTTGGCGAACCGCCTTCAGGAAGTGGCTGCGACGGAGGCCAATTTTGCACTCCTTCGTCATCATTGAACCGTGCGATATTGTTGCTACCGTAGATCACACCTAATATGATGTTATATCCCAATACGGCGAAGTCAAGAGTCATGCTCACCGCCTGATTGATTGTCCCGAGTCTCCGCATCAGCTGCAGCAGCGGCGCTACCAGCAACGACGATTGCGGCGGCCTTCTTTCCAAGGGTTGCCTCGAAAGGATCGCGGAAAGCTCCTTCCTCTACAAACATCTTTCAGTACCCAAAACTGAACTCTGAGGTTATTCTTACTTTGAACTTCCTTCTCCAACCCCGTCTCTCGGTGCGTATGCTGCCCTGTGCCGTATGGAACTGCGCTTGTGCGTGCTTGGACTGGTTCTTCCTGAACGTGTGCGCTTGTTGCAGCAAGCTCGTCGTTGACTGGATCAGATTGGTCCGGGAAAGCCAGAATTGTCTCAGTGCCGTAGTTCAAGTTATTTCCATGTTCGTCACGAGGCGTATCCACCTCTTCAACTCTCGGCAGAGGTGCAGATGGGCTAGGGTCGGAAGACGGCATGATGGCCGCACCGTCGACTGAGCCAGTGACGGGCCCACCGCCAGCATTTGAAGGATGCATGTTCTTCTGGCCGATCCGGTTATTGCCTGTCTTCATGTCTTGCGCCGGAGAACCAACAGCCGCAGCACTTACCGTCCCGGCTTCAACAGCGGTCCGAAGCCTCTGTAGACGGCCAGGAGCATCGATGATGCTAGGTTCGTGTGCCTCAGATTCGACATTCCCAGCAGCAGCGCCCTCGTGTCTATCCGGTTCGCTCAAGACGCAAGGGTGGTTACCGAAAGATGCACACGCAGAAGCTTCGTCGATTCCCTTCTGTCTGTTGGACACCACCGTTCTGCCCAAAGGCTCATGCTCGTCAGCAGGAGTAGCAAGACCAGCAGCCACAGCGAGTTCGCGGTTCTTCTTCGATTGATCTTCTGACACGTTGAAGGAAGATATCCCTGGATTGGATGGAGACATCTGGGGATCGGTCTTTGGCACGTGCGAATCGTCCCCCACATTATCGAACACATGAGCATACTTCTCCGACGTTGGCTGGACAATCGGCTGCCCAGGTAGCGTCTGCTTCGGCGGAGGTCCTAGCAAGTCAACCGCGGAAGGCTGAGATTGGTTTCCACCCTTCGGGAGCTGGGTCGACGTGTTGAGTCTTGCGAAAGTATCGGCATGCTTGTCCGAAAGGGCAACGACAATCGGCACTCCATCAGGTGTCTGCTTGGGAGGCTCGCCAATGAGTCTGTTGGTGGAAGTCTCTTCGGCCCTTTTCAAGCCGTCCGCCTCTGCATATTTCTGTGACAAGGGAGGGACGATCGGGTCGCCGGGAGCGCTCGTCTTTGGCTGATTATCCAACACCTCGCCATGAGTCGGAGGAGACATGGGAACAGACGGCAAGCTCGTAGGATGACCAGAAGGGGAGCTGTGAACCCCATTTTCATTCTTCTTCCAGGCAATAGCGGCACTAGCACCGAGACCGAGGATACCAGCAGTGCCGAGCTTGGGTGGATCGCGAGTCATTCGTCCACCAGCAGGATGGGCAACCGACTGCTCTTCGCTCTGCTCGCCAGGGGCAGGATGGTTGTACTCGCTCGCGTGGTTATCGAGAACCGTTGAATGAGGATCGTGGCTGGGTCGCTGCGGCGCTGTTCCAGGGAACATGTCGGTACTGTTGAGTACGCCAGCCTGATCAGCTGCACACATCAGTGAGTGAACGTTCTACAGAAGACAGGAGAAGTTGCGTACATCCTACGGTCATGAACGGCGCTGCTTCCCAGGATGCCTCCACAGGTTGACTATTGTGTTCGTCCTCCGACTTTCCTCCTTTTACTTCACCAGCAATTCCGGCTGCACCATCAATGGATCCGGGAGCAGACGTTCCAAGGTTCGGCTGTTCCGTCGGCGTATAGCCCTTCTGCCATATTGCGCTATTTGTCAAGTTACCAAGCAAGCCGCCTGGCATATCGATGAAGCCCGGCGTATCGTCTGTCCTCATCCCGAAAGTATCCATCGATTCCTTCCCAGGTTGAGGGGGGACGACTTCCTCCTGTGCCGGGCGGTCTGCTGCCTCATCAGGTCCTGATTGGCCAGCACGACGCTCGCCCAAAAGAGGAGCAAGGAAGCCCGAGAGCGGGAGGTACGATAGCTTTTCAGTGATGGTGTCGATGAGCGTTGGTTGCGTCTCATGCGCTGCCGATGGAAGATCGACGGAATCGGTGTTTTGATCACCGGACACTTTGAACGCAGTTGTGTTCATGGTCAGGAGATCTGGCTGTGACACATGCTCGGTTCCGAGATCACCCTCTCCAGAGGCATCGTAGATGGTCAAGTTGCGCATAGACTCGTGAACTGAGTCGACGGCACTGTCACTGTCGGAAGCATTGGGAGCTGGATGAAGATTCAGAGAGTTATCAAGACTCCCGGGTGGAGAAGGCGCACCGCGTCCTAAGAATGAGTCGATGCTGTAACCGAGGCCTTGCACTTGCTCGGTCATAACCCCACCTACTTTTGCTGTCGTATTACCAGCTGACTAACGTTGGTCTATCAACACAAGCAACGGTTACCTCTACTCACTGGTACGCCTGACTTCTTCAATCCACCCACCTGGAAGATCGTAGCCTGGAGTGATCGCGACAGAAGACGGCTGAGGATCATCACTGTGTTCTCCAATTGCATGCATATCAGTAGCGTCTCATAGACCAGAATGATACCCTATATGGATGGTAGAGTAACTGTGTTCTTGTGGTCGCTGGTTGAAGTCCTCGTCGTTCTTCTACCGTGCTTTTGATGGGACTCGACGTGCTCAGAATGTGCTGGTGAACGTTGTGGAGAGAGAAGAGATGGTGCTGGGAAGGTGAGTTGCAATGTCTTCCGATCATGGTGTTCTGGTGTGATGAGAAGAAAGCAAGTTCCACCCCTTTGGTGACGTCAATGATGCGCTTGGTGAACGGCACGTGATTCACTGGTAGGCGCGTTGACTCTGAGCCTAATCCACATCATGGGCAACTGAGGAACCCGCTCTCTGTTGAAAATGCTGCTCTTTCGGATGGAAATATGCACATTTTTGACAACGAGAACAAGGCGACTCATTTCAAATGTGCATGACAGCATATGATTCTTCCCGGCAGTACTCACCTGTAGCATGTAAGAATGAGGCCAAAGAAAACAAGCGGGAAAACTTGTACCAGTTGCGATTTCAATGATAGCCCGCCGTTCCAGGGATAAATTCTGTCGTTCACAAGCTCTGAACCGGGAGTACCCAGGAACACTCTTTCGACATTCGTACAGAAGTGTGCTACTTGACGAAGCATCCAACAACTAATCGTCGGATCATTCAATGCCCGAACGCGACGTTAAGCCTCTGAACCGCGTCATCAATAAACTCTTTACCCTTGGCGGTGACCCCGTCCAGGCTGGCAAAATTATGTGGCACGCCCTCATACACCTTGAGCTCCGTCTTCCCTCCTTCCTGCAGCGTACGTTCATGATATGCTATCCCTTCGTCTTTGAGGAAGTCTAGTCCTGCCACGGCAACGAACTGCGGTGCAAGGAGGGGGAAATGGTGTGCCGGCGCGCGGATAGGGCTCGCTCGCCATTCCTCATGCGGTGCCTTGAAGAGCGCGTAGAACCACTCCATGCGAACAGCAGGAAGGGCAGGCGCATGTGCAAAATCCATCCGGGAAGCGTACGGTGCCGCAGGGTCGAGGTCACAGCAGGGAACAATGAGAAGTTGGTAGACGAGCGGGATTGGGGGTTCCGATGTGGCTGCGTGGTGTGACACGACAGCGGAGAGATGTCCACCGCTAGCACGCGCTCATCAGACAAGAGCAAACAAGACGAGAGAAGGACGCACGCAGATCCACCGCCAACAGCGATCCGCTTCGGATCGATACCGATCTCCTCTGCACCCTGCTCATATACCCACTTGACAACCTCCCATGCGTCGTCCACCGCTGCGGGGTAAACGTGTTCAGGTGCAAGCCGGTAATCGACGCTCGCTACGACACACTTGCTGCCTTTACTCAGCGTGAGCTAATTCCTCCTCAAACAAAAAGGAGAACATACGAAGACATAGCTGGGTACACATCGCTGCCGCGGAATCGATATTCCCAAGCACCCATCCACCTCCATGATAATACACTAGCATCGGCCAGCCTTGTTCTGGTTTTTCGCCATGGGGGATGAACAGCCTAACGTTCTTGTTCTGTCCTATCCCTGGCACGTCCCGCGTGCTCCCCACATCCAATGGCGCGGATGCTCCAGAGCCGACGAGGTACTGATCTCGGATGGATGGATCGAAGGGAGCGCTATAGTCTAGAGCTGGCAGGCCGATGAGTGTGCTGTAGTACTGCTTGTAGTCGTCGTCCAGGAGCGGTTCGATGTGTGGAGCGAGAGGACCGACGGTGAAGCGGTAGGCCATGGTAAAGTACTCGCACCAGTAGGCAAGCAGCGAGTGAAACAGTCGCCGTCCAGGCCAGCTCAAGTACGCCCTCCACCCGAAGGAGGTCACCGTTCTCTCGCCGCCCACCAAAGCTGCCGGCAAAGGTGCGGATGACCTGGAGCACATGCATCCGTTCGAACTCGCAAGGACATCATGCCGAGCCGTATCGTTGTTGAGAGCCGAACGAATTCCAGTGCTGAGATGAATTGTGAGGAGTCAAGTTACTGATAGTAATGGGAAGGAGGCAGCACTGTTTTGAGGACGGTCGGCATGACACCCTTCAACTAGTGGGACCGAGTCCGTGCAACTTGTATGTAACGTAATATTTCGGGAGCGTAATCAAGAAGAGATTCTCCTCACGGATAAGTACTCACTCGCCGCCTGGTTCTGAATATGAATGACGACTTGACGGAATAATTCCTAACTAACGCTGTTCAATGTCTCACTAGAAGAATGCAACTAATATCGCTAAGATAAGCCTATCAATCGGGAAAGCTTATCGTCCCTTCGGCTAATCATCACTCGTTTGAGCACTTACTGCCGATGTGCGACCCAAAATCTCAGATACAATTAAATCTTACTTGGTCGAACGATCACCTTCTCCTCCAATCAAGACCGAGTTCACCTGTGCGTTTGACAAAGGTCGGGAAAGTAGCCACGGAGAGACCGGGGCAGATAAGTGTTGATGCTTGAGGAACGAACGTTTTGCCGTGTCTGCATGCGTCAACATGGGTTTCTACACAACCTACAAGCACTCACAGGTTTCGCAGGTCGACTAGCTCAGGTGTATCTTACGCCCATGTCCCACCATCGACGGGATTGTCTTTCGGTGATGGTCCGTCCTCCCACTCTAGTTCCCTTTACCCATATCATCTCGCCAACACCGTCGGTTTTCTCGTTCAAACTGGGTAGTTCGCACATTACCTTGGGGTGAATTTGGTAACAGAAGGATTAAAAGAATGTCTACGGTTTCTTTTATGTTTCAATGATATACATAGGACATCTTCTCAGCTACTTCCGTAGGTTGGCACTCGCCTGGAGCTGCCCTGCGAATATTCTCCACTCTCTCCCATCTCTTTCCCTGGAAAAGCCTGCGTATCTTCCTCAACTCTTTACGAAACGTGGTATGAACCGAAAGGAAAACCGGGTTCTGTTTTGCCCCTGGAATGTGACCTGGTCAACAATCTGCCCCGAAAATGAAAAGACAAGGATCTACTTACGGTGCGCGCGTTGCACCCGCCTTCCTCGCTCATGTGAACCTTCGCAAACTCCAAGTCTCCGCGCCGACCTCGTTTCTCATCGAGATCAACTATGATATTTCCGGGAGACAGGTCCCAGGCACATCATCTTACACGCTGCAAAACTTGTCAGCACCGAACTAGGAGACCCCGCAAATGCTGCACTGACCCTGGACGACGTCAGCGAGGGCACGGAATGCAATATCCAATGCTGCGACATGGTACAGCGATTCTCCAACATTGTCTATCACAGTTCGATAATGTAAGCGATGGCATATTTGCGGCTTAGGTTTAGTAGGTTCCTTTATTTGGATTCCGACCGGTTTGATCCTGTTCGTTCGGCCCCAATACTGGCCCACGGCGGTTGGGTCCTTCGGTATTCTGCAAACTCGGAATGTGGTAACTACGCCTGTCGTCCCTTCCGTTCAGCAGCTTGCCCTGTGTCTTGACCCATACAGTGTCCCTTGGGAGTTCTCGAAAATGCATGATATTTGCCGTATCGTCAAGACGGCCTGTGCTGGTCACCACGTTCTGATGGTCAATAAACTGCACGAAATAGTCCTCAGACTTCCTGTCCTTCTTCAATCCCAGACTATGCTCGTCGACGGCTTTGATGGCATTCATAACGTGTTCGTATACGTTGCCTTCTGGACCTCGCTCTGCGTCGCGCCAAACTCCTCTGATCGCCACCCTTTTCAAATCCTTGTCGGTCGACTTAGGCAGCTTGGCGTCTTCATTGACAAGTTATCTCTTATACACGCGGCACCCACTCCCGTGCAGTGCGCGCGCTCGATGATCCACAATCGGTCGTTTCTCTACCCTATACTTCTTGTTCTTGATGACGAGCGATGACGAGCCAGTACGAGTCGTATTTCGGTTCCAACGTCATAGCAAGGTCCCGACCCAGCGCTTCATTCTCCGCGAATGCAAAGAAGGCAAACACCCGGAACAGGCTCTTCCGGTCCTTCCGGGTGGAGTCAGTATAGCCGTCGAATCCTGTGCCGCAACAGCGCACCATGTCAATATCGAATCCCTTGCTGACAAGCACCGCAGAACGCGTTGCGAGCTACAATAGAGCCTCTGAAGCCTCCATTGTCATGCAGACGGCAAAATGACGGTCGATGTTCTCCCACAACATATGTCGCAAGTCCCAGATAATCTGCTTAGCGTTCTGTCTAGCACATCAGAAACCGGCAAACGGGCTGCCGAGACGATTGCAGCTCACCTCACTACACATAATTCCTTGAAGAACCTTCCAGCTCTTTGTTTTGAATTCGTACACGGAAAATCAACTGGACCACTCGTACTCTCCAGGGCCCCATTTCTTAACGAGGCTCCTATCCTTTGGATTCACACGATTTGGTTTGCTCGAGTCCTCTTTCTCGCTGAACAGTGGCATGGCATGCGGACGGAGCAGCAGAGATCGTGTAGGACGTTTCTGCCCTTGGGACAATGCTGGTTGCATGTCTTGACCACAAATTCATGGATCGCGTCCAAGGGTGGGAAGATTACGTCCTCATGTGGAAGTGATTCCTCATTCGTATTGGCTGCGACTGGGAGGTTATTCCAGGACGTATGCTTGAAAATCGGATCATCGCTTGACAAAGAGCCTATGAACTTTGCGAGCCAATCAGGCAGAACCAACATCTTCTCTGAGTCTTCTTTGGGGACAAGGAGCAGGTAGGCCGACAGCAAGGTGTCACGCTTGCCGTCGAGGTCAGATCTGTTGGGTGCATTGGTCGAAGTGTCCTTTACTTGACCTTGCGTAATATCAGGTGCCTGTAGAGGAGCGCTTGTACGAGGGGCTGTCTGGGGAGGTGGTGTTGGAGAAAGGGATGCCGGTGCATCGTGTGTGACTGAAGCGGGGTGTACCTGAGACGAGAGGTTGTGAGTAGAGCGTGTCTGGGCGATGTTATCCATTTGGAGGGAAACAAAATAGCTTGGGACACTCACCATTGTTCTCGAAGTTCTGATAAGCCTTGATGTTCCGGCTGTTAACAAAACAGAAGGCACTGGGGCTGGCGCGAAGACGAACAGTTGCCGGTGTTAAGTTCGTTCAAGATCATTGCGATGGTCTCCATATGCAATTATAATATAGATCCGGTGTTTCCCAAGAAAAGCGTAGTGAACAAGCAATCCTGCACGCGTTTAGAACGCTCTGGAGACCACGCGTTGCTGGACGCTTATCACGTGCATCCTGCTAAGGCGGCTTCACGTGATGCTCTGACATATGTCAATGAATGAGTGCGGACGATGACGTAGCGAGTCTTACAATCTGGGGATCTATCCCTCACAACCCCCGGCCCATACTCTTCCCCAACTCCCCGGAAAGTACAAACCCATGTCCAGCATTCTCGCCACCACTAGTGGTGTAACACACACCAGTACGAGCTCCTCATACCACACCCCGAAGCCTGACCCGCCCATCGGCACTACTCTTGATCAAGCTTCGGAGAGGATTGCAAAAAGAAAGACGGAATTTATAGGCGAGATTATACCTGAAGAGGAAGAGGAGATTGTGGATCTCGGAATGGGAAGGGAGGATGCGGCGCGGGAGAAGCATGGAGATCTCAGAAAATAAGGTTGTCGGTATGAGTGGGACAGGTGAGATCGTGTTTCGGTTGTCTGTGTAACTTCAATGACCTGTCAAGACAAGGATTTGCGACGACAGATCGCACAGTCGAGTGTCTGGAATTTCAGGAGCAGTTTCACCATCGGTAGCCTGTCACTGATACACGTATGACGCATTCCGGCAACCTCATGTTTTTGGAACATCATCGAGGACAACAGAATATCTGGAGGAATCGCAACCGTCCAGTATTATTATCTCTTGTATCAACTAGGAATTATTGAATGTAACCTACATGTTGACTAGTTTACAAAGTGCTCTCTTTGGGCATGATCATCCCACGAAACCCGTGCGCGGATCCCTCCCATGCGCCACGCGCATATTAAGCACCCCTCCACTGACGCTGCTCATCCTGCTTCCGAAAAAATACGGTGCTCGAGCCATCATTTCTTGCTCTACCTGGGAAAGAACGTCGGTGAACAGCAGTGGCCAGCCCACGAGCTCCTCCCTGTCGAGTTCTGTAAGCAAGTCCGCCAGCACCACGCCTCGGTTCTCGTGGATCAGCGTGAGGGAAGAGGCTTTCCTTTCATCGGTGGCTACATAGTACCTATATCAAAAAAAGAGTTAAGTTGAGCAAGCAGCATATTATGAAGAACTCACGGATCGTCCAGCGCGGGCGGTTCACGTGCCCAAATAGTCTCGTCCAGGGGAAAACCTGCAATCCGAGGTCTTCTCGGGGGAGTTTCTAGCTGGATTCTGCTTAGCAGTTCCCTTCCATGGTCCATCTCGTACACGACCCGGAGCAGGTGAGATCTCAGCGACTGTCCAGTGGCCCAGACATAGCGAATAACTACCATAGCGTTAGTGAAGCCCACCCCACGCAGCGTTCATACTCACAGTCGCCTCTCCGCATATGCGCCGCAGACCACATTCTGCCCCCTACACGCTCGTACATCTTCTCTGCCAGTCTCTCGCCCAGCAGCTCAACTTCTCTGACATGGCGCACGTCGCTGACAACCATTGTTGCATAATCATTCGCCGCTTGCGCCGTGGTAAAATACAAGCCGCCGGGTGGGTGGCCCATGTGCATCTCCCCTTCCAAATGGACGATGCGTTCCTCGAGTCCTGCAAATTGCATCGTCCATGACTGAGCAGCACTCGGATCAATCAAATGGGAAGAAGGTGTCGAGACGGTCTTCGTCATATCCCACAGTAGGCCGAGGCTCCAGATACGAGCAAATCCCGCCCAGCGAATCGCCATTTCCACGTCGTCGTCCTCGATACCGTACCCAAGGTCGCGCTTGACATATGCAGCCGCTTCGCGCCACGCTACCGGCAGTCCAGATCGAAGCGACTCGAGTAATGGCTGCAGAGCTGCAAGCGTCTGCTGGATGATAGGAAAAGAGCCTTTGGGCGGGATGGGTGAAGGCGGTAGCGGTTGGTCAATGCGTATCGTGTTGTTCGGTTCGTATGCTTCATTCGGAATGTGATATATCGTCAGCGGTGCATGAGCATTGATGTCCTTTGGAAACGGCAGTTCCCGAGGGAACGTGCCGTTCCCCATCTCCCATTGATCCAGGCCTTCTAAGGAGTTGAACTCGACACCGGTGACGACGCTCCATCCAGCACCTCGCAGCCGATCTATGTCCACCATGCGCTCTATGGGAAGCACCCACGCCTGCTGCTCTTCTTGGGGCAGGCCTCGCCACTCGTCTATACCAACAGCGTCACCCCGGTTCACTTGGGGTGCAAAGGCAGCGCATGCCGCTTGAGGGTACTCGCATGATCGCATGTAGACGTGGGAGGGGACGATGAGCGTGCGGTTGAGCAGGCTGGCTTGCAGTATGGAGGTTTCGAGAATGTAGCGGATGTTATTCCATCCTAACCAGAGACTCAAACAACCCGTGAGCACGTTGTATGCGAAAGACCTAGAAGGGCTTACCTCCAGTCACGCGTGTAGTAACCATCTGTTTGTTCCACCATCATTTTGAGCATCTCGGCCTGATCCACGCTGGCCGGTACAGACGATGCTTCGGGCCACCATGATGGGTGAAGGTTATCGAGGGATCGTGGAGGGTCGAACACCAAGATGGTAGCAAGTGTCCACAGGGAGACGAGGGTCATACATGTCAGACCGATGATGAGGTTGGAGCGGCATGAGCGTGGCGGGTGGATGTACCGTAGAGGAAAGTAGGTCGTGGTCGGAGATGAAGGGCCTGAGCCTGTTAGCAACAGTGAATATGGTGGTGCCGGTCTCATTCTGTTGACTTGAGCGCGTCGCAAGAGGCTCCCAAGATGCAAGACGAGTGTCGGTTCAGCCTGGGCACTTGGATCAGCAAAACTAGCAGGTGCCATATAGATCCAGGTAGAGCAGGTAGACGTTATGGAGCAACCCCAATAGTCCCTTTATGTAGAGGTGGCATGCTCCATGTAGAGCCCTGTAGCAGGTGTATCGGAGCGTGTTTTACCTATCACCTCTTGTCTTTGGAGCAGTTGTCACACGTCACACTTCTGATATGCGTGCATGTTGCCTTGTTTGTTGAGCCCCTAGACGCTCGTTTACGAGAGCGAGCTGAAGTTCTTAGACGACGTAGACCAAACTGATGGGCAAGGGGCCTGGATTGCAAAGGGAAAAAGGATTGGCTTCCATGGCACATCCATTGAGCACCGGAGACATCGAAGGGTCGGGCACGTGCCCTAGGTTTACTTCCCGTTCCGCCAAACCTCCCTCTCGGTCGGTTCGGAAGGCGACGGCGTCGATGGTTCTGCTCGGTCTGTGAAGAAACGCTGCAATTATGATCTGCCTACTCCAAAATACAACCCTCTTTCGAGCACAATTGCGAGAAGATGCGACCGTGACGGTATCGGATAGAGACTCCGTCGAGTCTGATGTCTCCATCAATCAAGACGAACGCGACACCGACACCAACACATCGACCCTCGTGGAGCAGATTCCCGAACCTGAACTTCAACTTACTCGATATTCCACACCTCCTTGGGGTCAGACGGTCTGGTCTATGACTTGTGGGAAGTGGTGGGTCAGAGGTACGACGTCACTTTAGTTAACTTCTCAACTGGTATGCACCGTGACATAACGCCGCACTAGAGGTTTAGGGACCCATCTTCTTCCCGTCTCGCGGTCTGCTCAGGAGCCGTTCACTCCCAAGGCGTTGATCAGCTCTCCATGGTCCTGACATAAGAAGACATGTTCCAGGAGGCCAATCCTGATATCCTACCGAAAGCGGACGTGCTTCAAGCGACTTCCTACATGTACCACATCGCCGTCACCGCCCACGACTCCATCATCGACCCCTCCTAGCATTGCGCAGACAATGGCCTTTGATGGCACTTGGTCAGTACGTCCGCTCGTCCCAGTTGCAAACCAAGGGTCACACATCTCCATGAGCGGGACGCGTGTGTCTTGTTCGCCCTGGGATCTGCACGAAGATTAACGGGGCGATACTGTCTCATGGAGCACCGCCCATGCCTTGCGCCATCATCAACGCTTCTCCTTGGCCATCCTGAGCGAAGCGTTGACAGGTCGAAGGCGGGGATGACGTTCAAACACCTCCAATCATGCAGTCCATGGCCTGCAACGGAGAAGAGAAAGTATCCGCTCTTTGATACGTTCTCAGCTGACCAGTCCTTGCCCTTCCTTCCCGCCTTTCCTGTGTGCTTGTGTGACGGACAGAAAGAGACCGATGAGAAATTGAGGGCATGGAAGAGCAGGGGGAAGTGGATATGTTCGAGCTGGACGAGGGCCGAGAGAAGGACAAGGCGACCATGCGTGCGACCTAGTCCATCGCTCCAAAGTAATGCCCCTCTCTCGGCCAGCCTAGATCGCCCCAATTCCTAAAGGGTCAGTCATAGCTACCCGAGGATGGACCGTCGATGATACTCTTAACACTTAAATTTGGGGTGAATGGGAGGACAAGATGCGTTAATACCTGTGGGCGAGGTGAGTTTGGACGGTCACATGCCGAGCGCCCATAACGCACCCATGCACACCACCCCCGTGGTCGTTGTTATCCGACACCGCAGCGACTCTCGACGGGCGGAGGGCGCCGAGTATGGCAGAGCGATCCGGACGGCTGAGGCACGGCTCGCATAATTAACCCTGGGACGTCGTTTTCCTGACAATGCTTCGACCCATGTATGTGTTGGGTACGATCTTCCTGCTGCATGGCATCTATGCCATCACAGCCAACCAGCCTAGCGAATGCATGCACCAGAGGCAGTACACGAGCATCCTCGAAAGGGCGCTAGACATAATCTTCGCTACTCGTAACAGCACTCGTTTCTGCCAGCCCCACGTCCGTTCCTAATACAGGTCGTAATTTCTCAGAGTCGGACAGGTCGAATTCCAAACTTGACTGCGTGCCAGAATCTCGAAGCCATGTCTGAACGGACGCCTTGGAGTCATGCTCCAATTCGCCACCCAGAAGTTGCGAGGGGGCCAACGCCGCAGTTTCGACCGCGATCGCAGCGTCGTCATCGTTGTCGGTTAGCGTGCGGGGGTCATCCGCAAATGACGCGGCGTCTTGGTCGGTAGAGATGAAACTGCAGTCCGAATCGATGTCGGTGCCGCCCATCTCTTCACCGATCGGACCAGCAGTCCTCCAGATTTCCTGCTCGTTGTTGCCTGCCTTCTTCGGGGTTGACGGTGACTTGCCAGTACCTCTGGTCGGTCCCTCCCCTGAAGCTCCCCTTCCGCTGCTCCTTCTTCCACAGGTAGAATCGGCGGGTGGTTTTGCTCCAGTAGTACGGCTACCACGGGACCTCGTGTTAGGCACACCATCACCTTCATCCTCCTCGGCCACGTCTTCGAGAGAAGGTGCTTCACTTGCTTTATTTTTCGTTCGCTCCATAATCCGCCATGTCCAGCCGCTCTTGGGGAGCATGGCCTGCTGGGCGTCTTCCGAAAGCTTATCCAGAGTCTGAAGAGCTTCCTGGAATGCCTTCACCTGGTGTGCGACTATCTCCGACAGCAGATCGAAGAAGCGCAAAACGTCTTCAAAATCGTCGAAATGGAACACAGCGATCCTCCCAACGCGGATTTTCTGGTGCAACAGCATCAGATGTGTACCAGGCTAATTGACCAGCTCCAAACCTACCCCGGTTGACTCATCAACTTCTGCATACATGACAACAGCAAATTGCGCGTTCTGCACAATTGCGTAATGGCCCACTTGCGGAGGGCAAGAGCTTGCTGTTGACGTGTTGCCGCGAGGATGCTGTAGTAGATCTGTTGAGTAAGCCTCCGTTTTGGCTTGCTCTGGGACGATATGCAGAGGAAAGTGATCTCTGGACTTTCGAGTGAGACGGTGCCCTCCCAGCGCCCTTGAATAGCCAGCTCATGGGTTCGATCCTTCATCAACATCCTGAGAAGCCGATCGTGCTTCTCACTTGGCTTGTATACCAAGGCTGAGTTGAAGCGCGCTTCCTTCGACTTTGGTACTCGCAGCTTGACGGCCATCGGTGTTTTGTGATACTTCTTCTTGGGTGCAGCAAGAACGGCAGAGCGTTCCTTTCTAACAAGGGCCCTAGGTATCACTTGTGGTAGACAGCGCAAAAACGAAGGCAGCGCACCGGAATTGCAGCGAATCCATCGTGGGATGCTCTCGTCCAGACGCCTTCCGCATCGCCCCGTACACCCGGATAACTAGCTTCATGAGCTTGTCATGGGCGCCGACGACCTCGCTTTCGTTTGGCGAGTCGTCGCCCTTGTCTCTTTCACAGAGCGCCCTCAACTCATCCCAGACGTCCGACAGTAGTTCGATGTAGAACTTCCAGTGCGCTTTTTCATGGTGCCCCTCGGGCAGGAAGCGCGCTGCCGGCAACTTGAGGAGTGCGGTCGCGAATGCGAGTTTGTGCGGGTCCAAGTCGTTCTCGCTCTCCTTCTCCTTCTCTTTCCCTTTCTCTAACCCTTCTTGTTTCATCTTCTGTTCCTCCGCCCACTGCGAGTGTTGTCCTTAGACAACGTTGCGGGTTTGATATGAATAGACGCACTTTCAGGAGAACACGGGGCAGGAATGCAGCGACTCTCGCTACCAGCACTCCACCGTTCTCCTTCCAAACAGCCTCTGGTATGGTTTCGTCCTCAGGAGCCTTATCTCCCATCGGGTCCAGTTCCTCTAGGCCGCAAGTGCGCTTATAGTCCTGCATGTCTGCAGACCGCCTTTCGGCAAACTCCGAAGCTAAATCGGTGACATAGACCAGGCTGAGATTATCTTCATCCACTGGTACGTTCCTGCTCTTCCGGTCAGCTCGATAACTGATGCAATCTGGACTATCAACGTACTCTTCGCTCTGTGCGGCAGCCATGACGACTCGGGTACCGATGATGGAAGAGGAGGGAGTTGGGTAAGGCCTAGGAATGGGCGCTTGAGGGCCCAAACGCCAACGCCAACGCCGCAGTTCTACACCTCATCTCGTGTATACTCGTCATAACTCGCCACCGAGCACGTAATTTGCCAAGAGCCTTGCTTCCGTCGGACATTACCTCGATCCGACACCGAACAACATGAACGCTTTGTGTATATCTTGACATGTCAATTTTGCATACATATATGTAGATGAAGAAGACAAAATGGTGCACCGGAGTTTTAAAACGGAGATGAAACCATGTCATTAAACACTATCAACCGGTAATTATCCTCGTGTGGATTCTCAGACTTCTGGATGACTCTGTCTATGCCCTATCTGCTTCCGGCAATATCGGTGCTATACTGCTTGAAAAACAAACGACTAGGCAGGGTATATCTTGGTAATCGCCGTAGATAACTCCATGCGAAGTCTTGCGCATTCTGCAGTCGTCGCCGACGCGATCTCATTGCCGAGTTTCTCCAGCTTCACTGATCGAAAGGAAGGAAGCTCGAGGTCTGCTGGGAACGCCATTTCAAAAAGTGCAATATGTTGTTTCTTGAGTCGTAATGCTTCGGACGCGTCATAGAATTTGAGAAGATGGTAGGCCATTGGTAGGCCCCATTCTTTCTATACTGGTACTCCTTCACATCCTTTCCGAATGCTCGTCGACCACGTGGCTGCAATGCCTCGAAGATGGCTCAACTTCTTGGCTGCAATTCCCTCCCAAGTTTCGTTCCCTTGGATGCACAACAACTTCTGTAACCAGCCGACGAAAATGAGATCGACGAGCACCCAATATTTGCTTTCGTCGTCGTATTGTAATTGATGTCCTTTGAATGGCATACCTTCGGGGGACGTTTTGCCAATTGATACCTCGAGCAATTCTATCGCCATATATGTTGCCGTACCAGTCCAGTGCTTTGCTTTTGGTTCCGGTTGCTTGTCCTCGGGAAGGATTTTCGCCCCAGTCCCAGTCCACGATGCTGCCCGAGGGCCCTGTGCCAATAAGACACTTGATGTTGTTCAGCGATAGATCCCGAATGGCGATTTTTGCACGAGCCCTCATCTGATCGACGCCTGTGAAAAGGTTATCAAGGACAGGCGGAGGGATAGGGGAAAAGGACCGACAACGGAAGACGGGCCCTAGGATGGCCTTGACCTCGTCACTGCTTGGCTCTTTTGGGAGCGGCGTATACTCTTTCACAACCATCATACATACGCAGCTCACGTGTGTCAAAAACGGTCTTGAGACAGATGTCAAAGCCAATATCCGATTTCTGTACTGTGCAGCCATGCACCACGGTACCCTTGCCCTGTAAAGAATACTGCCTTTCAATGCATGAGTCGACTTTGATCTGCACAGTGTTCGTCCAAGTTTGAGTCTCTGATGCAGCGCCGAACTGGGTCCAGCATAGGGTTGGGACAATATTGATAGTTTGGGGATGAGTGGGAGGAGTACCGTCTTCCTTGCTAGGGCATAGAGTACAAAATCCAAGATGCTGCTCCGTCGATCCACCCAAGAGATCAAGTAAGACCATAAAGTCCTCGATATTGGAGATAGTATCAATCAAGTTTGAGATCAAGACACGTTCTCAAGTGTATAGGATAACCAAGTAAGGCATCCCTGTTTCCGCAAGATGCTTAGCCAGACCAATAGGCCGGAGCCGCCTCAAGGCGGACGAGTCCGGCTGATCCTTGAGCTTCACCTGCACGTGGACGGCAGAAAGCTTGGCCGGGTCAAACAGTGCGTCGGGGTCATTCGATCCCCGGTACGTGATGAAGAGGATATCCACGTATGCTTGATTGTGACAGCACTGGATCGCGGCCCCTCTGGCCCATAAGTTGGCTAACGTGTTGCTGTGACAGGTCTGAGCCGATTTACATCAGAAAAAGGAAAAGGAAAACGGCTTACATATCTAGGACCTCTGGGAGAGGTTCTGACATGACAATCCAGTGATGGAAATTGACCCAAGTAGATCCAAATGCTTTTTCGAAGTCGGCGTCCAGCACAGGTCCTAGAAGCGCCTTCAAGTATACGGGCAGTGTGATGCTTGGTAGCGGTACTTTGCTCTCAAAGTCATACTCGCTAGCCGCAATCCTTGGGCATAGAAGCAGAAGCCTAGCTGCGAGCTCCCCAATGTCGCCTCTCGCGATTATGTTCCCACTGCGTAGGCTCGTAACAAGCGTGTCCAAGGACTTGGATAATCTTCTTTCTCCGAAGAGAACATGAGCAGTACCGAGCGCCAGAACAGGTTCCGAGGCGGTGTGGGTGAGATATGCCAGGACAGGGTACCGTTGTATGCCATCAAATAACCTCAGATGATTCGACACCGTGAGGTCTGCCGTCTTAGCGGCCTCCGCAGTGTGAAGGACGAGATCAAGGCAGATAACGACGGAGAACATTGTAAAGGTGGCTGCTTCGTTCTGCTCCGGATGGGGATGATTGCAAGTCAACTTGAAACCCACCTCCTGCAAAAGGTTCTACAACGGATTTGCCAGGAGGTGAGCATGCCACCTGTTGCGGCAGTTACAATGAGATAGGGAGCATGATGATGGGGATCCCGCTCACATTGGACGGCCGTAATAGGATGCATGAGTCCACGTACTTAATTCACCCATCGTCCGGCTGCTGGCTGCTTTGTGAGCCCATTGATCGAATCCGAGAGAGCCGTACGGCGGGAGTAGCTGGACAAGCTCTTTGCTCAGTCGACCCGAGTTTACTAACAAGGCATGAAAAAAAGGAAGAGACGCATGACAAGTCGAAACGCACTGTTAGCCGGGGGCGGCATGTAGTCTGTTAGTTTTGCGTTGGTGGCCATGAAGACGAGCCACAACCTTGCTTTCCTCCCAAGACTGAGCAGCCGTGAGAGGATCCAATAGAGGTTTGGAAACGCCGCAACTTCATCGAAGTAGATTATCACTGATGCGCCATCGCCGCGCAACTTGGACAGGTAATCGACCAAGGCGTCTGTCGCGGGCTTCATCAGCTCTTTTTGACATGTGTGAGCCACCTGGACAACACCATCCGTGGACTTCTGCTCTTTGTTAGCCCGAGGGGGGCTGTTCTTGGCCTGTCGCATTTGTTTGCAAATCTGGCGAGACATGAGGTGGCATCAAACAGTCCTTACCGCCTCTGCCTTATCCACAACATTTCGCCAAAACCGATCGCGGTACTCTCGATTTCTTCCCTCTATCTCATTCCACACCCTCAGCTTTGGCACATAGTCTCCCTCTGAAATATCTTCCAGGCACGTCAACGCATGCCTGAGTGTTTCGGACAAAAACGAACAGTGCTGCTCGCCAGTGCGCCCTGACTGACTGTTGCTTCGCCTCATCCCCTTTCAAAGTCTCCAAGTACCTCAATACAACTCCGTCTGTTAGTGGCCATCCCGGCGAGTCGGACTGTCTAATATTGACCGGTATGCAGAACACCGGTCCGTCCGTCGTCGAGAGCGAGGTGCACCCGACTCGACCGTAGCCAACCTGTTCATCAGGTGGGTGACAGCCATACAAAGCAACATCCACATACCTCTTTCATCAGTCGCGACTTGCGCTGTCCAGAAGACGCGATAATATTCAGACACCGTGCGTAGTAAGTCGACCTTTCGACCGTACTGCTGCTCTCAAATTGGGCAGATAGGGCTTCAAGATGCTCGATAAACGCTTGCCTGATCTCATCGTTCTGGTATGGGGTTTCAAATGCATTCGCAAGCTCTATGATTCCCGGTGAGTCCCCTGTCCATCAACATGCAAGTCCAAAGCCATACCGTCCCTGATTTCCGGCCTATACAGCAGTCAGAATGCGAATGTTTTGTGTTCAGAGGACTTACTTCGTGGCATCCCTGTTTGTTACACGCATTATAACAGACAGGCACACGCAGGAGCTCACAAGCGACTTACCGTACGTTCCGCGGGCTCATCACATCGCAACAAAAGGCCTTGACAATGAAAGCTTGCGCAACGGCGATTATTGACCGCAACCCATGCTGAGTGGAGATTCAACTCACGATGTTGTATGGCCGCGAGGACAAGGTCCGCCTCAGGTTTAGTTTCCGATTGGAAGAATGCCTTTGTCATGAAATCTTTCCATTTCCGACCGTCGTCATTTTCGTTGAAGTAATCCAGCGATGGGTCCCGGGTGTCGCCCCGAGATTTGAGGAATGGTGGAGAGATCCGGTCTTCATATCGCTTGGCAGAGTTCCGGAATTGATCCCAGATAGCGTGGTAGCACGCTTTCAGAAAACTTTCCTGTGAGCGCTTCGAGCCGCTCTCTTCAAATTATTGAGACAATCCAGTAACAACCTCTGCGCGTATATCTGCATAGCTCAAGAACTCGTTCAGGCCTGAGGACATATTAGATGAGTCCACTAAAGAGACCTAGGTAATAGATCCCTCCCTGGGACGCCACTTTCATATGCTTCCGTTTTCTCCATTTAAGAAGCCAGGCACGTGTCAAGGTCTCATCATGTGACTTGCAATCATCCCCGCGTATTCTTGGCTCGTTGCTGCACACTACCATGAGCTCCTCTTAATATGGAGATGCTGCTTGACATCCTCCTCCCCCAAAACTACTAGAAGCCGTGAAAGGAGACAGTATCTCCGATCCTGCATGTACATTTAGATGGCAGGCTGGTGTTGAAGTGGAAGTGCGCAGACTTGGCGCATTCGGCGTTCTACACGGAGGGCATGTCTGGGACCGATGCCATCCAGGTGAATACTTCTTCTGTCTTGTGATTACAAGCAGGACGAGCTGGAGCACTGAAGTTGACCCGAATACACCTCTGGAGCGAGGTCGTCCGGGGGGTAAAGGAAGGGTTTCGCGGTTCCCCGTCCTCAATCCCTTTCAATACAAGGTCTCATGGAGCAATGATTTCCGTACGTCTGTTTCTTTCCTCCTTCACCGTCCAGCTCGAGGGCACTGAAAACTTGCCTCCTTCCCTTAGATGGCGATAAAAGTGGCCTTCTCCCTCTCCCAACCTGGCAAGCCCGTCCTGCGCTCTCTACTCCTCATCTCGACAGGCGCTCCTCAGCTCAGTCAAGCGGACATCTTACAGACGACAAGGGAGGAGGGATGGTAGGCTAGGTCGATTGGGCCGACCGAGGCCGACACCTCCTGTCGCGGGAGGTGCAGAGATGGAGAGCAGGGTTCGGAAGAAGTGGACTCGCGAGCTGGTTCGATCTCGGTCCGTTATCCCTTCCCTTCCCTGCGCAGGGAGCACCGTTCAATGACACAGAAATCCGTACGTTCGCTCTTTCTCTCCCTCCTTCCCCAGGAGCGGTTCCTCTCTCGTTGCTAACCGTGACCAGGGATTCCAAACCGCCGATTGGAGAATCAACCCTTCTCCATCCGCGATCTACCCTCTTCCGTAATGGAAAAGCACCAACCTATGTCCGATGGGGGAGGCGTTCGTTCCCCCTCCCCCTTCACCCGTCCCGCCTTCTGGGTAGAATTACAAGGAGACGGTCATTATCACTTCCCAATTTGAGGAGGTGCGCATCATCCCAGAGGATGCCCGTTCTGGCTCCCTCGCGAGGAAGACAGACGCCTACCCCCTCGCTCTCCTTAAACACGCACAGCGTATCCTTCAACCACGCAGTACTGCAGAGCTTTGCGCCCCTCCCCTCTCTCCGGGGGCTTCTCCGTCCCGATCTTCCGCACGCACCCCGTCCCGATCTTCCGCACGCACCCCGTCCCGATCTTCCGCACGCACCCCGTCCCGATCTTCCGCACGCACCCCGTCCTACCCCTGAATCCGAGCTCCTGTAGCTTATCCGCCCTCCCGGGGGCCAGTCGCCCGCCTCGGCTGGGGATAACGCAGACGCTGTACAAGTACTGGGTACCATTCAGACCATGTGTATGAGTATCTCAATTCGTATAGCTCAGCCGTGGTCGTACGGTGTGGCAACCACCTTGTGAACTGAGTCAGTGGATCGACCGTCTATGACGCCGCTGACCGGCGGCTGGAGGAGAGGGAATGTGAACTCTGGGTGGAAGCTAAGCAACGGCGCATGCAGTAAAGTTGAGCACCCACTAACCCACAGCGAATCAGCACTGGTCATT